ACATAAAACAATCCTCAATGAAGTAAACTCCCGAGAAACGAACAAGGCCAAGGAAACTTGAGATATCAATTACCGGAAATAGTTTTAAAGAGCGGTTCAAACTACAGAAGTAAAGATCGTAATTGGCGAGATAAAGTTTACAGAAAGGACGATGTAAGAAAATCACGTGAAACGCACTTCGGACTCTCCTTTTACGGGACTCACTTTAAATTACCATCGTAACAGGATATAGATTTCTTTTCTTCTTTCCAAAATTTCCCTCTCCACCTGTTTAGAGTTGTTTAAACTGCCATTTGCGCATACACCCTACGTATTTGCATGTAGTCTACATATAAGTGCATATACTTTGCATATTCGCATGCATCGTGCATATGCGTGCATATGCGTGCGTATAAAATATGCATTTGCATGCAAAATATGCATTTGCCGATGCAGATAATGAACGCTTTTAATTTCAATAACGGGTGTCCACACTAATCCAAAATTACTTTAATTAACTTAACCGCAGTCAAGTTCCCGCATACGGTACTACGCCGACGTAACATTTCTCTTTTGCTCTCTTGCTTTGACAAATCGATGTCTTCGGCGTTGCTCTTGACACCGATCTCTCCTTGGCACGTCATCGTTAGAAATACCGTTCGGTTATAATTCATCGTTCGGTTCGAAGTTCACTTTCGTTTTCCTCGATTATCCTTCAGAGCCAAAACATTTCCCTATTATTCTCGAAAACCGCGCGAGCCAAAGTCGATAAACTCGTTTCGCGACAAGCGATTATACGCGCGAGCTACGCGACGCGGTTTAAAGCAAATGCAATCCCCGATATTAAATTCTCTGTTTGCTCGCCCTCTATTTCGAATCGACAGTCTTTCTCTTCGCGTTCTTCCCGCGTCGTTTCGCTGATTGCCCCGCTCGTTGGTTTCGCTCCGGAATTATCTTTCGTATAATCGCCTCCGGAGAACTTTCTTCTGTGGATTTCCCTCGCTCGCGAAAGCCAGCGAGGTAGTAGAATAAAATACGTGGCTGTAACAAGCATACTTTATTTCTTCATCAGTGTGATTGGGAAGAAAACAAATATCGCGTTGTTTCTTTTTCTCGGGAAGCAGTATTCTTGGATGGTAGATCAACTGTGGACGGCGTTTCTTCCCTGCGTCCGTTACGCGAGCTTAGAATCTCGTAAAACGTAATGAGAGGAAATCTTATTCCGTCGCCACAGATGAAAAGTACATTTAAATTTCAATACGCGAGTTTATTATCGAATCGGTTATAAAAAAAATATTCTCTATCGTTACCAATTACCGACACGGTCTAAAGCGACAACGATCATTGATATTGAAATTTCCATCGCTCAACCGTTTGTGCCAATGATAACACGGAGGCATCATAAAACGTATCGTTATATCGTGTTATTTTTCGTACACAATACAACGTGGAAACAATATTTGCGAAGCATATTCGTTTCCATGCTGAATGCGATAGCTTAATGACATTAATTCAATTCCTCGACATATCGAACATCCTCGACATAATCTTCAAAATGTGTGATGCGTAATTAATATCAAATTAAATTCCGATGCTCGAGCCACTGCACCTTAGATAATTGTTAATTGGTAACAGCGAAATCGTGGCAAATAAAACAAGCGGCGGAGGCCAGACGAACTTGTCCCTCAGCCACGATCCTCCTCTGTCTTAAACCGATATTTCGGGGCATCCGGCAATCTGCAGGAGTGCCCTTCTGAAAACAATAGGGGACCAGGTTTTGTCTTCGCTTGTCGCACGGCGTATTCCACAATCAAACGTCCACTCATCTGTTTCGACGGTATATGTAAGCACTTCCTATAAATCTTCGCCGCGATTGTCACATTTGTATACGTGTCGCGCACGTCACGCGAATACTACACTCAAATTTTCGTCGTTTCTATTTTACTAACACAGTTTTAACAAATGCCAGGATATTCGCGGAAGAGTATTCAGGAGTTGTTTCGTTTCCTCTGTTATTCAACGATATTCTTTATTTGCATCGAGTGATCCATAAAATCTTAATTAAACAAAAGATGAGACACCAATGAAATAATTTACTCATCGAGGGTTCTCGTCTGCTTGTTTTAAATAGAATAAATGGGACAGAAGTTCGACACGTTGTACTTTACCTTCGAGGACTTGCATCGACAATTTACTCCATAGTGTGCGCTAAAATTAGAACGTGTCTTTAACATCCGTACAGCCATTACGAAAATTAAGGACTTAAATAACGAAGTAACATTCCTTTTATTCCGGTAGAGAGTACGATTGAAACGACAATCAGCGTTGTCAGGATCGGATAGTTTTCTAAACGCGTTCGGGGTCGGAATTTTTTCTGGCTAGGGATTCCTCGAATTTCCAGCGATTTTTGCCTAATTTCCATCGACGGCCTTTCATCTACGTTCACAGCGAGCGACTGCAACACGAGCCACAGAACTGGCCCACCTCTTCGGTTGCAGTTCAATTACACAAACAGCCGCGATGACAGAAGCCGAAGTTTCCATTCGGGAACTTTCACTCTTTGTTTCCTGTCGGCCTAACGTGACAAACGAAAGCGTTTCACACGTAAACTTTATGACGGATTTCTGAAATCCCCGCGTGATTTTATGACATCTGCGATAGCGAGCGAACACGAACGCGTCGAACGCTTAAAAATTTTACTGCTTACTAAACGCGAACGTCGTTGAAAGCACAAAAGAGGAAAGACGATTCTGGGCCACTTTGATGTATAACAATATCTTCGTGTCACGTTCGGGGGCAAATCTAAGGAGGTGACGTGAACGATCGCGAGATCGAACAGCGAACAAGTGCTTTAAAAAATTTTAATTATAAATGGATATCGAGGCGAGTGATATTCCATTTTGACTCGCGTTATTTCAAAAATATACCTTTACGTATTTCTATCTTCCTCTCGCTCGACGAGTCTTCCGTAACCGCCTTTGGTCTCGTCCTACGGGATTTACAAGAGGTGCCATCGGTTTGACGATTTGGGAGCAATTTAAATTTCAATCAATGTCACGTAGAACAAAACATAGCAGGATCGAGTCCATCCGCGGGAAAATAAAATAGAAATATAAAAGCGAATGGACGTTTAAGCGTATTAACGAAAAAGGGATGAATCCAAAACGTGACCAACGCCGAATGGAGAAATAAAACCAGCTTGCGAATCGATTGATTCTATTATTGGACATCCTGCAAACTTCGATTTGTACAGTTATCCAATATGCAGTCCTGTCCAATACACGGTGTCTCGTGCGGTCTCGTTAGCGATAGCTATTTCTGGGTACAAAAATTATCTAGGTGTTCGTTGCCTTTAATCGGTTGCAATGGTATTTATACACAGACGAGTCACAAATGAACCATGGAATTGTTTAATTCACTGTTGTTTGGAATTACTATGTACTATAACCTTTCCAGACCTGAATTATTTTTTTTAGTTAACTTGGACTAAAGTTAGTATGGAACAATTAAGAAAAAAAATCCTAATAGTGTAGTTTTTTTTAGCAAAAATTCTAATATTACCACGTTTCATCTTGGATCTGACAGTTCAATTTATCGATGACGCTTATTTAGTACACTCAGATGTAACGCTATTAACAGTTTGAACAGTTTCCAATTACTCTCTAGTTTATTAGTAATTAGTTTGACCATAATTAGTTTGAACAGAGTATTCAAACGATTAATAGCATCAGCCCAAGGCAGAGTGCGCTAGATAGGTATTCCTGATAAACAGGACTAGCAGATAGAGAGCTAAACGATGTTGCTCGTCGTAGCAAAAATATTAGGTTGGCCAGAAAGTTCGTGGCAGTTTCTACGAAAAATTCAAAGGCATGTAATATATACACATGTATTTATTGAATTACATAGGTGCCATTTTGTTTCACAACCGTTCCACCTTTTAAGGGATGTATACATGTTATTTGTTTTCAACCATTTCGATATATTCAGACCTGTACCACCTATCAAAAATCGACAGGAACTTTCCGAGCAGCCCAATATTATTAAAAAATGATGTATGAGTGGATGTATGTTAGCATAATCTACCAGAAAACTACCAAATAAATCTCGTACATTTTCTTCCTTTGGTCTGAAAACATTCGATTAAAAGTTTCATCCATTGCAAGCCAAAAAATGTCACACGTTACAAATTAATACTTGTAGATGAAAATAAAACCTGGGAAGTTCTGCAACAACGTCGCCGCTTTTTCTCGCTTCCTAAAATGCCACGTCCAGCCATCGATGCCGCATTATGCGACCACCTCCTTCTCAACCTTACCCTCCGCCTCTTTCCAGCCGTCACACCTTCGTGCTTATACACTTTAATATTATTCCTGCAAGAGACGCTAGACGCAGACAGGAGCTCAGCGTGGGCGTTGCATTAGATACGTCCATACGGGTCCAAATTGACATTGCGCGGGTGTGTACGTGAGCAGAGCACAGAGAACGTATCATGAATCAGTTGCAGCTTCGCGTTGCTGTTAGATGAAAAAGAGCGACGGGAAAAGATTGCATTACTGTCAAGTCCGCGTAACACGATAATTGGATTTTCTGAATAATGCATCCTTTACGAGACTTATCGTTTATTTTCTTGGGGTTTCCGCCCTTGTCTGGCGCGCATCACTTAAAGGGAAATTTAAATGGTTTTTATAAGCAAGGCATCGCAGGTTGTCGACGAATCGAGGTCCTATGAAAATTTCAAGCATGAAAACGGAAATAAAGTTATGCTTATTTGGTTGCTTCGTTGGCTCTTCTTTATTTGCTGTTCTTTTCAAGCTGTGTAACGGGACATATTTATTCTGTTATAAAAATATTTTCAATCTTAATATTAAGAAAAAAATCCTAATAGTGTAGTTTTCGAGGAAAACTTTTTTAAACTTTATGTCCTCGATTGTGAACGTCGGGTCTGAAAGGGTTAACTCTTTCCTGGGGAATAAGGTCTGGGAACGGGTTTAAATAATTTAACAACGCGACATCTTTTCCAGTGCGACCTCTGAAGATGGATTTAAACGGAGTGGTAGGCCACGCCGTGCAAGGAACGAAGATCCTACTTCAGTGCACCGTACGAGCAGCGAGACCAGCTGCGAACGTCACCTGGCAGAACGGCACCGACTACTTGAACGAAAGCAACGACAGATTCGAGATGTTCGAGACGAAAGTGCACGAGAATGTGAGTACCGTCTCGGAAATTAGTCTCTCTTGCAAAATTAATGCGGCAAAATCGATGTCTAACGTTCCATCTGAATCTTGATGGTACCAGTCGATATTTCCAGGAACGTTCGCGATTCAACTCTCGCTACCCTTAAATAGGAACTGAAATTACGTTGAAGTCACGTCTGATAGCCGGAAAACGACGACTCCTTCGCATCCTCTTTTTCTCGGGATAAAGGTTTCAAAGGATCGTACAAATGATAATACTTTTAGAATTCTTTCAACACTCCGCGGTCCTCGAGCGCGAAAAATATAACAAAATTATAAAAATTAAATTTCTGGAAAACGCAACGCTTTCATTTCGACCTCTGAAAACGGTGATTTCGCGTGGTACAACCTAATATTATAGGTGGAAACCCCGTTCCTGGTCAGAGAGGATTACACGCATCCGTACGTACCCTGGAGACCAAAGATTGAAAACCCCGATCCGAGTCATGAGGGGATAGAGATATTGCGACCCATGGGCGAAACCTGGTCTAAGGTCCATGACAACGATACTCGCACAGTTGGGAATGAGCTGGGAGAGCAATGCGTGCGATGACCCTTTCTCGAGTCCCGGGAGAAACTAGATCCTATTCTATAGTTATAGGATAGAATCTATCCTAGGCTAATAAGCGGATAAGAACGATACAGACGAACTAATATCGAAATAGGACTACACGAGCGAGAAACCTCTACTTCCTCGTCCATACAAACGCGCTCCAAGATGTCCCAGATTATCTCTGATTCGTATTTTCGAAATCGGTAACGGTGTGAGCGTATCTCGTTCTCGTTTGGAAACTTTAAGCATCCCAAATTGGGTATTCTAATCTGTACGGTCTAAAAAAACATCAAACGTGTTCTTCTCAAAACGATTTTCAAACTGGCGACGCGGAAACTGCTACACCAATTTACGCATTTGCATACATATACATATAAAGTAAGAGCATCGCGTGAACCGAGATTATGTCGATATCAGCAATGTATTCTTTTATGCCAGGGTAAAGTTGCAAATTTAGTGCTGAAAATCCAATTTTTGTTCCTTCAAAGGGCGCCATTTTGTTAACCCTTTATCGCATAGCGTTTATACATAAGAAATAGAGTCCGTGAAAAATTCACGAATTACGCAGGATTTCCTCGAAATGCTTCGTTGAGAACCTATCTGTCTAGACTATCGAGAATAGAAGACCGTCAGTACCACCGTCGAGTTAGTAATTAGTAAGAAATACATTTAGATAGACTGTGAACATTCAATAATCATGCGCAACAGTCTAATTCAACGTGATGGTAGAGCTCGTATGAAGCCAGCTTGTATAGAGCCAGGGTATAAGGCGAACGTCATGTTCCTGTTTCGAATACGTCGTGGTTTAGCAGGTTGTCAGTCTCGCTGTCAAGGGGTAGTCAGTAAGAAGTACGCGTAGATGGAAACTGATCGTCCAACAATCATCCACCGCGCACTCGATCAACCCAACGGTAGAGCGGATTTTAGAGATCCCGTAATATATCTTTGGATAGAACCAGCGCACTGAGTAAACATCACGTTTCTGTTTCAAATATGTCACGCCCTAGGAGAGTGTCATTCTCGCTGTCAAAGGGCAATTAGAAGGTCGTGCAAACGTTCCACGCCTAATCCGGATCTCGAATGGCCTTGAACCACGGATCGTTGAATCCGTCCCCTTTCAAACAGAGAATTACTCCTGATATTCTGCTTCTACTGGGGCGTTACAACACTGTCTACTGTTTATTTACGTACATCCAAGGTGTCGAGAGGCACACACGACGTGTCAGTACCAGGATCGAAATTCTAATACCTTCCTAGCCGAATATCTCGAAATCTATTAGTTTCGGAATAGATGTGCCCGACTGTTATCATTCCGAGGATTACTCTATCGAATTCTGCTGGATCATTCCACACCTAGTCGATCATTTTCCGTACTCCAGGTTCGAGCTTCCTCTTCGAGACTGCGATCCGTGGAATAAGCAAGTATTATTTTATTTTTATTTCTCGACTCGTGTCCGTGCAACCTAATAAAAAATATAATAAACTGTGGTACGGATCAACTGGAGCGGTGCGCAGTGTCGAGATCAAAGTACCGAATAAATTTTAATAAATTTCGAGCTGCGATCCGTCACGATGACGCGGTGCACCGCTTCGCGTCGGTTTGCAATTTCCACAGTCGCGTCGACACACCTAAACGTCTACTCGAACACATATTTTAACGAAGAAAGTACCACGCTCGCTATATAAGCCGACTTGATGTCCCCCGCAGCGAGTTCGCGAGCAATAAACTACTTCCCGCGCTGAATAAACAGAATTTGCAGTTGATAATACTTGAGGCGGGAAAGCAATTATTCAAATTTGGTCGACGTTTTCGGCATACTTCGCGTGGATTTCGGTCAAATTGTTCGCCTCGAACTAATTCGTTTAGCACCGTTGTCGAAACCGTTTATGGAGTCGTTGTATTTAGCAATTGAGGTTTTCGTTACTTTGGCCGAGAGTGAAAAACGGGTACATCGTATCGCAGCTCCGTCTACGCGAATATGGACAGTTTCGAATTACGGTTACAAAAGAAAAGTTTCAGACTATGATTACTTAAATACTAAAATGATATTTACGTCGCAAATATCATTTCTCTCGCAGATCTATCAAATACTACCAACGTCTCGGACAGTCGTTTGACGATGAACCGTGAACCAATCGACTGTCGGTTATCGATACGTCCTTGGCGAAACAGAATCGAGTCCTCTTAGTCGCGTATGAAAAAGCGGTTTCACAGATGAGTAAAGTGTTCCAGCCTCGTCGGATCGGAAAATCATTACGCGTCATTTCGCTCCCCGCGACGCTGCGTAATAACGCTAACACGTATACGGTGAATCTGTATGCCTCGCCGCCATCATAAATCCATTATGGCAATATCTAAGGCTATAAAGTCACTTCAACTTGGATCGCTGAATAAGAAATCGGATCACCTTACTTGCCCACTTTTTAAGAAGCGTCTCCACTCGATCGTCTTTCCCACGACCGCCATTACGTGTAATTGCGTCCTAAATTTTCTAACAAAGAACTAGGGTTGCGGCATAGCGGATTCGTAGCAGTTTTTTTTTTTTTTCAAGCACGTAACGAACGTTTGTTTCCTTCATTGGAAAGAAACCGAAGGAGAAAGTTTCTAGCGTCGGTTGTGTAATTATTTTCAAGCTATAATTTTAGATGTACAGACTCTAAATTTCTTCAAATACAATTTTCGAAAATTTTATCCTAACGACTATTAGCCCATTTTCGATCGAACTCGTTTCCATAACGAGACGTTAATCGCTCGAAATGAAATATGAGTCGGTCAGTCACGTGCATAGATTTGTACTTGTAGGTCGATGCGCGCGCCGCAGTATCATAATTAGCATTGTTTATCGAGTGCCTGATTATGGCACGAGTGGCGTAATGACCTAATCGTACGGCGTTGTACGTGGCAACAGACAGAATTTACATAGAGCCAAGTAATTACATGCCGCAAACGCTCGCCGATGCAATCACTGCGGTCTACGCGAGATGAAGTGGATCCGTTTGAACAACTTTGATGTCCGTGCGCTTTCTTTTTTCACTTTTTTATCTCCTGACCTTCAAACAGCAGCATCACAATCGCGAAAAATCAGCACAACAATCGTTAACACATCTCCTAAACGAAGCTACAATCATTCGATCCAGGCTCGAATTTATCTCTCCGCGCATGATACTTTTTTCAGGTCACCGTACCTGCTACTTACATACACGTGCACCGCGTATACCTAGCGAAATAGAATCGACTCGTTTCAGAACTGGATTTCAATTCTATTTCTGCGGACGTTCAAACGATTATCGAATTCTCGTTGCCAATGCCGCGCTTCTCAAACGATCAGCCGCTGATTGGAAGAAAACTGATTAATTCTGTATTCGTCTGGTCGCCTAGCGATTTTTTACCATGCTCGCAACGAAAACAGCGTGATATCGGGATTAGTTTAGATCAGAGCTTCTTAAACTTTTTTCATTCACGACGATGATTTTGATTTCTTTCTCAATAGATATAAATAAACTACCGGACAAAATTAGCGGAACACTTTTGTAAATGTTCATAATAATCCAACTTTGCACACACTCAGAAGACACTCGAAGACTACTTCTCACGAAGTTTCACCGAAATCGGTTGAAACTCTCATAATTATGAACATTTACAAAAATGTTCCGCTAATTTTGTCCAGTAGTTTATATAATTACCGAATAAATAAAAATAATTAAAATCTCGCGACCCCAAGATTTCGCTTCGACCCATAGCTTAAGAAGACCTGGTTTAGATAATCAAACAGCCGCGACGGGTCTGTGAAAAAACACGAAATAATTAAAGCGATGGCTTGGCAAACACTGTGTTCTCCGATTGCTGCGCATCCTCTATAGCAATTTTTTTTTTTTGTTTCCTTCGCTCCTCTTTTTTTGTTGCGCTTTTGCGTTCCACGAAAAAGCATACAGAGTATTCGTTTCTCCGCTGGCAACGAGGCATGAAACTGAATTCCGAAGAAATATGAAACGACCACGAACGCGCGCGTTTCGCGAAACGGACGAGTAGATTTTGGAGATTGGTTATAAAATGAAGTCGCGTCGAAGAACCGTTCACAGAGGCTATTAATGAAATGCCAAACGCAAAAGTAGAGGAAGACAATTGTAGTCGAAATGGGGTTTATTTGAGTGCTTCGACCCCCAAGTTCTGATTCTGTTCGGTGAGATTGGTATAACACAATCCTAATCATCGCACGATGTAACACGAATACTCGACAATGCCAAATAACTCAAGTTTATTTCCCTGCGAGAGTTTCGGCATTAACAGTCCGTGGGCCGACCGAACGCTTGTTAACGTTATGTCGTGGTAGTTTAATAAACGTTTAATGCTTTTTGTTCGCAGGACGATGGCACGTCGGAAACTATAAGTTACCTAGCTTTTACCGCCTCGGAATACGATAACGGTAGAACGTTCAAGTGTTACGCCGAGAACTCGGTTACACGTTCCGACAACCTGGAACCGATGAAAGAGACGACTACGATTGAAGTTTTATGTAAGTGAGACATAACTTTCGCCAGCGCTTCCGTTCCCTTCATTTGCCGTAACGAACCCACGTACTCTTTCCATTTCCTTTTTACACGGCCGCATGGGATATTCTCTATAAATGTTTGATATACTTTTTCTTAACATTAATACCATCTCTGAGAAAATCAAGTAACCTCAACGTTAGGAGTCGTATAATTTGTCTTCTTTTGGTACCGAGACCAGGTTCAATTTAATATGCAACTTTTCCTCTCCTCAATTCAATGTTTATTCGACGCTTCGACCCGCGTTCCTCTTCAGAAGTAATTAGCTTCTTTCTTTCGTCGAAAGCAACAACATATTCTTCTTTTACCAGAGAGGCACGATTCGTACTGTCGCGAAATAATATATCAGCCATTTATCGTCGCCAGAAAGAAATTCAGTAGTCCACGTAAACAAAATAATAAAATATAATTAATTCTATATCTCGAACAAGTGATCGCAAATACAAAATCAAACAGAAAAGAGATAAAAGGAAATTCTTGTTTGCTCCGCGGATTTATTTCGAAAGAAATAGTTTCCTTTTACGATTGCGTTGGGATAAATTTTCCAATAAAGTTCCCGCCAACCGTCGAGGGCATTGTCGTCGAAACGTTGCAGACAAATGATTCTCGTACACTTGTCTCCCGCGAAGATACGAGAAACTAAAGCTACGATTAAAAGGATATTTTTCCTCTGGGAGAACGACTCGATTCGCGAAAAGGTCGTAACGAGTTCCCTTTAATTTAGCTTTAGCGAACCGAACGAATAAAAGTACATAACGTTCTTGACAATTCTTCCACCCAATTTTTTTTTTTCACGATTCTCGATCAAAGGTCGATATAGTTCGGTTGAAATTAAGTTACACTACACACGGACCCTGATCGCGGATGTGTGCGTATACATGTACTCGTGTTGTATCGCAACCTTTTCAATTTGCTTTTTCACCTCGAACGAAGGGCTAGAACCATGATTTTAATTAACCGAAGTAGATCGATACTAATTCAACGAGAGTTCGAATATAAAAAAAAAAGTTACTCTTATATTCAATCGTTCGCGCCACCCAATATGGAGCAATGAAAAATTATAATCAGAAATTATAATCAGAAATAATGTTTCAATCGGTATTTATTTGGATCGATTTTGAAATACGTCAACATTGTCTGAGAAGTATCTCCTTTCTATTTTCAGACAGACTACTTTGGTGACAAGAAAATCGGTATAAATGATAAGTAACAATGATGTAATTTATGTTTCCGGAGAGTTTCATTCTGGAGTACAAGTTTGTTTATAAAAATAGACACGTACCCTGTTACCAATTAAAACTGTTTAATATGGAATGTCTCTTTTATACGGTGGCCGATACTATTGATTATTCCCATCACTGTTTGTCGTTGAAACACCAAGATTTTATGTTCAGTTTAAACAAGCGTTATTTCCCGTTTGTTTTCTGTTCGAATATTTTCGTTTGGTCGTATTGCACTTCCGTTCCCGTGATTCCACCGCATTAATAAATATGGCTTGTTTAGTTAGTACTCATCTTGCGTCTTCTATGTCCATCCAATACTCTGTCGTTCAACAAAATCTCGAAAAATCCAATTCTCGCCGTCCGTCCGTTTGTAACAAAAGGAAAACGCAAGGTACGCTCCTTACAGATTATTCCATCGTCATCGTTTCGAAAACTCCGGTACGCCATATGTTATAGGAATTTGAAATGAGTTTGAAATTATACTATAAATTTGAATAAATATTGTAAAGTGCATACAGTCAGTCCCATAAGTATTCGTACCCTGTATGTCTGATGCAGAAATTTATCTAGTACCGATGTGGTATCCAATTTCGGTTGTTCGTTAAGAACCTCGCGCTGAAAATCACGATTTTCAAAGCGGCGAATGGATTCAAAAGATTTCGACGAAGCCAACACGCTCGACCAAAAATCTGATTCAGAAGTCCTAGCTACGGTCTCTGTCCCGGGGAATGAACGCGTCTTCGGGTCCGATTTCGCGATAACGATGGCGAGAAAGCGTTAAATCTCGATGGACATCCCGATAATCCCGTCGCTTATAAGCAACTTCTTGTATCTTTCAATTACGTGCACCGGGACCGAGAGATCTTGGTACAGCGATAGGAAAAAAGGAAGATAGATAGCCGTACATCTCGTTGATGTTTCCAGTTACGTCGCGGAGCGACGGTGGAAGTTTCGTTTTGTACCCAGGCACGAAAGCTATCTACGGATTGGAAACGAGAAACTCGTAGCTGGCGATGTTCCAACTTCTCTTCCCCTTAGACATGCCACTCTCGCGACTACGTACTTACGGGAGTTTTGTTTTATGCCCGGCATTTTGCGCTGCCCGTGTTTAAACATATCTCGGAACGCGGACGAACCTGCGCTCTGAACTTACTAGGACTTCTCTACGTGCACGCGCGTTGTTTTAATCCCAGACGTTCCGCAGACGACGACATATTTTCGGAAATAGAAACCGCGGGTCGACCCTCCGCTTTGACGTCGATGCTGTTTTCCTACCCTTCTCCTACAACGATGATAAGCCACTGGAAATTATGGAAATCGAAGCATGGACTCGTCAATGTTTACGAGTGGAAGTGTCGGTATTTATTTCTACAAATAGCAATCCCCTGTTGTTGATAAATCTTCGAAATCGATCTCTTCGAAGATAGAACCTCGTGCAAACAATTTTATTTTCGACTAACTTTTTTACGAGGGATTTTTTGTTCGCCGATGCGATATCACCCTATATTTCTGTCGCGATTGTCGCCTTAAATTCTAGATCATATTTCCCGATATCCCGTGCATCATACTTTGGGGATTTTCCCAGCCTTCATTTGCGCCGCTGGAAAATACTTCAAACTTTTAAATTCTTCCATGGACTTACGCTTCGTTTTTCAGCGCTAAAAGACCACAAATTCTTCGCTTTCTTCTTGTATCTGGAATCTTTCGCTACGAGGAATTTATCGTTTCTTTGTCCTTTTAATAATATTAATCGTTTCAGTTCTTGCTCGGTAGAAAAGAATTATCGGGGAATGAAATCTTTTCAAACATTTTCTTCGACGTTTTAAAGAACTCACTTCGGTCCTTTATGGATCATATAATCCGATTGTAATACAAGTACATAATAACGGACAATTTGAAAGAAAAATTTATTCTCATAAACAGACGCTTTTATTTCTCCGTGGTATCGTCGATTTGTTATCTTCTTGTTCCGTTTGTCACGCGGGAGACAGCAATCTTCTGTCTCTCTTCCTCTCTTCGGATACAGTATAGGTACCATTCAATTTGGCAGCGTGTTCTGTGACGTCATATTTTTTAGGTTGCTCTTTTTTACAAGATACGTGCTTCGGCATAAAACCTTGGCGAAACGAGGCCCTCTCGACGTCACTTTTTCAATTTCTCGCGAATCTTCTTTGAATCGTCCTTGATTCTCGCTCAAGCACCGTTAATTAAATTACCTGCAGTTTGCGATCAATTGACACAGCGATTCGTTTAAACGCGTTCGAGTAGACGAGACATTTAAAATCTCATAAATATTTCCCCGATAATCTAAGGCTGATAAATGAATAATCGAATAGGTCGCTAAATTTTTAACTAACTGGTATGATATTTGGTTGCAGATCCGCCGATAATTCGAATGAGACCCGAAAACATCACCGTCAACGAGACCGAAAATTTCATATTATTTTGCGACTACGAAGCCAACCCAGCTACTTTGATAAAAGTAACATGGTGAGTTTCCTTTTAATCTACGATATTGACTGTCAGAACAGACACAAGGCGGATCTTTGGAAAACTTCGGCTAGAAAAATATGTAACACAGAATTCGACAAGGATAATAATTTGTTTGGTATCCAACTTCTGTTTGAATAATTTTCCGCGGAATCGCCGTAGACTGTACGTCGGTATCACCCTATCTTTATTATCGGTGGATTAACTTCTTGCTACTTCGATTCGATTTTATTACAAGGGTAATCGCGGTTAGTCGAAGCACTTGTAAAGCTCCGTATAGTCGATAAATTATACGAGCAGTTCTGCAGCAAACTGAGATGGGATTCGAAGCAACTGTTCGCAGTTTATTACCTGTTAACTTTTTTTTTTTTTTTTTTGATCAGCTGACTCCTGCGAGTCGTATCATCACAGTAACGATTCTTCGAGTCGTAAATAAAGCTAGTATTCCGAGGTGTGAACCCAGTTAAACTTTTAAAAAGCTTCAACTTAATATTAAAAATATCCTTCGTTTACGTCGCAACTGACAATTCACAATACACGTATATATAATATCGAAAATATCGGAAAAAGTGTTAAAGTAAAGGATTAAAAGCTTGTAATAAATGTTCGAATTGATGCTATTACACGGTTCGTATACCGTGCTGTTTACGAGAAAAAATTGTTGCGAGTTACAAAGTAACGTAATCGTAAAACTGTTTATCGACCGTGTAACGATATTAGGGTGCAAAGGGTTAATAAGCCGTATAAAACAGGAGTACGCAATTTCTGTTTGGTGAAATATATCCCAAAGAAAAAAAAAAAAAGAAAACGTGAAAATATGAGACGAAAATGAAAGCTATGTAAAAATGTATTTTTTAATTTCTCTCACATGCATCAACGTGTCATCAAACGATAGAATCGGTATTCGCGTTAGGGAAAACTTGAATAGCAAGGATCTCAAGTATCCACGTACATCACTCAACAGCAGCATTCGAAACGTCCGAATAGGAAGGCGTGAATCTATCGGGATGATTTATTATATATATTTCTATAGCGCGCTCTAAAAACCATATTTCACACTGATGCATGTAACGGCTCGCATGCGAGGATTCGATTCACAGCGTCGGCTTTGCGAGCGAGTATTTCGTCGGAAAAAGAAATTCCAAAACCACGGTCCGATAAAAATGAACAAACGCGATTACACTTGGAAAAATGCAATAATTACAAAAGCACCGGGATATCAATTGTTGGAATTACTCGGTGGCGGTTAGCTCGTGCCTGGTATCGGCTATCGATATTCGAGCCACTATTCTCACAAAAATCTCTCATCAACCCGACGAATCCAAAACAGTTATTTTTAATACAGACTTTATCTCCCGCTACAAACCGGGCGTAACTTTTTAGGGTTCTATCGACGCGCCAGGAATCAATTCACGTGTACGTTTTTAATCGAGTCGCAGTTATGTATTTAGATTATAAAAACGCGGTAGATACTTTTTCTAAAAATGTTCAAAATCATTACTAACCAATCAACGTAACTAGTTTGTGACTTCAGTCAACAACCAATTACGTTTCTTTCGAGCAGCTTCGCGTGTGGACGACCTAATAGGTTCCGAAATATTCGACCACATTAGTTTTGTCCCGCTTGATCGCTGAAATATCACACTGTGCGTTCTCTTTTTTATTTGCTGTTCTTTTCAAGCCGTGTTACGGGACATATTTATTCTGTTACTACCCATCCATTTCATTGCCTCATAGCACTTTTCACCATATAACGGTATATGAATTTCGGCTATTCGAAAGTAAAAAGATTTTCAATCTTAAAATATAATTTCGTATAAAGACGAATACTAACTCGAAATTAAGGTATTTTCGTAGTACATAATTACACCCTGTGCGTTCGTTTTGTTTTGTTCCGCAGGTTACGAGACGACGAGGAATTAGTTTTAACCGACGACCATTACGACGGTGGGACTTCGGAGCAAACGGACCTCACCGTGAAAAATGCAACACCTAGCGATCAAGGCACTTACAGATGCATCCTAGACAATAACATTGGTCCATCCGTTTCGGAAGACGTCATTGAGGTCTCCGTGTTTTGTAAGCATTATTTATTACATTTGTATATTATTATATTTACATATTTGCTGTTCATTTTCTATCTAACGTCCAAATAAAAAGATCCATTTGTGTCAAATAATTGCTGCATAATGCCCCACCGAGCTAGGAAGATAATTAACACGGGTTAGTTTCGTTGCAATTAGTTCCATTTGGTAGAGGAATTCAAATCCAAATAGACTACGCTGGATCGATGAACGCAGTCTGAAAGGAGTCCTCAGAGAAACTTTGTATAATAGCGAGTCGCTATTACCGACATCGGACTGCAAACGGTTAATCGTGGACTTTCACTATTAGTCAAGCATCGTACAAAAAGAAACAGCGCCGAATACGTCGCGATGCTTTCCGACGCATTAAATATTATTCACTGGAAATAGAAGGAAATTAAGAATATGCCTGTCCCGACTCTATTTATTCACCAAGCGTTAATCCAACTCTGAATTTAAATTATAATTTATTTTAAAATCCCCTCCCGTGTTTGATTTCTCTTCTTACGGTAAAAACGGTGAACTCGAACGGGAGATATTCCGTTATTCGCTTTCGAAGGTGGAAAAGCAAAGAAAAGGAGCAGCGAAAAAGGTACAAAACGAAGCCAGGGTTTATCAAAACGGAACAGTTCATTCCCCCCGCGGGAGGCGTTAATGTATCGTCGTGGATTAAACGAGGTACTCCTCGGCTGGTTATTGGTTTAGTGGGTCAACCATTCCATTTTCTGGAAAGTTAACATCGCGTCACCGTAAGCCCGACGGCGATACAATAAACTCCTAAATGCAGGCTTAATACCGCCCGAGGGTGTTGTATTTTCTTCAAATAATTCATGAAACGGGCCGAGAATTCGAACGCAGAAAATTAGTTCGCCAACCTTCTCCCTCGCCACGCCGCCATTGTTGTTTTTCCTTCTTCTCGTTCCCGAGCAAACTCCGCGGACGGTTCCCCCGAATTCTTTTGTTTTGAACTTGCTGAAATCTTGATTACCCCGCAGATAAAAAATGTTCCAGGCAATCTGCTGATTGGATCCTTTCCCCGAAACTTTCCTTCGGGTATTTCGCTGGCCCCCGACTCTCCGGCTGTCTTGTTTCCCGTGTTTATCCAACCTGATGTGGCGTTAAATCGACTGGGCCCTTCACGCGCGTCGAACGGCCTGTGAAGCTTCCAGCGGATCAGAGAAATATTTCTTCGTGCATACTGGAAATCAAGCGTTTCCCGAGGCTTACAAACATCTTAATTTCACCATTGTTCTCATATTTCACCACTGTTCGCAATCCGAAACTCGATATGTATGTGTGTTAAATCTGAACCAGAGTCGTTCCAACCCAAAATTGCTCCTCATCACATAGTAAATACAGATAAGGTGCTTTCAATGAAGGACAGGCTAAAAGAAAAATTCGCGAACCAATTTCAAGGCAGACCTATCCCAGAGCCACGAAGGAATCGATCATAATCCATCGTCTCACGCTCTGGCTGTTTGTTTGCCCTCAGATAAACCTGTGGTCGAAGTGATAATGGATCCGGAGGCACCTGTAAACGAGGCGGACCGTTTGAACGTCTCTTTGACCTGCGAAGTTGCTTCTGGAAATCCAGCGAGCCTGACCGCGGTCCGATGGTATTTGGACGGGCACCTGCTGAAAGAACTTCCGGATTGCACGAGAAATAGCACCGCGACCACCACGACCACCGAGGAATCTTTAATTTTCTGCGATATCGATCCGAGCAAGTTGCTGTTGGAAGCAGTGGGACGTTCCTTTCACGGGAACTACTCTTGCGAGGGCAGAAACGACGCTGGCTGGGGACCACTTTCGCCGAGTGCGCCTGTTATAGTCCATTGTAAGCTCCTTTAATTTTTAATCCCTCGATCCAATCTTTTTTCCGGCGGGTCCCGCATTCGGAGACTTTTCAGTCCGTTGATCTAAATTATTTTCTGCCTTGTAAAGATTCACAGGTGAGGACGCTTCGGGTCGTCGAAAATGGAACACGGTGAGAAGGTTCCCCGAGAATTTTCTCGGACCTGTCAGAACTGCTAAAGTAGACATTTCAGACGGAGGCGTACCTTCGTTGCTGATTTAACCAAGCTTCCTTGTTCGGAATATATATTTCTGATCTACACGTGAAACGATTTAATTGGATATTCAGAATTTCCAGACCGAATTCTCGAATAGTTACGCCTCTTGACCTGAAACGTTCACACTAATATTTCAAAGATAACAGTCCTATATACTTGATATCGGTCACATATTTTCTGTTGTCGAGCAAGTTTCAAAATACCTACCCGGTACCCCTACCTATCTCGGTGTCCCTCTAAAAAATTCATCAACGACCTTTTAACCTATTCGCCTTTTAACTCATTCAGTTTTGCCTTGGACCCCAAGATTTATTACAGATACGTAATCTAGGTTATTATTTTGATAATAAAAAAGTGATATTAAACTTTATTGTTTTAAAAAGAAAATTTACGATTTTCTTTTGCAATAATTCGTGGCCCAAAAGCCTATAAACTTATCCTTTGAGTAATCGCCAATTGTTACTCAAACTTAATATTATTCCAATTAGTTTGTAATTGCAATCTACGAGAATCTACGAGATATCTCGTACTTGACAGTGAATAGGTTAATTACCACGCGAACAGGTAGCGAACACCATATCCGCCAACCAAACTTTTCCACTGTGTTCGAATTATCGAACTAGAAACTAGAGATTGTTAAAGTGGAACTGTAAAGTACAAATTACGATTTCCTTATTGTTCCAAACGACAGACAAACCAGGCCCGGCCTCGATCTCGTACGAACCTCAGCAGGTAATAAAGAAGCGACCGTTGACCATCACGTGCTTCGTCCTGGACCCAGGACGCCCAAAGGTAGTTGGCTTCAAATGGTTACGAGGCCTTCACAGACTTCCGGATGAAAACGACGCCACCCTTACCATCGAATCGGTTAATTTGGAAACTGAAGCGAACTTTACTTGTCTCGCTTACAATGAAGCCGGCGACGGGGATCCGGCCACCACGTTTATCGACGTGTCTGGTGAGTTGTAAAGTTAGTTGAAAAAGTTTCTAATTCCCGCACGAATAAATCTGCGATACGTCTTTCGCGCGACGTTAAAATCGCTTGGACGTCTGAGGATGAGTTTTGATCGGAATAATAACGTTGCACGTGTATAAAGTGATATTCTTGCGATGCGAGAAAGTTCTTAGATTATGGTAACGAATACGTAGGAGTGTCGTAAATTTGCAAAATAATTGAAATGACGGAGCGAAGGAAATTTACGGTAATTATTTCTTCTCTTCTGTCTATGTTTGCTATGCAAAAAATCTTTCTCGAAAAATACCAAAGACGGTTACAAGCAACAGCTTCTAAACAAACGTCCATTACGGAGGCGTGTTCTGGGGTAGAAAATTTAGCGAGTTTCCTTATCTCTGGCTGGCAGCAACAATGTCACCGTTCCCGTTTGGAAACGCGGCTGAACTTGTTCTTTGATTGTCAATAGCGGCGCCAGCCTTTATCAAGAAACTGCTTCCTTATCACGGGTACGTGTACAATTCCCCGAACGTTAGCATCATGTGCTGGGTCGAGTGCGCGCCAATTTGCAATATTTCCTGGCTGAAGGACGGCATACCCATGGATTTCTCTAAAACGAATCGATACTATCTGTCGAACGTTCATCATCCGCCCGATCCACAAACGAACGACTTTGAGAGTATCCAGTCGACCCTGGTGTGGAACTTGACCGCCTGGTCGGGCGGACAGCTCGACAGGGTCGAAGACAACGTCAAATTCACTTGCGAGAGCACCAGCAACGGCATCGGTCCTGGAGTCAAAAGCAGCACTCATTTTCACGTGGAATGTAAGTCCTGTTGAATCTAACCGCCGCGAGATCGAGGGCTCCGAGATCGTTTAACTCTTCGGGACTGAGCGGATTAAAAAACGTCCCACCTTTTGCTTAGTATGCGAGATGGGATATCTTTTAACCAAGCAACGAAAATCGATGCGCGAATACGGCGCTATAAATCACTTTACTCCGCGCCGTTTACCTTCTCAAAAATGAATACCTAAACGTTCCTCGTTTTTTTTTTTCTCGAATTTTTACGGAAGAGCGGCCATAAACGAGGGTGTAAACGATAAAATACGGCCACTTCAGATGATAAATTTTTGTCCCGCAAGTTCCCCCGGAGAATATGACGATCTCGAGGAAAATAATAAACGTCATCGTCGACACGATACCGGAAACGGTGAACTGCAACGCGAAGGCGCATCCGGAGCCGACGTTCCGCTGGTTTCGGGAGGGCTCCACGGATACCATCGTCGAAGGTCGTGTTCTCGATTTGAAGGTGCCCGTGCCGCGAAGGAGCAGCGGAACTTACTACTGCGAGGCCCTGAATCGCCACGGAAGCAGAAACATCTCCATGGTCATGAATGTTCAATGTAAGTAAAGAAAGATTTGCTCCGCTGGCTTCGAGTCGTTTCGAGTGACATTCAAATATTGACGAAGATTTAGGTCTCCAAAGCGGAACACTTCCTACGGAAAAGATAGTCTTTTTGAGTCGTTTATTCCTCCCTTTGCATAACTGTCACCAACTCGATATTTTGGAAACTGTTTCGAGGATTTTGATGATCGAGGTCTCGAATCGTATGGTTCAAGAGCTCTTCGAAGCTTCGAGTACTCGTTAAAGCTAAAACTAAAAGGAAACTCGTACAAACGCGAATTAACGTATTCCATGAATCCATCTAAATATGCATCTCAAAAATTTAAATAGCGACTTAAATTTCACTCGGGAATGCGTAAATGAACTGCTACGAAATTACATCCGATGTTTAAAATTTAATTTTGAAGTACGTTGAGAGATAATTTTAACTAAATAAGCGTTAGTTCTACTCTCGGGGGTTCAGCAATGTTCCCCTTTATCGGGATGGCCAGCGAGAGGGTGAAGTTTGAGAAATACTGGGTTAGTGCATGTTTCATGTGACACCGATGTGTCCGTCTAAAACCAGCCAAATTCGAACATTTTCAATTTCACAGTTAAGCCCGAATGTCACGTGGAAAAGGAACGAATAGACGGCGAGGATTACGTGGTGTGCTCTGCGATAGCTAATCCAAAGGAGACCGATTTCGTTTGGGCATTGAAGAATGACAACGACACGTTGGAACAGATCGCCGAGATGCGAAATGGGAAAAGCTACATTCGACTCGATACATCGGTGACAAATTTCCGGACATACGTTTGTATCGCGAACAATTCTATTGGCCAGTCCACCCCATGCGAACGGGACGTTCCAGGTACGTTGAAAGAATAACGCAATGGCTTAAATTTGACTTAGTATCGTTTTGCTAATAATAATTGTCGACATTTGATTGTTTTCCTTTCGAATTTTAGATTACGCAGCAATTCGTTATACACCTGTTTCTGTATTTGTAAATAATATTTTCCATTCGCTAAATAATCGATTCTATAAATTGCATAAAAGCTCACAGGTATTATCGTTGAATGTTTATTTTACCTGAATAAGCGTTATTGTTGCAATTAGTTTGTAAATTGCATACTGTCGTTTCCAGAATCGAACGCCAAAAGCTATAATCAATGATTTTCAGTTAATTGAGTTTGGTATTAAACTCTCAACCGGTATTAAATACGCAGATTATATTGTTTGATACGTAGCATTCGGCACCATCTTCTGAAACGTCTACGAGCCTGCATAATTGCTTTGCATCATGTGTAACTTTTATTTTCATTCATTTACCGTATATTATTATATTTAATACGTGTATTATTCCGAATGCAATTTCAACGAAAGTACAAGCACTCGCGACCATTTATTACGGTTTCGGAACTTAGGATTTAATTATGAAAGAAATTCCATTCCGAAGTAGTGCGAATTTTTACGTTAAACGAATTCCGTCGCCATAGTCATTTCACGTCGCCTGATATTACATTCCAGTCGTAATTCTCGTATCACATCATCTGGCTATAACTCCCGTGTAACGTACATTGTCAGGATACAGGAGTCTGAAAGCGTGAGATTAAGGAAACCAAAAACCTCTGAAAGCAGCTTGAGGGGAGCTTTCAAAAAATGCAGTGACAAAAGTTTCCTCTCAAGTTTCCCGTTACACGTTACGAGAAAAGTAGAACGGATTTACGAATTTTATTGAAGTACTAAAGAACCCTTCGAAATATAGCCGGTACTTTTTCACAACCTTCTTTACCAGGCTTACAATAGCATAAAATCTTGCTGCCTTAATCTTGGTCCGCTTATTCTTCCTATAAAATGACAGATCGCGTTGCTTTTATTCGGCCGCGGTCTAATTTTGTAATCTAATTTACACGGTTCTCCCGAGAACGATACATTATCGTTTAAAAGCGTGTCGCACCTGCGTTATCATTATCTTTTATAACAGACAAGCATAAGTAATTTGATGATTTAGGCGATCGATCTCCATTCACGTTGAAAGTGACCGATTAATATTTAATTTACGATAACAAATTGACGTTGCAAGCATTACACGTTAACGTAACGTTTTTAATACATGGAAAGTCATTATTGAAAAAAGCTCTGGTCTCTCATGGCCTCCATTCGTAGAGTGAGAAATTCATTTCCTCGATTAGAGTGGCAATCGAACTTAATATTCTTCTCAGATAAAAGTTAATCACTCTGGATATTGCATTTTTCAGACCGTTTTGAATAAATTATAGATGTAATTCTTCTCGCCCAGGAATTATTATTTACCGAAGCAATTTCGAAGTAGAATATCATTCCTGATACTTTACAGTTGTAGTTTAATGAACTCAAAGTGAAACGTACACTTGCGACTCGCAACTACGTTGACGTTTCCATGTAACCACCGAAGCTGAAGTTCACAAATTAGATCTTTCCTCGATGGTCGTTATTTGCATTAAATTCGTAACTTCAATGTATTCGGCTAAACTCGATACATCGTCGATTTGCATTTCTCATTTATTTTGGAGGTTGAATCACTAGGAGTATAATTAATTTGGCACTGTGTTTGTAAGGTTAACGCCCATGATACGAATTTCCTGTCGAATGGAACAACATTCGAAGTCCTTTTAATTAAAATTCGCACTTTATTCGTTAATTGCATGTAGGTGGCGCGTGAATGTTTAATGGAACAAGGATCGTGACGATGGAAAAGTTATAGTTTTATTAAAATTCTATGTAAATACGTAGCAACATGAATTTTAAACAACTTTGGTAACAAACACAAAGCTTTGACGAAGCGAAACTAAATACAAGCATTTCCCGTGTTGCAAAGTCATTTGCATGTTTCATAATTCGAGGCTGGCCCAACCAACTCGAAATCGACTACAAATTTTTCATGCAATTGATACCCTTACAAAGCGCGTCGTAGACAAATTTCCATGAACATTTCTTCCTCCGTGAAACTTCTTACTAATCTTTACGGTTGCACGGGAATATTATTGGACAAATGGGAACCACTTTTCCCGAGGTTACGCCTTGGGACAAAGAAATGCTCACGTATGAATCACATAGACAAAATAATTCAAAACCCCTCCAGTGGGACGTTTACCCTCCGACTCCTTAAGTGTTATCATTTCTTCGTCGGAGAATGAAACTGCCCCGGGAGAATATGAAAATCCGACCGATTAAACGAATCCTCTATAAACATTGTCTGGTTCCGTTACGAAAATTTTCATAGAAATAGCTTCGTTGGTATCTTGTAATTTCGTATATATCGACGAGATATAACGAAATATCGTAGCAGAAAATACTGGAAAATATCTAAGAGTCTAAAACGTTGAACTTTATACGTTAATATCGCATGATACTACATAGGCCATTTTAACAGACAACTTATAATATAATAAATTATTTATATATAAACGAAAGTTCTAAAGTCTCTGTCCCTTCTTAGCTCACCATGGACACAGAAGTAAGTCTTCCCTTAATTATTATCTTAAACATAGTAAAGATATTTTGAAGAACTGAAACACTTCGAGTGCTAGGAGTACGTCTCGTGCTTAAATTTAGCGATGCCATATTCAATTAGCTCATCATCAGTTGAACGACCTTTGTCGTATACATATATAAACTCGCACGATAATAGGCCCCTGTGTAAAATATTACAAAGCAGGAGATACGATTAAATTTAGGTTGAAATATGAAAATCCAGCACTCGAGATTGCCTGCCTTAGCTTCGTATTTATAATACTATTTCACAGCTGCCGGTGACATTTGAATTGCAACTATTCCACTCTGTTATTCGGTTGCCAACGGCCGAGGAGTTCTGTGAAATAGCGTCGATCAGTCCCAAAGTTGCCCCGTTTGACATAGAAGTTTCCAAGTTATTCGCGTAGCAAAAACTAGCCTCATACGTGCCAGCGTAAACATGGAATTTCAATCGCGCGAAATCTCGGTAAAGTCGACGTGATCGAAATTTTTCAAGTCCATAAATTTCGAGACGGAAACTTACTTGACCAAAATAGTATCGCGTTGAATATTTATATTATTTCTAGACGACGAATTCGTCTATCGTTTTATCCGCTCGATTATTACGAGTGCAAAGTATCAAATTAACCTTGGTCAAACGATGCTTGTTCCAGGTCATATACCGTGGTGGCACCAATTGGAAGGGAATCTCCTTTTGATCGTCATCGTGGCTGCGGTCGTCCTCATACTTGTGATAATAATCATCTGCGTGGCGATCTTCATCGTCTGCCGACGCAAACGTAGCCAAATGAAATGTAAGTTATATTCTGTTTCATATTTTGTGATTGTGATCTGCTACTCACAATAATTCGCATGAAGTAGACTATCCAATGGACTTTCTTCGATATCGTAACCACGCAATGAACAGTATAAATAATTACGAAAATTAATAGACGTAGTAATGGCTCTGAAAACTGAAGAAATTATGCCTTGAAAAAGAGTCTAAAGAAAGACAGTCCAAAGTTTTGATAGCTACACTCGATAGCTAAAGTTAAAAAAAAATCATATAAATCGATAAACGATGGTTGTCCTAAATACTTCACATTCATCGAACACAACATGGGCATCACTTATATTCAGGATGTCGCTTTACGATAAATACGCATTATTTGAACAGTTTGATCGATGTAGTAACAGAAAAATCTTGGAGTAATTTTCACACAATTTTTACACAAAACTTAGGTGATTGATTAAATTAGTTGTTTAGATACAAATACGAATCCCATTGATAAATTTCTACAACCGATTTTACACGTATTATTATTATTATTATGCTTACATGTTTTTTTTTTTTTTTTTTTTTTTTTATCAAATTCGTAAAGTAAACATAGCAATGTAATTTACCAGTATACAGTACGAAGTAGCTTCTTTCGTTGGTATCGACAAGAGCAAGCATGTAATGCATATTTGTCGTAGCACCACCTCATAAGAATTAAATTCGATAGATCATATTTGCTAGAACAGTTATTATCGAGATTGAAAAATGAAAAAAAAAATGTAATGACAGTCAGTTCCTGCAACGCAACGCAATACATTCCTTAGTAGGTCACGTGTTGCACTATTTGTTACGTTATTCACTTTTAAAAACAAACACCATTCATAACGATGAACACACGTGCATTCGTAAAATTTTAACGATTTGCACGATACATATATATATATATATATATATTCACAAACGTTACATTTCACGAGTTTCTCGCTAGTAAATTAAACGAAAACAAGTGTCAACAATTCGTCATACCAAACACCGAAACATCACGCGTTTGTAAAAATACATTTATTGCCATTAAGTCTGGCTGCAAATATATCTTTTCCCTATCTAATAACAATGCTTTTAACAGTCAATAATAATCTTTATGTTAAGCTTGACGTGTCAGCACAAAAAATGTGATTAAAATTATATGCAAACATTAATTTAATGGATAAAACTTTGATTGTTATTTTTGTATCAATGTAATAAGAAAGTTTAATTGCACCACTATATCTGTATTGTTAGTAACGAAGTTGTCATGTTATTAAAACTTTGTATCGTGATCGGATGACTGCAGCCAGACTCGCATATAAATCATGCACTGCATACATTATTTTACGTTGTTATTATCGCATAGTTCATGCTAGTTACAAGAAGAGCATGTCTATTATGTTACGTAATCGTATAAAGTAGATGGACAATGCGAATTTCTCATTTGAATGTGAAAACAAGTACATATACATATACAAATTATTAATTATACGAGCCTGTGCCGCGTTGCTGTGAAAACGAGGAAAAATGCAAATCTTATCGATTACTTCGTGGACATTTATAAAGATAACATCAACCGCTTCTGTAATTAATGAGGAGGAGTTCCCTTTGATTTGTAATTTTCAAATTAAATTTTATCGTTACAGCGATTTTACTATTTTTCTTTCCGCTTTAACAACGCATCTTTGAAACTGTACTGAACCCTGACATTCACTCTTGCTGTTGCGCAATTCAAAGATGATACTGTACAGTCTCAATTTGTATTTGAACCGCTATTAGTCGTAAATAAATAAATGTTAGGTTTACATGTAGAAATAATTAAATGAAACTTTTATACGGTGTACAGCGCACCCTTTCTTTTCTTGCATACTTGTTTCTCGCATTCCAAAGTATCTATAGATTACGTTCATAACTCCACGGCAACTTTTCTAGTTATAACTTCCGCTATTCCGAAGAGACACTTAAAGCTGAATCCGCGAATAAAAGAAATAATTTTTATATCGAGTTATTCCCCGTACATCAATTATTTCTCTCATCGTCGAAGAAACACGATTTTCAAACGATACAACATAAACTACACTTCTTTTAACCCTTTCAGACCTGAATTATTCTTTTTTCTCGTATTAAATTCTAATAGTGTAGTCTTCGAGGAAAACTGGTCTTTTTTCGTATGCAGAAATAAGGGCATTCGTCCTAAACGACAGTGTCTTGTGTGTGGTAATTTTGTGTCCTCGATTGTGGACGCCAGGTCTGATAGGTTTAACCTCCAACAACGAAAGAAATCCGTAAGAAACGAATCGTTAAAAATGTCCACGAAATCATTGGTTCTTTCGCGTAGAGAAAAAAAATATTCCGTTCCAAGAGCGGCACGTGGCTCGCGAATTTAACGGGATCCAGCTCGGAAGTTAGTTGGCGTTAATTAAATTCGTGCCGCTGCGAAGTTGAAACTCAAAAGAACACCCCGAATTAAACGCAAGGCTCGGATTCGAACGTAGTCCTCGAGGTACAGCAGCTGGCAACGGTCTCGTACAGTAGTCTCCCACTAACACAGAAAAACTGATTCGTTTCTGCTCTACTTTTTAATTTGGACTTGCTAAACAAAACACAGACAGTAATCGGGTGGTCGAGCTGGAGGAACGCGAACAGTAAGTACGAAATACAACCCATCGGCGCTCCCTTTCTCCCTTATCACTCTTCACGTTTATCTTTCTTCTTTTCCCTTCGTACACTGCTCGATGTTCTTCTTCTTCTTGTCGTTTCGCCACTCACCATTCATCTTTCGTTGCCCGCCGATCTCCTTTATTTTGAAAGATTACCCCAACTTCTGGTCGGTTGATGTTTGCGTCCGCATGGTGGCTATATTAGACGTGCTTCCTAGGGATGGGATCGAGTCTCGTGCCTCGGTGGTAAACCTTTCGTGAATCCAAGTTTCGAAAATTTCAAAGAAATATTATAAGTCACAATCTAACGTTTATCGGCGATTTTCGACGTCGACTTCTTCAGGCGCGATGAACATTAAATTATGAAAGTTTTAAAGAGAAATGATCATTCTGGAAGAAAACGATTCAAATTCTCGAGAGGTATCCTTCATCTGGAGGGTAATTAAAAAATTTCCAAGGGAATATCTTTCATCGCGAAGAAAATGACAAAGATACACGTATCAAGGAAACACTCGAGACACGTACAGGAAGTTGTAGTCTAACGGGTCATGACTTGAACCTACTCGCGAGATGCTTGATCCCATCCCTGGCTGCTTTAACTTATCTGGAAGAAAATGTAATCGTATTTTTCGCTTTATGAAACCACCGCATGCGCACGACAGCTTACCGGTATGCTAATAATTTAGTAGAATTAATTTGGAGCACATTGTATATAACACTGTCTACCGTACATGTACGGCTGTATGTGCTACTGTGCCACGATGCCCGCAGGGTCCCAGGTTACTAACTCATCCTTGGTAAATCTCGTTATACGATTGATCGATGGAATTATCGGTTCATCGTATCGACAGTTTAACAAGCCGAGGATCTGAAGAGGATTCTGTAACACCGTCATGTCACGAACCGAAATCTTCATCTTCGCGATCGGGGTGATAATTCAAATTAAACTACGAAACAGTTGTTCGACGGGGAAATGTTCGTTCGTCGAGTACGAATGTTCAATAATCTGCTTCGAAATAAAATTCAAGAATTATTGTATCCTTAAGAAGACCAGAACTAGTAGAAAGACATGGCGTGTTACACGATTCCGATCTATATACTTAGTACAAGAAAAACAGATTTGGTGATATCAAAACTATTATTTAATTTAGTCAAACTTCTTCGATAGACGTAAAGGGTACGAATACTTATGGGACTGGCTGTATATATAAGTATCGTGTATTATAATTTAAATGTGTTTCCAATGTGTTGAATGCGATGTCTGAATGTATTCTGTCGCGTGGTGTGGAATTTCATCCGATGTGTATTTCTATTGGTGGTTTACCACGAGGTAGAGATGGATGTATTTATAAGTGATTGGTAAGTTTGAGGGTAAAGCCGGGATTTCACATGCTTGAATGGTGGATAGCGGTGGCACGGAAAAGTTTCCGACGTTTTGTGGATGAGGATAGATTATACAATCTGACATCGGATGATACTTGATACAAAAATACGTAAAAAGTACGAAACAGTCGAATTTAGTTTAGGGGTACATTCGACCCACTTATGGGCATAACTTGTACACAAATCAAACTTTACGATGCGTAGATTCATAGTTTAATCTCGTTACGATCTCTACGATAAATCACCAAATGCCACCGTACTTTTCACCCCATGAACGCTGATCTTCGACGGTGTATGGGCGTTTAACGCGTGTACGTATCATCGGTATCATGACTTATCGACTTTATTGGTGTGAGTTAACGTAACAGCAACCCCGTGATATGTGTAGTGTGCACGAGATTGTCTCCAATCTCCGATCTCACAGGAAGCCGAGACATCGCTCTCTCTCCAGCTCTCCCCTTTCCGTCTCTCGCCCAGTCTTCCTCCACGGTTGAATGCACGTTCCGTTGCATAATTTAGTGACCACTTCCGGCTTATAATAGTTTACTGTCGAAGTCTGCGTAGAGGTGAGGCAGGTAAGGGTTGCACGTGTAAATGAATAGGACGGCGAAGTTCTTTGTTATTCGAATGCAAAGCGTCCACTGGCGCCCTTTGTTGCATAATTTAGAGACGATTAGTTGTACCAGTTGATCTCCGTTACAATGGCACCACTCTATTCCGTCGCGGTGACACTTTTGCGAGGTGAAAGGTAGGTGAAGGGTTGCATGCTCGATGAGCGGAAAGCTTTCTCTCTTTCCTATTGACACGGCCGACGTTCTAATCGTGACCTGAAACGAAGAATCCTTTTCGGCGGTACATTTTTCGACTCGCTCTGCTATCGAACGCGACGAGAATATTTAGAACGTTCGTTAACGTCGCGCCGGAATTTAAATAAGTAAGCAAGCGTTGTTGAAATTGAACCATTATCGGTGTACCTTTATTAGACCGGCAGATGGTATAACAAGCGTTGAAAAATTCAACGGGAACGACATGAGGTTTTACTTGGCTTCGATGCATTTTAATCCTGTCGCGTCTCGAATCAAATCTAATCGGTATTGAGAACAATCGTAGCTCAGGAATAGCGACAAGTTGTAAACAAAAATAAAGAGATAGACTCCCATTTCGAACAGTGACCTTCGATAAACCGCCACCACCCCCTGCATCCTATGCATATGCAATTCATCATGTACGAAGAGCGAAAAAAAACGAATTTTATTACCAAAGCATCATGGAACTGTGACTTTCATATTTTGAATTGCTAAACTTAGCGTCGCGTGTTCCGTTCTCGGTGGTTTTCGAAAATATCGCCAGGGATATCTTTCGCGCCGGGATTTTCGAACCATTCGATATTCAACCGGGGGATTATTGTTCGAAAAACAGGGAAACCGTCGAAGCACGGCGGGATTCTTTCTATATTTATTAAAACCTTTTGAATCGATTAACCTGTTTTCGCGTTACAGAGACTTTCCCAACAATAAATCTGTTTTCGCCGTTAAACTCGCGGAATCGGTTACAATGAAAATGGAAAATTATTTGGAAAATACTCAAAGGAAGGTACGATCGTTTCGAACTTTAATTAAAAAGTTCGAAAGGGTCGGGCATCGCGTTAACGTTCAATAGTTTAGTACCTTGCGAAGCAAAGCGAAAGCAATCAAAAGGATTCTTCTTTTCAGTTTTATCTTCGAGAGTAACCTTTTTAAGTGCTGTGTCCATACTGTACCCTACTGTATTATTCAAGCGTTTCCTCAAACTTCGGAACAAATGTCTGATTAACGGAAAGTCAATATTCTATCTTTACTAGGAGTCCAATTAAATGTGCACAGTTTATCTTGTTATAGAACCGCGATGCCTTGAAAATACTTCTCAATTTGCTTTGTTTACCACCCTTCTAGTAATTGGCAAGCTCTCTCGAGACGTTACACCTCAATATTTTAACAGCTGTTTATTACTGGTACAGTAATGGTAATGGTATACAATTATTTCGCTCACGTGCAAACTAAACATTTTCATCTCGATTACGATAATATTATTTTCACGCTTGAGTCCGTGAAACTACCATCTTGAACCCTTCTCAACCCTTCTCAACACGTTGATCGCCACGTCACTCGTATATGCGTGACAGCGCTTTTCACCTAAGAACAAAATAAAATAAAATTAATTCTGAAAGTTAAATGTCAAACAAAATGAATTCGAATGAAATATTTGAACTACGAATGTTTGATTATGTAGTTTCTAATAATCTATAAACAAAGTTTAGTCGCAGCAGAAATTTTCAAGCGTGTCAGTCTGGCAGTGAACGTGTTATTTAAGAGGCATATACCTTTCCTCTCGAATCTTTTTGGGAAAACTTTCCGAAGACACAGTACTAAAAAAGTAAACGCGATTAGATCGCTGGCATGAAAAATAATCGTTGCACAGTCCCGACGGTGGGCCACCGAGTCCTACGGTGTCCTCGCACTCGACCCAGGCACCTGTGCATCCGACACCGGCGCCAAGGTGGCCGTTGAAGCCTGGCGTGCTGGTGCACATCAATCGGAGCCACAGTCTGCGATCGGGTCTCAGCGTTCGTGCCAGCGAGACCCTGCGAAACGAACTGATCGCCAGACGACGCGACGAGCCGATGGCCGATCGATTCCTAATGGAAACGACGATCGTCAAAGTGCCAGCCAAAGTGTTCCGCAGGAGGAAGGAGAACGCGCGGAGGAGTCTGACCGTCTCTAGTCTGCATGACGACGGTATGATTGCCAGGGCTAATAAGATTAAAGCCATGTTTGGAGTACAGCTTAAAGAGCAGGCCACTTTGCCAGGCATTTCCAGAGAGAAGACAGGTGAGTCTGCGTGTACACCCTCAGCCGAGAGCGTGGCCGTAGAACTGTCCCGTTAAAGTTGGCAGGCACGAGACGCCTGAAACTTTGACGACTACATTTTACGAGGGCTAGGAAATTGTAACCCTGTCAGCCTGTTAATTTCGTCCGACTTTATTCGGAAGCTTGAATTCATATTTGTGTACCAGCTTCCCGTATGATCCTTGAATATTTATACAGTGCCTGTTCCCGAGTCGCCGGACGCTCGCTTGTCCGGCATGGGAAAATGCAAATTAAAACGCGAACAATTTCCTGAGGGTGATCACATTAACGCATTTTCAAATTAAAAGGCGGTGGCTTTTCTTGGTTTGCCCGGGGAAATTTAATCGCGTTCGACTCTGGAGTTTTTAAATTTTACAGAGGGGTCTTCGAAATATTCTACAATTGTATTTTACAACTTGAAATTACCAATTTTATTCAATTTTTTACGTAGAATCACTCCCTACTCACTTGCACCACTAGTTACGGGACACCCTATATATTGTTTTCTTTACAAGGCTCGCGAACCGTCATCATAGAAATTTGGAGAATTTCGGTCCTAACGCATTGTTTATAAAATGATTCCTCGAATCTCGTCGTCGCGTTGATCGCGCAACGCTCGATATATGAAAATGAGTCGCGAAATGAAGCGCACCAAATTTCAATTTGTTGTGGAAATGATTCGCATACGCTTAATTAAAAATACAGGCCGGTTGCAATTTCACAGTGTTCATCGAAGTACATTGAATACTTGATAAGCGTGGGTGGCTCGCGGAGATCCGATTGCCCGTTCGAACGAAAAATTACATAATGTTTGCGTATCTGCTTGCCAACATTAAAAACAGTTCACTTGATCCTTTGAAATAAATTACCATTAAACCCTCCCGCGGTGCTTGTTAAATTACAATACGTTTTAAAGCGTACAATACTAAATCGTCAACGGATTCGAGAGGGCAGATCTTGCGATATATCTGGTAATTGCCCGTGATTACATATTTTACATACATCAGGGCTTTTTCTGTGTGATATTTTCCATGACCTCTCGAATTCTTTCAGCGTTAATCCTGTTTAATTCCCTTTATTGGTAAAGCGTTTAGAAGATTTAATTCCAAGTATACTGTTTATTCCCCTTTTGCGCGATTCGTTGGGTTTGCTCGCCCCGAGGTAACGCGTTTAAAAATCAGAAAAATGTCTGGAACGATGAAAACTTCTCGCGGTTAATCCACCAAGTGTAATTTTTACTGGTAAATCTCTACTTACACCAGATGTAGATGTTGCAATTGCTATACCAATGTACGAAAATAACGCGTATATAATCCTCGAAAAATAACGAGTATTTTCATTCGCTCTTTTTTTTTATATATATATCGTGGCAAAGCGCAATTGCATCATTCAGTTTCCAATATTCATTCCGAATTCATGATACAGTCACATTAATGTTAAAATAATCCTTTAGTAATGTCGTATTATTTATTTTCGATCGTGTCTGCCTCGTGTTGTTGCGTATCGACGTTGCAATGTTGTTTATTATCCCGTAATTCATGGTTCCCTTCTGCGCGTTTCTCCGTCAATTGATTTTTACTAACTCTATAAAATCACGTTCGATTAAATTACTTCCATCGATCCACAGGAAAAACGGCACATAATTTATAAAGAGCGTCGAGGTTCCGAAGTTGTTCCAGAATTTTTCAGCGGCCCTTGTAGGTACAAATGAACCATGCAAATTTCCCTGGTCCAGCAAATCGTCCTAAACAAACAAAAAAATACCATTCCCCTTCGATATGTCGCACGTAACAGCCAGCTGCATGAAAAAAAAAAAGGCTTTATGTGTTCGTGTCATTGCTTTGTTTTGTGTTTTGTGTTTCCCTTAGCTGTGACTTACAAAAGAATAGCGCCACGGCAGCGGATATTGCATGCGGAATCATCGTGCGAATTGAATCGTGGCAACGTTTCCCGTAAGCGGAAAAAACCTGGCGCAGGTACGTATCACAAATGTACAACACGCGCATGGCTCGCGTGTTCGCATCTGTCGACGATTAAACACGAATTTTCCTTTCTCTGCGCTGATTTTTACCCGTTCAGCGGATGGACAAATTTTGCTGTCTTTTTTTTTTTCGGCGCGTGGTGTTTGCACGTACAGGATTACGACCAGAGCACGCGATCAACTAAAGCGATCGAGGATTAAAAGGTACGTGGGCTCTTAAATACACGGAAAGTTTTTGAGTTTTCCTGACATTTTACAGGTTGTTTTATTAGGTTGTGCTACACGAATTAAAAAAAAGTCAAGAGTCGATCAGCAATAATATTCCTAATTTAACGCGATACGTGACCTGATTCGTATAAAATTAAAAAAAAAGAAAGGATGTTAAAAATAGGAGGCTCGAGAATACTCGAGAAAGTCGACTTCGAAGTCGTTAGCAAACGCGTTCGTTAGTGGTTGCTTCTGCTTGTGTTGGTAACGATAAACACCGATGTTGGAATTGGTATTATCTTACCGTCTTTCAACCAGGTAGAACCAGTTAAAGTAGAAAATAGCATACCGTCGTTGACGCGTGCAAACATCAAATAAAAATCGCGTGTTTGCTCGATGAATTTTCGAAATCGATTTTCTCGTGAACGAAGTCCCGTAGGAAAAAATTTTATTTCACATGTTGAATTCCATCTCGCTGCTGAACGCAAATGCGTTCCGATCGAGTGACAAATATCGAAACATGTACACTACTGGAAGCGAAGGTTGATGAAAAAAACAACGAATTTGAAATGAAACCGTATTTCCTACGACTCACAGCATGCATAATCGTATTAGATAAGCGAATCTCTGAGACTATGAATTTTTCAACGCATGATTGTTGAGACTTGTTTGCTTTTCTCAATGAATGCCCACCGACCCCAAAACTGTATACCTGTACTTTGTTGATGCTCTAATCATCTCTATTAATCGAATGTTTCATTCTGTGATAGAGCCATTGTTTCAGCAAACTGGTGTAAACGATTCTTAGCATCGAATAGTATTTAACCCATTCACTGTCAACTACGAGATGTCTCGTAGTTCAAATCGATTGCAACTACTCAAGGGATAAGTTTATAGTCTGTTGAGTCGCGAATTATTGCAAAAGAAGATCGTACACTTTTTTGTTAAACAACAAATTTAACATCACTTTTTATTACCAAAATAATAACCTAGACTACACATCTGTATCAAGTCCTAGCGACCAAAGCAAAACATTTTAAATTTGGCTGGGAGTGAACGGGTTAAACAAATGCGTGGCATAGCCGAGGGAAGTTTATCTGATCGACGATTATAAATATTTTTTCGAGGTATTTTACAAATGAATAACAAAGTAACTTGCGGTAAATAACGTGAATGAAATTATTCATCGAACCGTATTATACTGAAAAATTAAATGTTTACACGCGAATTGGATTCATTCAATTTCAGCGTCGTCGGTTCGTTATAAATCCTGTACGTACAAACATTTGTGTGCAAATAACGTGAATCAGATGTACATATCGTGTTTACGAAACACGACAATGAGACAGTTGTAATTTACTTAATTAAAGCTTCGCGTTGCACGCCGAGAAAGCTCCTTTGCACTCTTCGTATTTAATACGAATAGTAAAAAACAGCGATTGGTATTTCCCGAAATAAAGTGGCAATCAAACTCGACCCTGTACACGACCATCTGTCTATAAATGGACACATGATAATTGTAGTTTCAATTCTGTTACTGCTATATTATTGATAACATTCAAGATCGTATACCTAAATTGTCGATAGTTCGTTATTTGAAACGAATAATGCATGCATTCCCGATGGAGCACATTATGCGATATAAAGGGTTCAGTTTGAAGTTGAATTTACATTACCATAATCGACACAAAAAAAAAAAAAATACTTTGCGACGTCCGAGGTATATCAAACGTACGACGACCGTAGATATAGGCATAGCTATTCACTTGTTATAGGATTTAGGATGACACATCGATACTTCAGTTAAATTCCTCTCTTCTCTCTCTCTCTCTCTCTCACACACATACACACGCGTACACTGTCTATCTCTCTCTTGTGCACTGGACGACCATTCGCTTAAACCAGTGATTTCCAAACTTTTCTATTCTGAAAGAAGATTCACGTAAACTCGTGGTAAGATTGTTCGAATACCAATGGGATATTAAAAATGCTACAAAGACGATACAGGCGTACAATCGTTGAACTTAAACGCTGAATCTATTAATACAGGAAGAGAAGTTTAAATTATCCGCATCGAAAGCTTTCTCTCGCGCCTAGTACGTACATAGTTTGGAAAACACTGACTTAAACAGCCCTCCCCCCCCACCCCCACCCCCACCCCCACTCCACCCCCACTAGAAACTTTCCAAAACGGATACCATCACGTGTCTCGTAGGTCTCGCCTGATACTCAACCTCGCGTGTCGTTCGTGTTTAATTATGCAAAGTCATGTTTCATTTGCACTTACAGATCCCAATCAAGCTGCGAATAACAATCACGTGAACAGCGTGTCGGAGGGTCTTCCCGAGCCCGGGGCAAAGACGTTTTACGAAAACCTGCCTTTCCACGGGATCCAAACGCCGCCTAACAAGGTCAGTAAGATATATATACCCGACGGTTCTGCCATTGGTTGTCATTAAAGCATGATCTCATACTTTTACTTTGTAAGTTTTCCACTTGCGTGCTTGTTAGTGAAATGCGAACGATGGAAGGCGCTCGCCGACAGAACGGTGGGAATTCACGCGTCAGGAATTCATATTTTCGCCGACAAAACATAAAATTCAAGTGAAACATAAAACGTGCATGGATTTGTTCTAGAACCATACCGCGTCCGTATGCTTCTGCTCCCTTCGCGTGTGCAAGATGATATTCGTATAAAACAGCGGATTGGGTTTTCCCCAAAAATTGAGGAGACGGGAAAGAAACTGTCGTGCTCTGATATTTTATTCGGAGAAGGATTTGATCGTCTCTTTCCTGTTCTTTTAAGTACTTCCTTCTTAGGAGGAATAACTCACAAACGATAAGCTAGTAAGAATAAATGAAATAGTGAAAAAAGAAACGAGCTTAAACGATTATCATCGATGGATCATCCAAGTTTCTCCGATAAAGTAAACACGATCTCGTTAAGACTCCCTAGGATATTAAGGAATCGGAACGTCCCTGGCAGACGTTTAACGGTAACTTCGTTTAACAATAGAGAAACAGCTCTTTTCAAGCGAGTTGTGCATTGACAACCAGCAAACTCCGTTTATCAACTTCCGTCGAGTATTCTTACCAGTCACGATTTATAAAATCAATATCGTTCACAGCGCCCGCACAATGTTACAACGAGCAAAGGGAAAAATGTTCAATCCCGAGTTTACAAACTTCATAATATCCTTGGAACAGACCAAGCGGGGAACGGGGGCACGAAACGATAAAGTAAATAGAGGAAATCGTGTTCGTAGAATTTCCCGTTTTTCAACAACAACTCCAACGATATTCGTTGGCGGGAACGTTCAACCTTTATTATTATTTAATCGAAAACAACGCATTTCGCGGCGTTTAAATCGCGGCGTTCCACTGGAAGAACACTCGTTTTCTTAACTGAAACAGTAGGGGGTGGGGGGTTGGGTCTCCCTTAATTAACGCCAAGCCACGGTCGTGAAGTTGAACGGAGAAAAAGAAATAATGAAATTGAGAGGGTTGACGATGACAGAGGTAGGAAAGAAACCCATTCCCGTGAAAAACCACCAAGGGCAGAATAATGGGACAATAGTTTTCGCTTGCGCGAAACGGCGCGTGGAGAGCCCCCTGGATGAGGCTAACTCGGGGTACGAATGAAGGTAATCTGATGAAAGGGGGTCGAAAATATCAGAAGCACCGGGAACTCTCGAGACTCTTAACCGCGAAATGCAGCACGGAAAATCGTCACGAAATAATCGCATTATAAGAAGCTGGAGTGCTGGGAGTTCGAGCCTTGCCCTTCGCGGAAAGGGAACCTGGAGGACGTCAGAAACACAGGAAGCACGGTGTACAAAGATCTAGCGGGGAGTAGCTTTGTGGCGGGAGCCTTTAAGCGCAAAGTGCCTAGTTCGTAACGGGTTCCCTGCTAATATTCAATCCCTGTTCGCTGTGCCGTGATTCTTCTCAAAAACTCTAACGAGAATCTCATCTTAAAGGGGGTCCCTTGCTCTGGTAGTTCGGGGACAGTGAATCGATCCTGCCTAAACGCGTTCCCGAAAACTATTTCCCGATTACGATTCGAATTTCGTGACGGATAATGATCGCCTAGTAATATCCAGATAAAGTTTCCGCGGGTGTGCTGATGTTTCGCGTTTTACGCGAGCGATCGTCGCGCAGATAAATAAACATTTGAACACGCGATATAACCGCTGATCAATAATTTACATATTCATCTCTCGCGGCGAGTCGGGATGGTTCGCGCGTTGAATTATGGATCTCTGGGAACGGGAACACGTCTGGTAAAAGCTTCTGGAACCGAAGATGGGCGACAAAAGGGACCCAGGCTAACGTCTACTCTCTCGCCTCTTCGCTTTCAGCTTCTGTCCATACTCAATTACTTCGGATACGAACCGTCCTGCTTCCGATACGGTCATTACAGGCCCACTTGGTTAAATAAGAGAGGATTAACCTCACTTCTCGCGCGGCAGATGCCATAAACTATACCTACCGCAGCCCCCGTTCAACGCGCACCAGGCCTCCTCGTAAAAAGCTAACGACTCCTTCTACGACTTTCTTCCCCGCTTCTTGCGAGACAATGCATTAGGGGTGCTGCTGGATTTCAGCTGGTTTTATTATTTATCGCGCGAAACAGATCGATGTTTTCCACGTCTCGGTGGGAACTAGACAATGGGAACTGGAGGAAAATTACGTCTGTGGGTCGCGAACTTCGGGGGAGCCTTCCCATAAGAATTCCACGAAAGATAAGGTTACTTTCAGGATGTACACTCGACGTATTTAGAGATAAATAAACTCAAAGCATTAACGTGTCGCTTCGATGTCGAACGGTGGAATGACTTGTCCACTCGACGAACGTTTCATCGGGTGGTGAATATTCCGAGCCATCATTGCATCAACTTATTCATCATGCATCGATGGTTCTCGCGTTGAAATTTGAAAGATTAATCGTACGTGAAATGAATAATTAATTCGTGTCTCGCGCTACCTCGTATTTTCAAAATACTAACGATAGAGCAAATAACATTTTGTTAATTATGACGACCGATGACGGTCTATAATTTATTATACTTAAATCAGCGTTCGGTAATTATAGTAATTTGTATTCGATTTATTGCATCGAAGATAACGTTCGCAAGTTATCCCGTCGACGTTTTGACTTAATAAAAGCGATCAATTCTGATAACCAATTTAATTCTATAACATAGATTTAGATATTTAGAAAATCCGTAAATCGATCTCGTTTATCCAATTCTTGTACAATCGAGATTATCCGATACAAAAGTGTACGGTCACGCGTGTGTTGCGTTTCTCACGGTAAAATTCGAAAACGCGATATCACGGCGTGTATCGGCAAATTCTTTTCGTCAATTTTTTTCCTCGTTTTCGAGTGGTGTCCATTAACGTTCAACTATTTCATTCTAAAACGGGGGACTCGCATAGACTAGAAAAATTCTAAAAAGCGTTCATTTCGGTATTCGAGTACTACGTAAACAATGAAACATTTACACAACACCGATTCCACTTTCTGTCTAGTTTCCTTCGTTCGAGTTCAACGTTTTTTTCTCTCTCTCCCACTTTTTCTTTGGGAGGAAGAGGGGAATGCAGGCTCCGCGGAGGGACGAGTTTAAATATCTGGGCTACGAGACGGGGCGAGCTTCTGACGACTATTCAAAGCTGATTCCTCGGGAGTATCGCTCGCTTCGTTCGAATTGCAAAGCAGGTTTCCTAAAAAAAACGTTGTAACGAACCGTCCTACACAGTTCTTTTTCCAACTCCAGTTCCTCGTGCCACCGTATTTTCCAAGGGAGAGAGAAATAGTGGCGAATAGAAGGAACACTTACCTTAAAACTGACATCATGCTCCCAAGCCGTTCGGTTCACGACGTCAAAGAGCGGATAACAATGAATAAAAGTTCCGTCGCTTCCTACGGTTTTGCCGAAACGATCGAAATTTCGGAAATAGAAACGAGCGAAACTTCTCCTATGATCGCGTCAAGTGTGCGTTATTATTCCAATTCGGAAAGTCGCGACGACAGCGAGGTAAAGCCGGGAGGAAACGGGTCGGTAGAAATAATTAACTCTCGAACAAACTTTCTAACAAATGGAACTAGAAAGTTCGAGGATGAAAGTACGGTAGAGTGGTAGTTTAAGTGAGTTTCGATCCTTTTCTATCGGTCGTGTAATTACTTTCCGTATAGTTTAAATAATTCTGCATGATATCACAGATTTCCCATCAAATTTCGATCTTGCTAAGTAATCGCGCTGGAAATCTACCAGCATTCCCTCGTACGCGACCGTTTACAGTCAACCTGTTTTTGTGCGGTCTTGTTTTATGCGATTTTTTTACATTTGAATTTAACGAAAGCGAGCATATACATAACCACGATCGATTATTAACCCATTCACTGTCAACGACGAGATGGCTCGTAGTTCAAATTGATTGCAATTACTCAAGGGATAAATTTATAGCCTTTTGAGTCACGAATTATTGGAAAAGGAGGAAAACGTAATTGTTCGACATCATTTCAAAGCAATAGCCAGGCGGAAATCAATTTCCTAGAGACGCTAAATAATCAGCGAGTCGATAAGTGTTGGTCAATTTGCATCTCACGTTACCCGAGGCCTTCTGTGATTACACGAAATTGTCAGCGTCTAATCAAAGATGACAGCGCAGCCTCGGGCGCGTATAAAGCCCTTTCAACGTGTGACATGCTCGGAAACCTCGAATGGACATCCCATTTCAATAATTACAAATGTTATAATTGTCACTCGACAATAAGATGACTCCCTTTGTATCTTTATCGTTAACCTTTTGCGCTTCAACACCCTACGCGAGCTTTACACCGATCTTCTCTTTGAGCTAATTAACAAACTGGTACTTTTCGGCGAGTCGACGATTAACCGAGATAATTAAACGCATCGAGTCATCGAGTCTTTAATTCGCTCGCTAGTAAAAGGATTTTAATAGTCACGCGGGGAAACGAGAGTTAAAGCCAGAAGTACCATTATCAGTTTGAAACTTTCGAATTGTCACCGACTCAGAAAACTATAGCGTGTTCCGCGACAATATAATCGTTACGCTGATCGAATTTCACGCGAACAACAGGAATTAGAGTAACTTTCGGGGCGTTAAAACGGACTAGACAGCGAAAGGCAACATCGATGAATGTCCTCTTAATATAGCAGAAGCATCGGACTGGCGTGAATGGTTAATGAATGGACATTTGACCGAATCCGTGCAAACCACGAGCCGTCGCATCAGTGCCCCTACGAGCAGGGAAGTATTTCGATCGGTCGCGTCATAAATCGTCATCGACGTGTCGATTGATCGATATCGCGACCAGACTCGTGCCAGAGTTATATAGGCATAATAAATTAATTTTCCCGATCGCGGCTGGCTGGCGTCATAAACACGACGAACGCATGTTCGAGCACCGGAGAGCCCACATTGAACGAAACTATCGATCTCACGTTAAAACTTCCACGCAATTTCTGTCCCCGACGACTATCAGCCCGGTGATTGGGCTCTGTCCAGGTAGGTGCAATTATGGTCGATCAGCAAAGTTATTTCGCTAGAGCCTCATCCGTTTTTAACGCTTTCCGTTCCCGCCAGTGCCTTTCGATGTTTCCTTAGATCTGGCTAGAAATTTCGTTCTCCCACGAAGGAATCCCAACTGTTACGTTGGATTCTTTATCCGATTTTTGTTCAGATAATCGTAGGAATGATGGATCATTTTCTCAGCCTTCGTGTCATCTACGAGTTTTTATTAAAAAATAGAAAACAAGTTGTAAGCTTGTACTCTTATTCGATAACAATATTGAAAATGATTTTGTAATTTTATTAAAAAATCAGCTGGCGGATATCTGAAAGGGATCTGAAACAAATAAAAAAGGACAGTTGGGACGTTCCTCTCGTGAGATGGAAACGAATTAAAAGCGACAATAGCCGTTTCGATGACCGGTTCTCGCTCTGCAGCCAACATTCGTGTTTGTTCAGCCTATTTGCTCGCTGGTCCGAGACTCACAGTTGACGTTCGAACGACAATAACCAGTGATACTCGGCCAGCGAATTTTTCGGACCACTGTAATCTCAATTACGAGCTTGCAACGTCTCTTCCACTTTTTCAGCTGCGTTCGTTATGACTTTTAAGAGATTCGAGCGAAAACGAACAATTTCTCGCGCACAAGTAACTCCGTGGCGTTGATTAAAAATTGCTGGTACGAGGCTTTGTTTCTTGTTACCGGTTGCGAACTAATTTGCAAGATTAAGAAAGTTGAAAGGGTTTCGCGCATGGTTGGTCGGCTAAACCATGGTCGCAAATATTTTAATCAGAAGAATATGTAAAATCGATAACAGAGATCAAACCGATAGTTGATTTCTACTTTCCAGAGCAGAAGAAATGAAGACATTGTCACTGACTGTGAATCGCGTCGCGACCGATGTTCGCGTTTGTGCTGTCACATTCTTTTTTATTGGCAGGAGGAGAACGCAAGAACCTGTCGCTTCGCGTGTTCCATTCTTCAAGAATAATGTCATCCCATGCCAAATCGATCACTTTTCACACTCGAGGGACTTTTATAAAACCAAAAAGTAATGCAATCCACGTGAAATTAGAGGTGATTTAAGTCCACGTTTCGACAGTTTCGAATTCGTTTACAAAATACCACCAAACTTTGCAATTTGGGTATATAAAATATATCTGTAATCTATTAAAAAAGTTAGCGCAAGGCGATTTTGCATTCCAGTAGCACGTTCTGTTTATTCGTTATGACTAACGTAATCGAATAGAATATTGGCAAAAAAAAAACGAATTCTCCTATTCAAACAAAACCGGTTTTGTTAAAGCTTTATCAGTCACAACGCTAGAAGCTTTTATATCTTTGTGCCAGAATCAATATCAAGTAAACGAGTACGAAGCTTTGCGTTACTAATCCATATTATTGGATTAAGACTACAAAAGCATCGTCCATTTATTTGGGCAGAGGCAAGCTCGTCTATGAATACAGAGAGATACCGTCCATAGAAATGAATAAAGAATGTAGAACTAGATTTTTCCATGCGAACATCCATTTTCGAGAACATCCATTGCGAAAATTCGTCAGGTACACGAGCGATTGAGTACATTGGCTTAAAAAAAGCTTGCACACTAGACATGGACGTACAAGTGCAGCTATTGGAGAAGCGGCACCATTCTAAGCACTCGACGCGCAGAGTAGGTGCTCATAAAATTGCTATGCCATCGATGGCTCGCTGTTGCGGATCGCAGCCACGGAAACGTGCATTGATTTGCTGTAATTGATTGTAACCAGGGATGGGCACACTCGAATGATTTTGTAACGATCGAAACGTATCTAAAATGTCAGCGCTTAGGACAAGCGATGAACGGCCTGACATATCGTATTCCGCGATGATCGAGTATCGACAGTCGTTTGTATTTTATATTCATACGTGTCATCGAATATTAAATACACCTGTGATTTATATTCGAGGCATCGTCGAACGCTGAATACATTATTTTGTGTTCGGTATTCGATTAGAAACGAATATTTCCATTCAGTTTCACTGAATAGAAAAGTATATCAGATCTTGTGTACACAGATTAATTAATCGTTTATACATCACATTCCGTACTTTCTGATTTTCATATAAAATCGGCGTACAATCGAAGGATCGAGCTATAGTTTCTCCCTGTTTTCTTAATTACGTCAGCTTTACCGACCGCGTGGTAACAATTTTCGACGTAACATCATTACGTAATATCGGTTTTCCGTGATTCCGCTATGAAATTTAATTAAAAGTTTGATAATGCCATGGTACCGTCAATGTTTCGAAACACCAACGCAAGTAGAAATAATGAGTAATAGGCAGCCACGTTTGCCAAGTCGTATTCAATCGCACGCGTACCCCGCGAATTTTCACTATCGATTTTTTCGCAAACAAAGGCTCGTATCAGAAATCGTTACCGAACATTTTCGATTCACTGTTGCACAAGGAATCTCTCCCGTGGCCGGTCGTATCGCTCGCTGTTGCACACCCTGTACAAAGAGCTGAACGCCACGCATTTTCCTGAAACTTTTTTTGGAATTGAGAGCTGCGAGGGGGCTATCAAGAATAGCTAGATTTATTTCACGTTTTTTTTTTTTTTTTTTTTTAGAAACTTCTGATCCCGTCATAGTATTGTTCGCGCCGATGAAAACAATTCGGAAACCGATCGATAAACGTAAATGTTATCCGTGTTTCGAACCATTGAGCTTTCGTTATTAACGTGTATACAATTTAACGAAACGAAAGATTAATTTATAAGATAAATTTGTTCTATAAGTTAATTCAAAATAATTCCACTTATTTTTGATTATTTTCACGCGCATACAATTGATAAACAGGAAAATCGTCGATAGCCTCGACGAACGAAGAGGTCTGTAGCAGCGATTTGAATTCAAGTTGGAGTGCAAAGACTCGAGACCGAACATAAGTAGCCGCCGGTTGTCTTTTGTTTTAGTTGGTTTCCCGTATGTTTACCCGAGTTTCGGCTTTGCATGGCACGTTGCATCATTCCGCTCCGACTTCGCCGTGTTCATCACGTCCGCTGAGCAGAACGGCATCGCTCTGCGACGGTAGCTCCGGTTACGAATCGACCAGGAGTCACCTAGGGCCTCACTATAGCGATTACAACATGCCTAGGAATAACTCACCTGTGCCTAGATACAATAGCTTGAAGCCACGTCAAAGGAAGCACAAACGCTCGCAGTTCTACTCGCTAAGGCTCTGTAGCAGGCACGAGAACGCTCACAGGAAGTATCAGCTTTACACTATACCGATATACAGGTGTCCTCACAAAAACGGCAGCACGAGCACGTTAAACACTATCGTCAGGTCGAACACGCCGTCTCTGACGACGCACGAGTCGACCGAACGCGAGTCGAATCGCTCGATTTCAGCTGCATCGACGACCACTCCACCGGTCCCAGCGCCACGGAAATGCAAGAAAACGGATCCCTCGAAACACACTTATCAGAACGTCCCTCCTCCCGTTTTTCCACCGAAAAACGCTTCGCTGCCTAAGACTAAGGTTTGTCGACTACTCGTGTCCTTTCGTAGTAAGTACCCGCATTCGATGCTCGAGGACGTTGCTGCTGCCTCGAAGAAACTCCTCGTTTCTTGCTGGAACGCGAGTTGATCGGGATTGATCGCGGTTAAGCGATCCATCGTCGAGATCGCCCTCATCCGCGTGCTCGCCTTTTCGACCCGGTTTTTACGCGGTGTCGCGAAAAGAAGCGGGAACGATGGTGTTTCGAGTCTATGTTTGGGATCGATGTTCGAAAGACAAATTCGTACAAGAGCATCGAGTATACAAGATTCTCTTATTACCGACTTTAGAAAACTCGTCAATTTTTTCAACGCTTTCATAGTCCGTTGAAATTCTTTCGGTTAACGTAGTCATCCAGACGCAATCAAATACAATGTTTAGCGAAATTCCGAGAAGAGCTCGATTAATTAATCCCCGGTCGTATAAAGTATTTCGAAGGGAAGAGTAATATATTGCCGCGGCGGTGATGAGATTACAACAGCAACGAACGTCGAGCATACAGAATAAATCCCATCCTTTAAGCACCCATTTAATAATTAGCATTGCACCTACTGCATGAGTACGATTTACGTGTCCGCAATAGATATAAAACAACAGCTTCGAGAAAATAGGAGGTAGAGTTGCTGGAATCCGAGTTATAATCGGAAATCATATTTTCCCTGCTAAGCTGGATCTGGCCATCCGTGTAGCGATCGTCCTTGTGTATGTCGGCCGCGAATCAAGTAAGTCGCCTCCTCACACAGACACCAAACACGTACACCCGCTTAACGGTGAGCTTCTCAACCCTATCATAAAGGAGGTAAAATATTATTTCGAGGCCGTTAGAGGGTTTTTCGGGACCAGCCATGGTCCATTTCTTGTAAATTATCCGAAGCTACCACTGTCTCGGAGAGTTTGAAACAAGACGTGCCAACCGATTCACGGTGCGAAGCTCGAATCGTAGCTTTCGATCTCAGACGGTATTGTATATTGTTCAGGAGTTGGCGAGGCACTTACGAATTGAAGGGTCCGCTTTTGCTCCCTCAAGAGCCCCATTTCTTTCGAGCACTGCACACGTACTGCATAGTCGTAATCCATGTGGTAGTAGTCTACATTGTCGGTGAATACAAAGCACATCTTATGCGTCTCGAACTCTTTAATTTTTCTTATGTATATCTACGCCAATAGTTAGTATCGTTCTCTCAGTTTGTCTCGATACGTCTCATTCACCGTCTTCGATATGCGTAACTACTAACTACTAACTTCGTAGATGTAACGGATTCAGCTAATAATGAAAATGCGTGCGAGTAAAGGTATCGCCGTAACGCGACAGCCAATCGAACTGCCTCGGCAACTCCTGAGCAACGACCTATACAAGGTTTCTCCGCGCGAAACGCGAGATAAACGAAGACGATCGCAACGTTTACCCAATGCGAGACAACATTTTACCTCCTTCTCGCGGAGTACTCGTAACGTGACTAACACGATCCTTCCCACCCTGGCTGGATTTCCAAACGACTAACCATGCCTGTTGCAGACCGACAGCCTATACAACTACAAAGAACACTATCAGCAGCAGCACCGGCAGGAAATGCAGCAGTACAGCTACCCGTTACCGAGCAACAGTTCGAGCCAACTAACACTGCCACTAACGCGCAGCCTCTACCATTCCTCGATAGTTAGCCCCTTGCAGACCTCCTTCGTTCACGCTAACAATCGTTCGTCCACCCTGACGCATCACGAGACCGTCAATCACCTGTCCGCGGTGCATCCGGACGAGGAGCAACAGAACTACACGAACCACGACGCGAGGCAACAGCGTCGCCACGCGAATCGTGGGAACGAACGTGGCCAAAAATACAGGAAGCACAAACGCGGCGATCGCAAGCAGAAACAAAGGCGGGCGGACGCGAGGAGATCGGAGGCGTACACCGCGCCCGCCTGCGAGACCAGCTTCCACCAGGTGCAGGAGCTCGGTATACCCGAGACGTACAAAATCTCTTATCCCCATTACTACGAGGACGACATCGCGGAGTGTCCTACCGACTATCACAGATCGAATCCGAATTCACGGCCGCAGATCTGGGAGCGACAGACGTACCGTTGCCCAGCTGAGAGCACGCATTACGCGGACCCTGGGGACGCGAAGAACCGCAACAAGCCGAAGAGAGTGTTGACGAATCTCGGTGACGGACGTTCGCCGTCCGCGCCGACGATAATGCAGTACGCCGAGCTCCACTTTCGGGACGTCGGTCAGGAGATCGATGTCTAAAAAGGTTAGTGGTCAGTTACAAGAGGTTCGCACGGTGGTCCGTAAATTATCGCTGTCCGCGGGGGTGTCGAGGAGGTCGGCTTTCCGGAATGTGTTTCGGTGAAATGTTTGTAAAACTGTATCATTTGCGAACCGGTGGTGGGTCTGTTTTAGTCTGGCATGCATCGGGAAGTTGGGATCGTGCTCGAATCTGTTCGGTGAGAAGTGTACGCTTAGAGGGTTTCTCGTAGGAAACTTCCTGATTTAGAATTACCCAGGTTGACTTTTCGTAGTCCAGATTTTCTGATTTTAGGACAATTCTGTCGAGTCTCGCTCGATATAGGACAGCAAAGGGTTAATTAATCCTTTCAGCCCTGAATTATTTTTTTTTCTCGTACTAACGTAATTTAATTTTTGGGGTAAGGAAAGAACAAAAAACAAGCCTAATAGTGCACAAATAAGGACGTTCGCCCTAGACGATAGTGTCAGTAATTTTTTAGTTTTGTGTCCTCAATTGTGGACGCCAGGCCTGAAAGGGTTAACGATCTTTACCCGTGCGTTCACCAGGTCGTTCCGGGTACCCTGTCAAAGAATTGAACAAAGTTTGCAGCAAGCTCCAGTAACACCAGGATCCGTCGAACGGATAAAAAGATCAATACGTTTGTAGGTCCACGGACGCGAGTTGGTCGTTTGGGAGCACTTTTTGCGAAGATAAACAGACACAGATTCTTATAACTCGGAAACAAGATCGAACAGGGTGTACTTTCACGTAAACTTATGGCTTTGTTTTTAACCATCACTGTACATTCTACATGCCTTCGTTTCTCGTGTTTGTAAAAAATGGTATTCAGATGTGATGTAAACACAATTTTATGATGGAATTATGTTTAAATTATTCATAGACTTTTCCTGTCGGAACTCATATCGAAACTGTCTCCTTCGCTGAAGTAAGCGTGTTGGATATAAATCGGAGTGTCGGGAAGTAGTCGACGCTGAATCGAGGTCGTAAGACATATAAAATTGTTGTAACGAGAATATAATCGTTTATTGCTAAATTCGTACCAGCTTCTCTGATATCCACTGTGGCTAATAATTTTAACCGTGAATAATTTCTGATAAAGATCTCCGCAAAACAAGACGAATTTCAAAACCAGTTGGCCTGGTCATGACCTCCTCGATATTATTTAAACATGCAAGTATTTATGGACGACTGTGTGGATGTTCAAGGAAATGTCACGATCAGATTCTACTCTACGATTCGAGTATCGTCCCAAATTCGAAACAATTAATCGTATAAAAATGATTTAATTTTACTTAAAATTTGTTTAACTTGTCCCACGTTGAAGTTACAACACGATCACAGGTAGGAAACCGTCGAGCAATTTCTCCTTTTATATTATTTCATTGTCGAGCGCTTGATTTTGTCTTGTTTGCTGAAGCGACACTTTTACCTGATTGCATTTACGTTCGTTTGCATTTCTTGTTTGCTTTATTTTCAACAGCGTTTCAAACTAACGTTCCAGCCTGCATTTTCTTTTTGTCCTTTTTATTTAAGTTGTACTTTTCAAAACGACAACCGACCGATCGTCTATTTATTTTTGCTCCCGTCGATCGTCGCATCGTTGGTAAGTATTCTAATTGAAACCAGTTACCGAAAAATCGACGTGTCGCGTTCGATTGAAATAGCTACGAAGTAAAAAAAAATACCGTTGCATCGAATAGAAGCATCGCTATCGTGAATAATTTTAAACAATTTCTACCAGAATTTACTCTACAGGTATGCGATTATATATTTCACATTAGTGCAGCGAAATAAAATTGATGGAATTTCCAAAATTCAACTCTATAAATTATTTATGCTTTCCCCGTGAAATATGTAAAAGTTTTCACGATAAATTTACGAAAATCGAGCAGTGAATGAAAATCAACGAACTCGAAATGAGTTTCAGGGCACCATTGAAATTATAATTTGTCCAAGACCAAGCTTCAAGCTGCAACGAAAATTATACAGCGTTGCAATGGACCGAATATGTAGAATTAATATTAATAGATAAATTGGTGTAAATAGAAAATCGATAACACATATTGCTGTTGTACATACCAATTGTATCTAAATGTTTGTTCGTAGGAGGGTCCGCAGACAAAGAGCGATACGTACATTTACTAGGACACTTTGGCGTCCGACATGCCTTGTAGGTACAATGCATTCTATGAATTACGTCATATTGCTTGGAAATTTGTGTCAGTATTGTAATCACTCCGATCAACTTTTCAGTTTTTTCAAGGAAAAAAACACTTTCAAAAGAACCCTGTTTTGCGGGCTCTGAAAAATACTGAAAGATGGGCAAAATCTTTATCAAAATAAAAACCACCAAATGTGGTATCTCTTCGAATAACAACTAACGTCTTCGATTTTTTATTTGAATAATTTTTTGTATCCAGACGATGCCCATCTCTGCTGCGAAGCATGCAAAACGGACGAAAACGTTCTATCGTCGCACAGAGTATAATAAAAATGACGCGAGGCGCGGACTGCAACGATACACGATGTTGTATTTCTGTCGAAACGGTTTCATTTTCATCGATGCACCCCAATGCACGAAGGGAACATACACACTGTAGCTTTGGCAACAAGCGATTATATAAATTTCATTTTGGAATGGCTCGATGCGACACTTGTGAAGTATCGGTAATGAACAAAGCAGTGTTTCGCGTTGCCACCCGCGGTAACGAACGACGTACGTGTGATTGGCCATTAAAATTCTACCGTGAATAACACAGTTTATACGTTGAACAATAAAGTTGTCCAACTCCTGCGCTCGTCGCGTCCATGAAACTTTCGAACGAGATGGTCAGAAACGCGTTGATTTATCGTGAACCGTCCTTTCGCGATCGCCCCACCGATATTTAATCGTGGATGCCAAAGTTTAAATTGTTACCGCAACACCTCCGCGAACGAGAAACGTGCAATCGGACATCCTGCTTCCAAGCAGTGGAAAGGATCGATATCGTATCGGGAACGATCGATGAGTTACGAAGTTTTATATTCTATTAAAGAATGTTTGAATACCACTCTCGGTGCATTTAGGTTTAAATTTCGATGTTTCGTTCAGTATTCCAAACAGTGCTTGGAATATTTTGATTTTCGTCTTGTCCTCGTTCTTTATCGGCGTGCAACTCGCAAATAAAATAGACCCGGCCCTATAAAGGATAGTATTTATACGTAGCAGTTTGAGATAGAACTACCGCAGATTACACTTTTAATTGGTGGCTTAAATTGGCCCGAATGCACGAAAAAGGAGAACATATAATCGATACATTAACAAGGAGAATAGATTTCTTTAATTCTTTAATTAATAGCGCGGCCGTAACGTTTGCAAAAAATCCACTGAGCCCTGTTATGCATCGATTGTATCCTTGTTTGTGGCTTTGCGTTTTGTGGGCGTCGTTATGCATTGAGAGGGGCATAAAAAAAAAAGATAGTAAAGGGACGACAGTGATAAAAGTTATTACACCATCGAGGAACAAATCTGACTTCTGGAAATGAAATGCTACGAAATGTTAATCCACAGCGAGAGACTCTGATTGAACTGGTAGAAAAGAAAATAGTGAAAATTAATAATAAAAAAAAAAAAAATTGTGAAAATTCATTAATTACTTTAACGAATTTGATAATTATGAACAGATATTTTAAACCAACGAGTTTTTCGTTTGTTCTTGTAATTTATCATTGTTGGTACTAATTAAAGGGTTGTATAACCAAATGAATTTGATGGTCGAAAAAAGGACTATTATATGTATGTATTTGGGCAACATTGCAATGCTACGCCAGAATCTTAATCAGGGCCCTGGGAAGGATTCAGAACATAGGAATATACATATATTGTTAAATAATCAAACATGATATTCATTTATGAACGAACCCATATTTGCTGATAATTATCAGCATCATAAATAACTAAAATATTGAAATGTTCATAAATTCCTGATGGGGTAATTGCAATGCTGCCGAAATGTATCTTTCGCTCGAGAACCTCTGATAACATAGCTGCTTCAGATGCTAGAATATTTATTAAAGTATCGATTAGATGGTGAGTTGCTAGTCTCCCGAGTAAAATATTTTAATATCCCTTCCGAGGTCGAAGATTAAAAAACGTTTCTGAGACATCGTTCGAGTGAAAAATAATATTTGCCAGTAGTAAATGCGCATCACCCGATTTAGCAAATATTGTCATTTCGAAACAAGGAACTGGTACCCATGGACAATTAAACGATGTTCCATTGGTGTATTACAGATATGTCGATGGAATTCTCACGGTAATACCGAACGACCAGATTCAACACACCCAACACACATTTAATTAAATTCACTATCGCAGATAATTCACACCAGAAAGGGGGAATAACAATCCTATTAATTTGGGAGACGTGACAATTATCAACAATAATAACGATATAGTAAATTCACTGCATCGGAAAGGTTCGTTAATTTCGGCTTTAACCATTTTGTACACATGTATAGATTTTATTTTTTCTTTGCATACACCCTCCCGCAGAACCATCACAGCTCGCCGATGGATGACTGTAACGACAAAGACCTAGAGAAATAAAATACGTTTTCTGTTCAATTCGAACAGCTGAAATCTACGCGTTGCGTCTTTTACGAAGCGTATCACATCTCCGCTTCGACAATTCCTTGGCTGTTGGATTAAACATAAATTACGTTCGTCGAAGACTCGGTTCGCGCTAAATATTGCACGTCGAATCGCATCAACGCCAGCACGCTTTGTGTGTATTTGATGTAGACTAAGGTGTTCGTTATCATGTTTTGTTTACGCAGCCCTTCAAGCCGGAATTTTCGGATCTCGACTACGCCGACGTGGACTACCGATCATACGGGCCGATCAACTACAAAGCTGCCAGCATCGCGCTCCTTCAGAAACAGCAGGCTCAGAAGCTGCAGCAGCAGCAGCTTCAGGAGCGACGACCCCAGATGTACGGTGTCTCCGACGAGAACGAAGAACTCCTGTAACCCTACCCAATTATCTCGTTTCTTTTTTTATTTAACGCGAACTCATCCAAGTTACCCTGTGGCCATATACTCTTACCAAGTGTACAAGAACTGTCGTTAACAATTACTTACAGTAAGCTTCCCCTGCAAGCTTTAATCGTTGGTTGTACCTTACTTTTAACTAGGACGCCTCGACAAATTTCGCTGCGATCGAGTTATATGGTTTTCCGATCATTATTTTTTTTTTTTTTTTTTTTTGTATTGCGAGTCAGCGGAGTTTTGTAACGTAAAGGTCCAATCGTGCGGTGATATCTCTCTGATTTATAGTACGATCTATATTACATTCTTCTCGAGGCACCGATCGACCAGTTGGAAGCCATTGCAAGGTGTCACGGCACCGTTCGACGATTATTCGCAGCGAGATTGTCGACACGCATACCTCGAAGCCAAAGAAATACTCATTTCAGTTGTACATCGAGAGACTTGCACCAAGGAAGAGACTCTTTAGCGTTTTCTTCGGGACTTATCGAACCAGTAGCAGCGAAAACGTTATTTTTCCTCGAATTCTATTCCTGAAGGCTCTTTCAATCTGAAACGTGAAAAAAATGAGTCCAAGGGTCTTGTTGCTTCGGCGTTCCGAGCAATCCATCGTATTTGTGAATTTTTTAAAGGGAAAGTGTAAGCGGGATCATCCCGAAATTTGGCACGCGTTCCCGTCGATTATTGAACAAGGTTTCAGAATTTTTATGGCCGGAAAGTCGACATACAGCGGCGTCTGTTTGCTTTCGCGCGCTCAACGTGATAAGAAAAACATGACTTCGCGGCGCCCGCTCCGAGAAATGCCCTCGAGTCAGAAATTGAATTTGCTGTATAATCTGTATGAAATTCGGATACCGAGCCTATGTTTGCGAAGGAGAAACATGCATCGGCGGAATAACACTGCTCAAAAGAATAGTCTCGATTTTACAATCGTTTCTCGACTGCTCTGGACGCGACGACATTTTATCGATGCTGCGAATCTTTCGCCGCAATTTTACAACCGCGTAGACGTAAAGGAGAAGTCCTTTGCGTCCGACCTCCTTTCTGCAAGTTTCTTTCGAATTAATACTCTAACCGATAAGGGTCCGTGCGATCGATTTCACGTCGATATTCGTGGCACGAAGGGCGGAAGCTAGATAGTTGGTAAAAACCATTTTTGGAGTCGTGGGTTCCACAAGCCACGGTGCGTCTGTAAATTTATACATAAATTCATATAAAATTATAAACTAATTGTACGTTTATAAACTATTGCCATGTGTTCTGGGATCAAATTGCCTAATTAAAGCGGTACGTGGGGGCGATGATCGATAAACGTTATATATAGTATCTTGTTACATGTTAACCCGAAGATGATACATATCGCAGCTACTGTCGAGCTCTCGTGCGTGTTTCTATCATCGTGTACAGGTAATTGTCAAGAGGTCCGACTAATTAGCATAATGCCCCACCACCTCTCACCCATGCCCTTTTTGTAAAACAAATTTTCTCCTGAATCCATTTGTAAGTTTGTACATTATACGAAAGAACGCGTGAAAACGTTCGCAGAGAGCGACGAATTCTAACGTCGTTGTTTTAATAGGAGAAATAAAAGTAACGCGTTCCGTGACTTCCGACACCAGAGATGGGCAAAATTTGATTCGAATAATAGATGACGGATAAACACGCAAATATAATTTCATTTTGTAAATTCGTTTCATAGAACGGTAATCAATGTCCCTTGTTCGAAATATTTATCGAAACACTTATTTTACCCATCTCTGTCCAATACTGACGATTCACTCGTAACGTTCGTGTAACAATGTTGTTCCAAGCTGCCACATAGGGTCGTTTGCGGTAACGTGTGACACTAAAGCGGAAAGAGCCAGACAGTCAAAGATTCGGTGGTTCAACAGCGAATCGATGCCAAGTACCGTAAAAAAGTACGTTTTCCAAGAAGCCAAGTCGCCAAAGGTTCGCTGGATTTCGAAGAGAAATAGGATTCTTCGAGCTCTTCTTGTGGATCGCTCAGACTTCGTTGCGTGAAACCAACGTTTCGTTTATTCAATATTAGCGTCAATTTTTTATTTCTACAGCCGTGTCTTCCAAATCGGGGATACCTTGAAAAATCTGGAGAACTTTTTATTTCTTAAATTTGTTCGATTTTTCGATTCACAATGCATTAATCGCGGTATCAATGGTGTCATTAATATTGCTCGTTTTTCGCTTGTATATACATCTCCGACTGCTGAAATGAAAATAAGTTATTATCGGAATATTCGAGGGGTAATTCTGATTTATTGTCATACAAATCGAAATGAACGATCTATCGATGTTCTCTCAAGGCCAGATAATGGTCCCAAAGTTTCCCGTTGGTATGAAATAATAAATTGGAACCTCAAAAATTGAATCGTCACGAATAAGAAAATTATTGGAAATTAACGCGTTTTTACTTGCGCGTTTGATATATCTTAGCGAACGAACGCTGCATAAATATTAAGGATTCGAGGCGAGAGATTCTTCTGGAAGGAAACTTCCAACATCGTTGATTAGATGAAGAGAGTTAATTGTTCTCGCAGTCGATTTTAAAGTGGTACCTTCCCCGAGAGAAGCGAATGTCGTTAACGTTGAACGTTGTACAACTGTCCGCTCGTGCTGTATAGAAGAAAAAGAGAAAAAAATTCCTTGTCGAGAAATTTCCCAACTCTTTGAAGAATTACTCGCTGTTGCTTCGCGATTTACCAAATCCAATTAAACGCGTTTCGTCTACACAGGCGAAAGTTGACTCGTCGTAGCGCGCCAGGAAAATATCTCAACTACGATAAATGGCTCAATTATCGAACCTCCTTTCGTCAGACATCGACTCGAACTTTACAGCGTGAAACAACAGCACACTCTTTAATTGCAATTTCTATTATTTTAACCCTCTGCACTCCGAATTATATTTCAGTTTCGTTATCAGCAGCTCCCAACTAAAAAAGAAGCCAATTTAAATAAATAAAAGAAGAAACAAATTCACTCGAATGCCGGTTTTATTTTCACTTTTGTTGTATTTTGTAATTTTCAAATGTACGATGTCTCTCGAAACAATTTCCTTCCTATTGATTTGGACACGAAAGAATGTCGGGTGGGACTGGACAAAAGAGCTCCTGAAATAAAAACTGATGTCGTGTCGCACTCGACATAGGAGTGCGAAGAGTTAACGAACGCTGACTCTCTGGGAACTCGTGAATCCTCTGAAAATGTTGAGATATCGTATCGTTAATGAAAATGGCGAAATATATTGTTATCGTTGTTGAAGGCCGTAAGCACATTACCAAGTGTTGATGCACGTCCGTTGTACAAAGTTATCGTACCAGAGTCGCGAGAGAGTTCCATCGTAGTTTCCACGCACACGTCGAACCGTGCCAAATAATATTATCGAAACTTATCGAGGGTTAAACTTGCCGAGACGATAAATATGAAACGACAATTTAGTCGGTCTCGACCAAGCTCTTTGCTACAGCATTTCAATTGTTGTTCAAAATTCGATTGACAATGTGACACGCGTTGCCGTATCTCGTTCTATGCTCCTCTCGTTATTCTTCGAATCATTGGAAGTCTTTCGCTCAGCCAACAAATAAACAGAAATTTTTACCAATGTCCGAACACTTGTTAGCAAATTTTACGCGTGAAACACGTGTTACGTCTTCGATTATCGTTACAGTTTCATTGAAAGTCTTTCCAACCGTGCGATTCACCCGCAAGTTTAATCGATTCTTTCAGTTCCACGAAACGGTTCAACCCTGGGACAAGAAGATAAATCGAATCGAATATCGCTTAGTGTGCCAGCGTATGATAACCGACTGCGGTGTATGTCGTGCGTATTTTCGCGTGTTGAACGCAAACACGAGTGTATAAAAAGAAATAATAACGATTTTCCACGTGTTTCTACATACATTCAGAGTGTTACCCTGTGAACTGTTGCTCGGTGAATTGAATAGTTTGTAATACGTACTGTATACATACATTAACACGTTAAATATCGATTGTATCGAATTACGGTCCCAAAGCGTTACATAGTACTATTTAAACAATAAAAAAAAAAAAAAGATTGTATACAATACGACCCGAGTAATCGTTAGACTATGTGTATAGATATATTAAAGGAGACACCTTAATATTAATCCGTACGAACTTGTTCTTTCGACTTCGTAACGATAGCGATCCGTCGTTTGTAATATATTTTCGGGGGCTTGTTTCGAGGACAGATGATTTGAAGATTAAACTGAGACTCGGTATGTGTATAAAATAAATAATTCTCGCTAACGAAACGAGCGACATTGCGTGTAAGGTGAAGTATCCGCGTACGCGGTGTGGTAAACTACCAAAATATCGTGCTAAACCGTTTTTTAATTAATTGTATTATATTTTGGTGGTCGATGAAGGAGACCAGACACGATGTTCAAAGTTAACAGTGTACAGTTCTTTTGTAAAATACAAGATGAAACACTTCGTGACTTCCAAAGGGATTACCAATCATTTCTTAACCCCTTCGGACCTGAATTTTTTTCCCTTTATTTTTTATAGTCCTCTTTGATGTTTTAATTATTTATCAAAGTTCAACGAATTTATTATATTCAGAATTATTAACTGTAGTATAGTAAAAAAACGATCTTGAAGCACCGAAAAGGACCGTAAACGGTGATGGTCGAAAAGTCTTTTTATTAAACTGCTTGAGAGGACATTGTTCGTTAACTATTTTCGCTATCGATGCATACATTCGTGGATACGTAACGTTTAATATTACAAGAGAATAATTTACGATAGAAATATTTACGATAAAAGGCAATGTACGCCAGATCCGAAGGAGTTAGAATGGAAAGTGAAAGAATGGAGTCTCTAATGTTGAATTAACTCATTTGTCAAACAATTGATCTAATCCCGAATGACAGGCTTCTTAGTGTGACATGTCGTCAATAAACGTGCGTAGAATTGATGATTATAAAGTCAGACGAGAACTACATCCTTGTTGATTCGTGATTATGATTTTCCGAGAAGGCTCTATTCGCTCGTGGGGACGAAATTTTGGTATCGCGCCATACGCGGATGTCACATATTTTTACAATGAAGACAAAAAAAAAACGTTTCGTGTACACCGTTTTTCAGTCAGTCGTACTTTTCCCGACGTTTTTTACTGTTAACTTTAAAGTTAAACGCATTCGAGAATGTCGCGGAGTTTATGGAGTGAATCGTGTCGGAGATGTTTAATTTTGTAATAGATTTATAAACTTATGTAACTCAAGGAGCCTCAGATTTGCATTGTCTTTATTGTTAAAGTGTAATATCTAATAAACTTCTGTTATATTCATTGTACGATCATTTCTTCACTTATATTTTACAAGTTTTCCACGTCGGACGTTTCTAGTATACTTTTCGAGACGTTCGACCACAAATTCGATGATATCGCTGATCGTACCTGGTTTTCAGTCCTCATGAATGAAGCTCATGGTCGTCGAAGACTCAAGATAACTTGTAAAAGACAAAACGAGACGTAATACATCTTTCGACGATAAAATTCTAAATCAAAGTTCGATAACGTATCAGAGATCTCTCTATATTCGTTTGCTTACATAAGATTAACTGGCAATCGTGGCATAACTAATGGACACTTTTTAATTAAAGAATTTAATTTTTAACGCAACCTTATATTCGATGAAAGGATCAATTTCAAGTATACGGTATCGAAAATTTCAGCAGGAATAAGTTTAGGAAAAGATAAATGTAATCGTGACATTTGTCAAGTGCCGAAGATGTCTCAGATCTAAGAATGGAAACGTTTAAACCAAATTAATGCCTGTTTTCAAGATTGCGATTTGAGATTGCGATTTGGTCATATAAGTGTTATCATTTTCCTTAAGCACCCTGTGCTTCCCAGTGATCAGAGATTGCTACATAGACGCACTTCCAAGTCTGCAACTTGGCGCCAGTGACTTTCTCATAACAACAGCCTCGTGTCACGAGACGCAGCGAGATTAGTATGCACGCGTTGGCTAATTGTTTACCTCTAGGCTAAGCTACCTGAAAGACAATTGCGCGTTACGACTTCACAGGGCCCAAAACAAAAGTAAAATTTAAGAGAGCCATAAAAAGAAAATATTTTAATCAACGTTTTCATGGAAGTAGATTCTCCTCCCAAGATTGTCATTTATGACTTTATTAAACAAACTATTTTTCTCTTTGCTTTCTCTATATTTATAAGGTATACTAATAAAAGTAAAACTAACAAGAGAGAGGCCAGACTCCGTACGTTTATTTTGCCTGATTAATCGAGATGATATTCTAGTAACTCAGTTTTCACATTTTACATGACCAATGGACGTTACAGTGATACATGAATAGTAGAAAACAATCTCAAAAGTGAACCTAAGAGTCAGAATGTAAAGCGGAGAGAGACAGAATTCTGACTGACCCCCAAACATCGATTTCTCGCATGTGTATTTGGTACCTCACTCTTGAACAAGGTATACTCCAAACTCACTGAATATTTTAAAGAATAATTTAAAAGCGATTCGTGACGGAAAGGAAATCGGGGATTCCTCGTTACTCTGCGAACATCAATATATCGGTAGTTGACAGTCGATCGAAACGGAAAAACACGAAACGAAAGGATCAATTACCTTCGATGGCGTCTCATGCCTCGGGACGCGATAAATCTAGCGATAAGAGCAAGTGTATAATACCGATGGTAACCGAGCGTAAATGCTTGGCGCAAATAAGACGATCTTATTTAATCACGAATACAGATAAAACAAAAAGAAATAGCATCGTGGAAGACGCAGTTCCTCCAAAGTCGAGGTGGAGCCTAGCACGCGCGAGACCGTCAGTTAGAACTTACGTTGACTCGTTTCATCGATCGTTATTAGTTCGATAAAAATTAAAACAAACATTATAAAATAAAAGCTAGTTACTTTCCACGTAAGATGAAGAGAAACTAACAATTAGAAGATAAAGAGAAAAATTTGAATTTTGAGTGGAAAATTATGGTAAATCGATCGAAGCAAAGAAAATAATCGAAACTTTGCCTTGCTAGCGACGATATAATATTCATTCGCAAACGAAATCAATCGCTAAATACGTCGAATGAAGATCAAAAGAGCATCGTCTTTTCTTCGAACAGCAACGAGTCGAAGTTTTACCAAACTTTGCATCCAAAGGACAAGACGAACAAAGGTGGAATAATTAAGGAAGAATTGTCCACGTGTTTAAAATTTGATTAAAATTTTCCGCGAGCGTTCCCTTCTCCGCCGGAGCGATAATTGCAAGTTGAGGTGGACATCTCGAGACTAGAAAATGACGGAGGACAGAGATCTGAAGGAAGTAATGTGCACGAGTTATCCTGCGACGATAGTAAACGGCAAGCAAAAGGATGATCGCGACGTGTTGGATATTAAAGTGTACAAAAGGAGATGGCTGATGCTGGGCTTGTTCATTTTGTATACGGCAACGACCGCCTTTCAATGGATACAATACTCTATAATCACCAACATAGTATCCAGGTATTAGCTGTTTATTTTCGCGAACTGATTTTTTGGATAAATTAATTTTCCGATGAAAAGTACCGAACGCAGGAGTTCGTTCGATGTTTGCATATTTTAACACGATGTTTACGAGTTTTGGGAATCGAGTTTCTCAGTCTGAACGTATTGTTTAGGTACTATAACGTCTCCTCGTTAGCTGTCGACATGACGTCGATGGCATTTATGGGTTACTACGTAATTTTCGCAATTCCTGCGACGTACGTAATAGATCGCTGGGGACTCAGGTGGAGTAACATTATTGGTTGCGGCATTGGTTGCCTTGGTTCGTGGATAAAAGTTCTATCCGTCAGTCCAGATAGATTTTACGTTACCTTCATCGGACAGTCTCTGGTCGCTATTATACAGGTTAGATAATGCTAAATTCTTTCTAGATTAACCCTTTGAGTGCCAATGAGTGATATATCGCTGTTCGAAGCAGTAAGTGCTGTGAATTAATAATAATTAATAAAGAAAAAGTAACTGAAAAGATTCGTTTTAACAAACATTAACTTATGTTTATTTACAAACAAAATTCAAGTTCAAGTTTTTGTGAAAATATTTTCTTTATATTCTTTGCTTAAAATTGTCTGTCATTTCTCGGTTATGTATGCAAATTTCCTCTGACACTCAATGGGTTAATATAATTATTTTCTATGAACGATAAGTGTTAACGTAACTTATATTCTGTGTGATGCATCTTCCTATTCTGCAGGATATCAAAATTGATATCCTACCTTTCGATTCGATTCTTAAATATGATTCCAGAAAATCTCCAGTAGTATCGTGCCATTTGTGTCAGACCGTTGGTACAATAAATTAGCCCGACACCTGATGCGACGTACTGCGTTAAAAAAAAAAACAGTTACCTTCACGTTTGCAATTCGTGTGTACAAAAAAATATCGACAAAAACGTTTATGTCGATCGCTCCATTGAATACATACAGAGCGCAACAAGAAATATTATTGTTATCTTTTGCACGTCCAAATATTGACATTAGCGCGGTGTGTTAATAACAAAAATTCGAGTAAATTCGCAAATACGGCGAAAACGAGTTCACGAAAAGGTGTCGTAAATTAATCCCAATGCGAGGTGGTATTACAAGTCTAGTCGAACGTTGTGTATCCGAAGTAAATATAGTATCTCTCAGAAAGATTTATACGTGCACGTTTACCGACTGCATTTCAAGCTTAACAAAATCTGTACGGCTTCTGATTACAAAATTAGCATTCAGCTTAAATTATTCACGTGGTCTCGCATTTGTTTTCTCTCATGTACGTTTTATTTACAATGAATCTATTCTGTGCCAGTCTCTAGTTCTAATTCTGCCTGGACGACTCGCGGCGCAATGGTTCCACTCCAACGAAGTCTCCACCGCCACGTCTTTAAGCCTTTTCGGCAATCAGTTAGGGATAGCGTTAAGTTTCTTGTGCACGCCGATGATCGTCAAAAACCACGAGAATCTTGACGATATTGCCGATAACTTGGCGCACCTCTTCTGGGGCGTAGCTATCATCATCTCCATTGCATTTTTGCTAATTATACTACGTAAGTTTTCCTTGGGAAACAAAATCATTCTTTTTTTTTTGTTCCAACTTGATTTACAATAGCAAAAGACTTGACACGACTTTTACGAAACGTCGATTATTCCAGAAAAAGTTCAAAGAACTTTTGTACAATCCGGTCTTGATTGAAATACGATGTTTGACATTTTTGTTCTGGCGAAACGACAGCTACTTGCGATCCTCGTTATAAACTCTGGACCTCGTAACAGACCATCACCGGGACTTCATTTGCGCGATGAAATTTCGATTTGTCTACGTCGAATTCGTCTCTTTTTACTGTAATATCACATCAAGAATATTCACCGTATAGCATAAAAACGAAAATGTCTAAAATACTAACGAAACTCGATGGTTCAAAAAACAGATAACTAGACTACTAGGTTCCGTTCGTATTGCCGTTGTCTGAAATGTATTCCGAGAAAAATTAATTCAGCTAAATGCGACAACCTGTCAATAACAATAAAGTACTTCAAATGACGTGGCAAGTCTTCTGCGATCAACCAAAAATTTTCTATTTTTGTATCTATCGCACAGTCAAGCAACGAGCTGTTTAGCGTTAATACTGTCGATTTGCACAGTGTTCGAAGACGATCCGAAGTTGCCACCAAGCACCACGCGAGCTCTACAGAAAATTAACCAGAAGGAGGAGAGCTTCATCGAACCGATGAAAAGACTGTTCAAGAACAAATATTATTTATCGCTTTGCAACACTTACGGCTTGAACGTCGGTGTACTGAACGCCGTGGCGACGTTATTGAACCAAATATATCTGGCGCATTTCGAGGTGAGCCCAAGAGGCACAAGGTTCTCTTAAAATTCCTCGAAATACTTTGAAACTCGGGAGAACGTAATTTAATTATAGAGAAACGTGTGGAATATCGATCGAATAAAAATAGAGATCTAATTGGGGAACATGATTTTTACAGAATGGCGAAGAAGACGCTGGTAGAATCGGTCTGGCCATGATCATCATGGGCTTGTTAGGTTCTGTCAGTTTTGGAATTATTCTCGATAAAACGCACAAATACAAGTAAGATTATATTAACTAAGTTGATTCATTCTCAAATATTCCAGTAGAGTCACGTGATAATAGATGATACTGTGAAAATGTCAAGTGCCACTTAAAACAGCACATATATCATCGAAGTTCCCATGATTTTCGTTATTTATTCATCTTTTTAATGACTTCGTTTCCGTATCGCTTATTTTAAATCCCTTCATAACAAACTTGGACGTGCATAATTCTAGAGAAACGACGGTGATCGTCTACTTCCTCTCGCTGCTTGGCCAGATTTTCTTCGCCGTGTTCACTTGCCTCGAAATGAAATGGATGGTGTACCTGTCGGCCATTTTCCTTGGGTACTGTATAAAATACGTATAAAACACTATATACGTGGAACTCGATTCGTTCTTATATAAACGTTAAGTTATATAGCGGCAGTTTCGAGTGCGAACGCCATCCGACGTAAAATCACTCACTCTGTTCGCGTTATCTATCATTTTTCGACGTTCGCTGTCGCTCGACGCTTTCCTCCGAATCAGAATGAATTCTTCTCGTGTCTAAAGTAAAATTCTTTTCTGCAGGTACTTCATGGCGGGCTATGTAGCGTTAGGCTATGAAATATGCGCGGAGTACACGTATCCAGAGTCGGAAGGACTCGCGGCGGGTATACTGAACGTGACTAATAACGTTTACGGCATCGTCTTAGTTTTGATATTTGGCAAATTATTGGAAACACACGGGGACATACCGGTTCACATAGGACTGTGCGTGGTGCTACTCGTTGGTTTGATCATGACCGTGATGACGAAAGACGTGCAAAGACGTCAGGATGCCAAAAAGGGTGCCGAGTACAAGGTAGTAAATCAGAGTGACAAGAAGAGCGGAGCTAATTAACTGCACGCCGATCGAGTGTACTTGTGCCAAACATTGCGGATTCCATAGCTGACGTTGTATAAAATACTTAACTATTGTGATATTTTAAACGTATAGCATTTTACACATTTTTACGTACGAAAGCGCCTGGCGTGCCTATATTTAAACGTGTCGACAACTGTAAGCGGAATATGCGAGCAGGGAAGGAAAAAGAGGACATAAATTATTATTCAAAATCTCCGTTTATAAATCAAGTCGATTTTTTGGTTAATGCCCAATACTTCCCATCCAACACGCCAAACTGGCAATCAAAAATATAAAAAATTACGACAACCTGTTCAAATTGTTTTGTCAAATGTAACGGGAAAATTCTCCGCGTGAAAAAATGAAATTTAATCTCCGCGATGTGACGCTTGCATTGTGTCCAAAAGTAATAAACGACCGTCGATAAAGCCGAACACACAATTTAAAATGATTTTTCAAAATACCATCGAACAATCGCGCGAAGGCTGGTTCCAAGCCCGTAAATTCAAAAGAGTGATCGATTCAGCATGAAATGACTGATAATTAAATAGTAGCGTTATTACCAAAATACTCCAAGAATATTGTTTCTTAACTCGAAACGAATGCAGCCAAACGAGCATGGTTTAAATGTATATCAGAAAGTTTTTATACGATCGAAATTACACGTTCGACACCGAGATGAGCCTAAATATTATATAATACATTTAAAATGTACTCTGGCCACGAATTTTATCTTCGAATTGATTTATTACGACGACAAGGAATATTTACTTTTAACGATATTATAGCTATAATATTTCAACAATATCAGCAAATTTTTTCTCACGATTCCGTTCAATTGTACAGTCAATCCCATAAATATTCGTACCCTCTATGTCTATTGAAAAAGTTTGACTAAATTAAATTATAATTTTGATATTACCAAATGAATTGTACACTATAAATATGTATATGAACAAACTTATAGATGTATATATTTCGACGACGTATCTGGGAAACTTTCATCTTTTCCGAGAGGAGGCTCCGTTTACCAAGAAAAAAGTTTCGTTTGAAAAGTTGGGCGCAGCACGTTCGTCGATATGTGAGGAACAAAGCAATGAGTTTGAGAAACAGGCAGGGGGGAGGGGGAAGGTGGACTTTTATCGACAAGGAATACTCGTCCTTGTTTTTGGTAAAAGGCACAGGACCGAGAGTGTAGTGCGCGCTGCGTCTGACACGTGACATGACGTGTGCACCACTTGTTACTCGACCAGAATGCTTGATATACTCGATCATAGAACAAAAGTACCCAATGCGGTCCGTCGTACAGGGTGTCCTACGATTCGCGATACGGTCAGCCGATAACGAATAAATCCGAAACGTAGAAGACAATTTTCTTCCAAGAATAGCAATACGAAAATCGGAAATCAGCCAGGTAAGTATTCCAGCACTCGACTGGGATTTGTAATAGTTCTGATCGGTCTCGTGTTTGTAAACGTTACACGAGATCAAAGTCTGCGTTTCGTGGCCTCTACTATCTAATCATCGACGCGAACTATCAACGTTTTATCGAGCGATATATCAAATCTTCGGCAACAGGTAAAAATATCTCGCGTTGAATAACCTGAGATCGTCTCTTCTGCAATCCAACTAATTACATTTCAATCTTACTTTTCGATCTGTATATTTTGCCTTCTTCGTAACAAGCGCAATTGAAAAATTACCGAATTATCCCGTGCAGCTTCACAGTTCAATTGTTCACGTTTAAACCAATCATGTCGATGCGTTTAAGCTTAAGAGCGAGCATAAGTGGTACAGGATCGTTGCGTGAAGTTAACGCTCGGTCACGTGCACGCGTACGTGAGGAATTTTCAAAAGCGATTTCCTCGATGGCCACAGCCACGGGGGTGGTAAAATTTTATTCCGCGTATTCGATTATTCCTTCGCGGGGAACCATCGTTCGTCTGGTAGTACTAGATCTCGCTGGACACCCTGTATTTTACGCTTTCGATCAACCCAGCACTCGTATCTGTCGGATGCAGAACGTTACGTGGATTCCATCTGGACGCTCAGACGAGACATTATTCACCCTTCATCTATTTTTACCGTAGCCCGCGGCCGAAGAATTATCGAAACCGTGAAAAAAAAGGGGCTGCGCTATATTCCGCGCCAATGGTACAATCGTAATCGCGCGACGGCCGGAAGTGCCTCAATTTTCGAAACGATACCGAGCTTTGTTCCTGTTTCCTGATTACTCAGAGGAATACACGATAAGGGTATGGTATCGTTTTCACGGATATGCAGATGTCTCGATAAATGCAAGATGCACGGAATATTTCCTGACACATTTGAAGGGCTTGAAATGTTCGTCGAACCACCTGCATCGTTAACGTGTACGTGCAAATTTTCTGAGAACTATTGTCAGAATTAATGCTTAACATTGCAAAGATATATATATATATGTACAGTCAATCCCATAAATATTCGTACCCTCTATGTCTATTGAAAAAGTTTGACTAAATTAAATTATAATTTTGATATTACCAAATGAATTGTACGCTATAAATATGTATATGAACAAACTTATAGATGTATATATTTATATATATCAACATATTTACGCAAACATACACTTGGAAACATCAAACCTACCATTTAATTTAAACAAATTTCTCCAATAGACATAGAAAAAATTAATTTCTTTCTTTGAAATGACAAAATTTGGTCTTCAATATTAATCGACGGTAATTTGTCTCCAACTTCGCTGCCATAGGATTGCGTACGCCAGCTGTCCGCGCGTTAATTGCACAGACACAGGGCTGTCCGTCGGGTTGTCACCGATCTGAGAATCGAACAGGGACAAACCGAACGACAGGTGGATGAAAATTAAACGCTGTTATTTCCTGCTCGTTCGCCTTTGTACAGGATGGCGGCGAGTAAATCTCTTTCAGAACGTCCCAGGCTACTTCTTAGCAGGCTGCAGCCGATGTCAAACACATCCGTTGAAAAAGATATTGATCTATTGACAGCACAAATACGTTCGATTGGGACGCGAGGCTGGGCTCCCGTACCTGTCGAGATTGCGATTATCACAAAGAGACTTATGGATTATCGATAACGGGTGAGAATGAAAAGCGGAAACGACAGGGCCACCACAAATGGACTCGAGTGGACCCCATGGGTAGGAAGAATCGATAAATTCTATTTAATTCATTCGAGCGTTGGCTCGTAGACGAAGATAAATCAGGGGGAATTTTGTATAAATAACCTTCGCTTGTTTCGCGATGTTTACGTAACGAAATTCACAGATTAGTTTCAAATTTAGCCACCAGCACGGTCGAGAACATCTTCTTGTCTGAGAAAGAGACAAAAGAAATGACAAGGAGGTGCCTAACCCGATCACACGACCGATCGAGACGGTAGACGTCCAGACGTATGATTCACCAGAAAGTTGACCCAATCTGTCGATGTTGTGCAGGATTCACCGCGGGCGTCAGGGAGCCGGCAACATCTAAACGATCCGCAGACAGAATCCAGATCGGAGTCGGCCGAGCTTCACTGTCAATCCGGTAATTAGCTTGCATGCCACGTTTTTGGATCGCGGCGTATCGAATTCGTACGCGTAAGAGCGCAGACGTGTGCCTTGCGAATCTTGCGAATTCATAACGCATCACGTATACGCGACACGTTCCACGGCTGACGTAAGCCGTGACAAATTTATGTACTACAATACAACGGGTGCTTTCGCCCCGTGGGTTCTTCGGAGCGTCATAGACGGGAAGGAAATTACCCATCGTCGGGATGATGGTACTTTGTGCCCCGCGGTGAAATTTCCAGTGAACCCGTTGTTTGTAACTTATACGTCCCCCAGCCAATTCGCTGGCACTTGATGGCCGAAGAACGCTGCCTTCTGAAAATTTATCAACGTCGAAACTTCGCGATTGTAGCGACGGAAATATCTTTGGGGCCCGTTTAGGCACTGACAAAGTTCAGGCGCCTCTCCGTGGATCCGTTGCGATAAAAATGCGGTTGCCCCATGAAAATCCTCATGAATTTTTGTGAAAAAGATCCGTATTAAAAGATCGTCAATAGGTACCGAAACAGCTGAGTTCACACGAAAAGGGGAACTGTAGGGAAACTTCGTAAGTTTAAATAAAACTAATTAAATTTCGTTCTTGTTTCTCAAATGTACTACCTCAGTGGAAGACTTCAAACCTGCGTGTTTTGTTTAACGATATATTCAACGAATCTGAACGCAACGTCATTCGTACTATTTTTAATTGCACGTAAATTGAAAGTTTTTCGAAAGTGTTCGAAATAAGTAGCGGTTACGGTGCAAGCGATCTGCGATGTCACGCGACGTTATACGACATCGCACGGCTGGCGTTTCGTTTCAGCGGCCAACGAACGATTAAATGCGATGTTGTATTCAATGGCAGTAGATTCGAGCGTCGACATGTATATACACTTAAAAACCTGGGGAAACGACCTTTCTTACTTTTGTCTTCGTAATAAAATAAATCGTATCTCGCATTAGCTTCAATGCGTTTACCCCTATCGGGCGAAATCGCTTGCACTGTAATTGCAAGCTCGCCTATAATTAAAAGTAGTGTGAGCGTGAATGTCTGGACTCTCATTTCCATCGGTACAACGTAGCCAATCTCGCGACAATACAAGTCAGACGGGGTAATGTTAAAGGAATACTGAGAACCGTCGAGCAGAATTTGTGGCCATCGCGATTTTTCGTGACCGATCGATGACCATTCTGGACACGTAATATAGGTCTATAGTAGTTACGAAACGGTAAGCAGTAACCAACGAAACGAAATCGTTTCGTATTCACGATGGCTGGACGCCATTTCATAAACGTGCGCTCGCATATAAAGACGGATGAAAGACACGAGCAAAGGCCAGTACAAATTTTCGGCGCGGTGTTAACGGTGTTGATCTGCAAGAATGAAGGAAACGGTAACCATTTTGGCGAACTTCTTCGCTTGAACTACGTATTTTATTCCCTTGTTTAATAACAAATCAGAGGCATGGAACGTTTATGAATTTTCTGAAAGCAGCAGTTCCAAATTTCGACGGGGCTTTGTAAATTCAGTGTGTCAGCTTCTAATCGTTTGTTGTAAACAAAAATCGGATATAATTCAGGGGGCACAACCGTTTCCGGTAACTCTTAGTTCGGCCGTGTTTCGAGAAGAACACCATCAACGGTGCGTGACAGCTAAGCCGTTAATTGCTTTTCCATTTTCCAGTTGGCCCTCGCGCTCCTCTGTATTGGACTGGCAACGTCAGATTTATCGCCATATAAACCAAGGGGATGGCGTCCTAATGGTCAACGCTTTAATCCCACCAACAATCGATTGCATGCGTATTACGGACCCCCTGGATTATCAGCCTATGGACCTCCAGACTCGACAAGCCAACCCCCAATTTTCACCACCACCCAACCTCCAAGGACAACGACGACGATGAAAACCACAACGACCCCGCGAACCAGAGAGCCCACGACGCCCACACCATCGAGCACTCCCGAGGAAGATTTCGATAACAACCCAGCACTGGCCATCGCGAACTCCTTCGCCTTTAATCGACCCGTTTACATATACAACACTTTCCCGTTCTTGCCTGGTCAGATTTTGGTCAAATGACGACTCGCCAAACCCTCGACAATCGTCCTGTACCACGCGAATGACCGATGACTGTATGTAAAATAAAACACCATTGCCATCGAGGCTGTTCGAATGAATTTATAGTTTTGCTTACCGGAGACGGTGAAATCGTTCCTGATTAAAAGAGATCGAGATTATAGGTTGCCAAGGATCAAGAATCCACTGGCTCGATGTATAGAAAATCTTGGTTTTCAAGTATAAAGATGTAATTTTGTTTGAAGAATATATTCGATTGAAACCTTCTCACACGTTACATTGTTAACAATCAACAAGGCGAATTGAACGAAAACAAGAATTAACGATTTCTAGTGTACAATAAAAGGGATTAAACCCGATTGTACCGTGGTTGAAATGAAGTCTCACTCCACTTGATGCTTGCAGCTTTACACAAATTTAAGCAGTTAACTTCGAATTTAGATAATGACCCTCTAAACATAACCATCCGTTTTCGGATATGTGCTGCTTCACCGGCAACCGCTGCGGTGAGCAATAAAAACCGCAACGATGCTTCGGAAACAGAGAATCAGAGTCGTTAAACGCTTCTACGGAAAGCTTCTGATGAAAATTGATCTACAATTACGCTGAAAATTTCCCTTCCATCTGTAAAATTTAAAGAAATTTTCATTGTTATTTAGACTTGTTATTATTTCCTGTGATTAATTAGCAACTGCACATTACATTTAGAAAATAGTTTCTCTCGACGAATTGAGAATGTCTATTTTGCTTTAAGGAACTGTGTGGATACATAAGTTTAATTGAATTAATCGACAGTGCCTCGTATTCTACTCGAGCAGGTATTTTTTCAAATATAATTTCCGGCTAATAATTAATTACGCGGAACAATGACACATGTAGGGTTAACTTTATAATTGCAGATTACATCAATTATATTGTAATATTACAATACATTTTGCAAATTTTGGTGCGTGGAGTAATTCTCACATTGTTATGCACATTTAATTTAAATAAAATATGCAAACCGCGAGTTACGTGTAGCGGAAATGATTCTGCAAACGCAATGAAACGTAAACGTAAAGTTTTGCATGGTATGTAAACGTACATACTAGATAGTAAGAAACGATACTCTATAAAGGATCGATTTATTTATTGACACAATTCTCGTAACATTGTTGCTTCTTTATTTCGCTTAGTCTTTCATAACTTGACGCTAAACTACATATTTTATATACAATGTTCTGGAAATAGTAATTTCTTTTTCTCGCGTTAACGCTAATAAAACGAGCCTACAAATTATTATTAGAGAAAATCAGATTACATTGATTCTTGCTAAATAACTAGTCACAAATTTTTAAATAAACAGAATGAACAAATGCCTCAGACATTCCTTACGAACAAATATGTAATAGAAATGAAAACTTCAAGATGTAAAACATGGGAATATCTTCTCGATGCGAGTAACAAAGTAGAGAGCTTAACATGAAATATTGTCTCGTTCCAAGTTACGTTATAAGTCATGTAAAAATAAAATCCTTGCGCTATTGCAAATATTCGCGATACACGAAAATTTTAGAAAAAACAAAGAAGGATTCTCTGTGAATTCCAACAACGGAAAATAAAATTCCTGTCAAGCAGTCGTAACCTTTGATTTGTTGTAAGAAAAGTTGAGAATACAAAAGGTATGTATGGCACGGACAGTGAAGCGATGTCACCATTTTATTTTCCGTTGACGAAGTTCGATTTTGAACCAGGCAGCCATTCGAGTGTCGAATATAAAATGAAATAGTTGCGTTGGATTTTAAATGCCATGTTAACGTGAGTGGCAGGTCAAAGTAAATGTCAGCGTAGTTATAATTCGGTGAAAAATGCTTCCACAAATAGACCACATTAGTCTTGTCATTGTATTTTTGTACAGGTCTATTCGTACAAGACACGTGTGCTTGTAAACCAAAATCAGTATAAAAAATCGCACCCAACAAAAATAATGTGGTTCGTAGAGTACACGTTTAAAAAATATCAGGGTCGTTATTCCCATGGATTTATATTTCATATGTTATCGATAATCGAGGAACAGCGCCTTTTAACGCTGAGTGCAGAAACAAGGGTGTAATATAACGCGTAATGCAACAACGTTAAATATATTTCTTTATGCAAGAGAAATATTTACGAAATAAAATTGCATGATATGTAATTACGAGCTACATTACACCCATCTGTATTTGACAACAACACAATTCTCTTCTTAAAATACGAATTAGAATATCTCTTATCAAATCTCGAATGGAACAAGCTAAGGATGGACGTTTATTTTCCTGTAATTATTCCATCATTGTCTAGAAATCTTTCAAATTGAAGTTAAATTGACATCATTGAACTACGATAATTGCTACTCATCCGATCATCGGTCTGCCCGCGACAAACCTTGACGAACGCAGAGAAAATCTATCGGGGTACGTCGATAACACGTTAAAATTGCAGGATCCAATCAGGATTCAACTCCATTTTACATCCTTTCAACCACTAAAATTCACGACTCTTCTAACATTTTTTACGCACACCGAGGAATCGAATTTTCTACGGCCGGACAAAAGTTAAAAAATAGACTACTCCCTGTGATGGTAGTATTCAGATCTATTGTTTCTATCGCTACTTTAAAAATATACTCCATACTAAATTGCTCTGCAGTTGAAGGTATTAAGGTATTTCCTTATACCTAAAAATCTCAGTTTTAGGTGCAGCAACCCAAGCAACTCTTGCTCTCATCGGAGCTACCTCTTCAAATTATCCGAAGTTTCAAAACGCAATAACGGGGATCGATCTTGCGTGGAATGTTTGTATTAGTCGACATCAAAATATTTTAATAGATAAACGATTGCGGCTTCGATGGGTTCTTTTTATCCTTTTTTTTTTTCTTTTTCGATTTGATGTTTGACGAATACGAACATCGTCTGCAAGATGAGAACCCTTCGTTGCGTTTCAAAGCATTGGCAATAAAAAATACCACCGTTGCAATTTATTCGAAGTTACGTTTGTGCATAAACTAGAAGGTGAGCAACATCGACGACTTAGCCGTCCTTTGGAAGTCACCGTTCAGTCTGAGCGATTGGCTCTCACCGTACAATAATGGCACGCTCTCCGAATATCGGTGACGATCAAGACACTTCGTCCCGTGTGCCTCGCACACGTTGACTTCCCTAAATCCGCAGCATCTTTGACGGTGATTGCGCACGTTTCGACGCATCGTCTGCCAGCTCGGTTGCTCCTGTGAGTCGCACATGTGTTTAAGAGTAGCCACGAAGCACTGAGGCAGAAAGTCGATGCTCGAGCAACCTGTGAATTGTAAGCAAAATAGTTTTCCAACTGGGCCAATAGGAGTTTGGTAGCTGTTTTCAAGCCAGACGTGACTGTTGGAAACGAGTTCCGCGTGCAACGAGCGTAATTCACAGAAATATTTACAGAAGAAGTTGCGCTTGCTAAATAGGGCGGGTCTAGCGGAAGTATGCGGTAGTAGGTGGTAGATGTAACTCGAGCACTGTGATTATTTGTGGTGATAGGGGTCTACGAGTGACCCATGGCGCCAGCCATAGGAGCCTTTGTTTAGTATAGCAAATAAATATATGAAGTGAATAGCTTTAAATAAAAATACATTATACGACTGCATTTACGCTACTGAATAATCAATGCTTCTGTGGCCAGTGCGATGAATCATTTTAAATCTTTCAAGAAATGAAATCTCGTTAGGAGATCCTAACACTGAAAATAATCAAAGTGACATAGTTACGAAGTTCACTCAGTACCGTGTTAGCAGAAGACAAAAATACCTTCTCGTTTGTGTTAATGAAAGAAAAGAAGGGAAAAATAGACATTTTCCAAAGTCAGTTCAGAGGGAAAAAATTATTTACGGATTTCCGCGTCGGTTGGAAGTTGGTTTTATAACCAATTTTTTATTCGCATAACATAGAGGGAGAAACAGTGACAAAACATCAAACTCATGTCCCGCGGACGTATTTTAATTGAATTTCATATTTCGTTTAGGAGCGCATGAATGGATCGTGCGAAGCGTTACCCAGAAACGAGCTTTTTTCACCTTTGATTCTGTACATGACACAATTGAAATAGTGTACGGAACTCATAATTCGCAAAAATCATGTTTGTGACATATAGGTATCTCTTTCCACCTAGCATCGAGTGAATCATCGAGCTTTGGTAGATTTGAAACAGGAAAAAGAGAATAAATGTTGAGAATACTGCTACTGCAGGTTGTACGTATCGTAATTACTGCGTTACCTTTTCACAAATAGTCCAATTTTTGCGATACCTTCGAAATGTTTACAATATAGTCTAGAATTAGAATATGGACTAGCCAATTACACGTAAATAGATGGTTTTTCTAAACAAAATATTTAACAATTCCTTTGGGGTATTTACCTTAATTGGAGGCATGACTCGTTAAAAAATATTTTGTCGCACAACTAACATCGCTAATGGCCCAACAATTATTGCTCGTATAAAGTAATTTCGATGTTTACAGAAAAAGATTATTTCACGACTATCAGTATATGTTCGGAAGCAATTTTGCCCTCGTTTGCATTAATTTCAATTCTTATTACGCAAGAGTATTTCCCAAAGCAATTAGTCGGTGCACCAGATAGAATTTCATTGAATTTTTCACATGTACAAATTAATCATGCAAAGGGATTAGCGGAGATACAAAGGCATGCTATAAATGTCAGCGAATGATGCAATATTTAAATATATATATATATGTAGAGAGAGAAAGAGAGAAGGAGAGAAGCAATCAATGTTGAGCAAAACATGCAAACAAAATTTCACGAAAAATTGAATTGATTTTACCAAGTGCTCTGTTCCCTTCGACAGCAGCCGGATTCGTGTTTTATTTTTTCGAATAAGCTTTCCGTGAAGGTTTCAACTGCCTTCGTGAAAACAGTTTTAGAAACCGACACACGCGGATTTTGATACCACATGGAGAAACAAACTCTGTTAGTTAGATAAGTGATGCACAAATACCTGTTTACCGACCATTCTGACAAGCTGCCTTATTTTCCGAGTTCTCTCTGACAGAGTCATGGTCTTCGTCTTTAACGAACTTTATTAGGAACATCGTAAGTCCCCCTACTATTGGCGGAATGCCAGCTAGGAAGAATGGCAGATCATAGCTACCTAAACAAAACAACAAGAAAAACATATTTCAAGGATTATTAAAATGCTAATAAATAAATATATACATATATAAGAATGCAATTACCGGTGAGATCATAGAGAATACCAGCAATCGGTGGGCCCACGGTCAACGGTATAGAACACATGCCCAACAAGAACCCAATGGCCTGGGTTGCTCCTTCTCGACCGCATATATCAAAGGCAATCGGTCCCAGAAGAGATATAAAGCATCCATCGAACAATCCCATAGCCAGACTTATGACTAATAACACGGTGAACGAAGGGGTAATAGGAAGGAGCATCGTGAGAATGCCAATACTAACGAACGATATCTGACGATCAAGAAAATCAATACGTTACTTTAAAGAGTTACCAAAGTATCGAGGAGTGTGGAATTTACCTGTTGCAACAATATTCTGTTCACTCTAGGCAAGTCGGCGATATAACCGAAAACTAACCGACCAATGCCGGAGGTGATACCGATGCACATAATCGGAAGCTTTTCGTCGCCTTGAAATACCTTCTGAACAAATTTCCCTATATGAACATACGGTACGAAATACCTGAAATGAACATTGTCATTGATCTGAAAACCCATGTCACTTTATACGCTCGACGCTTTCGCTGCGGTTATTTCTCGTAGAATGGCTTAAATTTCAGCCCGTGTAACTCGATTGCCGTTGAGAAACAAGTTCGCTTTCACAACCATGCACGCTACGCGTTTGCGACGGCTTCCGTGGCGACTGAGAACATTTTTAACGTCGGTCACCGTTGTTTCGATATTAATAACCAGCCACGACTCGATAATGGAAACGACCAGATCGAAGGATACGAAGCGTAAGATTGGAATGAGCTGCGTCGCAGCGAAAGCGTTAATAAAGTAATACTAACCCGAACAGAGCAAGGGGAATAGAGCTAGCCCAAACTACGTATCGTTTCTTCCTCCAAATGGAGACGTTGACGACTTCCTTCAAGCAGGATTGAAAGTTTGTTTTGGTCTTTAATTGATCTCGAGGGTCGGAGTTGACTGAAAAACATCGACGAATAAAAGCACGCCATCGAAGATGGTTTATACAAGTGAAACAGAGAGGTGAAGAGGTCAACGTCCGATACAGGACATTAGACTTACGTGGAATCGGTTTAAAGAGTACCGCGCACGCCATGATGACCGCGGTGAGGACAGCCAAGCATCTCAAGGTGATGTCTAATCCGAAACGACGTAGTAGGACCTCCATAAAGTATGGCATGAGGGTAGTGAATATGGAACTTCCAGTAGTGACGATTCCATTGACCAAACCCAAATACCTCTTAAAATAATGTCCCAAAATCGCTAAACTCGGTGTGTAGGCGAGACTTGCACCGAGTCCGTACATAACTCCATAGGTCAAGTAGAGTAATGCCACCTGAAGCACAGCGATTCTAGAGGTAACTTGAGCGGTGAAAACACCTAATAGCTCTTTAGTCGTAAGTAACCGATTTCTTTTTCAAAGCACGGAATAAGATTCGTGCGATAGAAGGTGAAATCCTCTCTGTTGGGCGACGATTTCTCGTGGGTAGGAATAGAAGAAGGAATAAGGAACACAAAATTCAACAGATGGGTACAGGAAGGTGGTAACAATAGGACTGCCGAGATACCTAAAAAGGTGAGGAAAGGTTTATGGTGAGATTGGCGAGGTTCAGAACTGAGGTGGGAAACAGGCTCTGGAAAGGGATGGAAAATGGGCTGTACAGGGTATGTAGGGGGAGGGAAGGTGGGAGACTTGGTAGCACGTGTTAGACAGATGCGATGATGTAGAGGGCGGAAGAGCGGTGGGCGTGAGGATAAGAGAAATTCTGGATGACAAAGGAGCAAGAAAGGGATGGTTGGTGGCGATATACAGGAAGAGGGAGGAAGGCTGGGAGGAGGGCGCAGTGTGCTGGGTGCGAATACGCGAAATAAATGCAAGGGAACATATATGTACATAAGAATGGAGGGTTGAGGGGATGAAAGCGACGATAGGTTAGTGGAATAGAAAAGACGATGTATGCATGAAACAACATGTAAATAGTGTAAGGATTATGTATGGATTGTACATACAGAGGGTATCAAAACATGTGGTATAACTTGATAAGTTCAGCGTATGAAAATAATTTTAAACATTAGTCGAAATACACTACCGCTCGAAAGTATCCGGACACTTGCGAAAATACATATGTATTAACATTGCATAAAAGTTATTGTGACCAAAATCGATTTTTGGATACTTATTGAGCGGTAGTGTAACCGAAGAACTTGTTTGCAAAATGTCTTGAATCTTTGTTCAAATACCCATCAATCATTATTCACTCGTTGATTACGTTTGACGGTAGATAATTATAAATTAACTCGTACTCGGCAATCAAAGTGTTGAATCTGGGAATCAAGGTGGTCGGGTCACGTCCAATCCACTTATTTGCAAATTACTCGTTTAAGAATTGTCTCGCCAAACGAGTAAAACAAGGTGGGTCACCGACGGCCATAAACCACACATGATGCACAATTTCGAGTGGGACGTAATCCAATAATTCACTTGGCTCTGCTGCTCTCCTCGAGTCTGTATGACTCGAAACGAACGTAAATTACTATACGTTCGTTTCATTCGTTACCTATCGCTAGAAATGATATTTTGGGTAGTCGCGTCCGTTAAGTAAACGACACACGATACGGTGATGGAATATTGCAATCATAGTTTTAGACCATTGCGAGTGGGTCACAACCTCGCGTATAACTAGCAAATTAAAATCGGACCATTACGATACATTATCTGTATCACGTAACCAGGAAATGTCTCCAATGAAAGATTATAAAAGCGACACCAGTGATTACGATAATTTAAAAAATAATTTTCACGGTTTCGTGGTACCATTATATCATCGTACATTCTGAAATGCGTACTCAAGGACTAAGTATTACGTTATCTTCCGTGCGTATTATTTCATCTTACGTTAATAAATAACATTAACAAGGTGCTAAAGGTTAAAAAGAATTTTAAGCTTAATTTAAAAAAAAAAAATATGCTACGACCTAAAGTACAAACACAGTCTTCGTCGATTAATCTTCCAGTTTTATAAAAAACAGTCTGATTAATTGATCGCAAATTATTTCTGCCTATACGTTCACGCTAAATTGATCTTGACGCCTTAATTGCGTAATGGCGCAAGGTTTTTTTTATCAGCCCACTGACATGCATTGTGAAAATTCGATACACTGCGGTGAAGTAACCTTCGTCGGCAAATAATATCGAATGCGGGACATTCAGATCAGCAGCGTAAACCTGCGATACCTCTACGCAAATGTGCGATTGTTTATTTATGATGCGCAAAAGAATTCGCGGACGCGGATCGACGGTTGTCAGCCTCCTCGATCCGCGACCCCTGTTAAGTGTCTCGAACTTCTGCGCATCGCCGATCTTCGAACTCAGGCTTCCAGTGCTTTAGTTAAAACTCTACCGAGTGTTCAGCCAATATTAAAAATACATCGAAACATATAAAAATAGTTGACGCGTTACAACGCTTGACATAGATCGGATTTGCGAATCGTGAATACTGTGACTGTTCTAGACGCCGATGACTGCTATCTTGAACTTGTAACATGGAAATGCATACAATTATAGGTAGAACGCTGTCCGATGAGCTGCATCGATAACACATTGGGTTATAAACGATGTTTCGATATTCTAAGGCGATCGAGGAGTGGAATGAGTGTCGATTTATTTATAGAATCACATCGCAAGCTTATTTCATATTAGGCGCGTTAAAAACTGTTTACCTCGCTAGAAAATATTGATGAGAGAAGCATACCACTGGACGCTAAAGCGCCACCCAGAAAAGTTGTCATCTGGATACCAATTTTATCGGTGAGTATCCCAGAGATCGGCGACAAAAAGAACGTAGTGCCAATAGTTAGCGATCCCACCAAAGCTGAAACAAGAGTTTAGCAATTTCGGCAATTACCCATTCTGTAAATATATATTATTAACTAATTACGAATAAGCTTTTCGTAGAATATGCATAACGACTTGCGTAACCGATATTTCTATACGCGATAATGTAATCTACTATCGATACAAGTACACAAATAATCCAGAGTATTATCAATCATTGTCGAAACCTTCGGTTCAATCTCAATCTTAATCAATAAATTTCTTATTTGTGATTTTTTACGTGTAATGTGATTATGCGTTAGATTTGTCTAATTATTTTCAATGTCGAGACGCTCGGCTTTATCTCGATCTTGATTAGTGAACTTCTGATTTTTGATAAAACCGCGCACGATGATAAACGTTGCTCGTTGCTCGCATTGCTTAGTAAAGACCTAGTTTTACTGCAAAGAGTAACTACCCCTAGATTAATATTATTTGACCCTCGTTACTATTAATACTCGTGTAATTGTCGACTAATTCAGATCCAGGTTGTCTAGAGCATTGACTCTACGGATGATTAACCTGATCGATCGGTTTAATTGATACGCTACCCCGAGTAATTATTTCGTGCTACATTTAACAAACGATCAAGTCTAAGAAACCAACAGTACGTAGAATTCAATTCCGAAGCATACGAATATGGGCCACGGACAAATTAACAAAAGGAATTAAACGATACCGTACTGGGCATTCTTATGGGGCTACGAACCAATCGATATTTACGTAATAGGAAATACGTATTTTCAATATTTACTCCTGGAAATATTTAATCGGATAATAATATATCAAAGTTGAAGTTTCCATCGATCAAAAAAAAAAAAATAATCCAGGAATAGTCGACGATGAAATTACGTGAATGAAATCCAGACAGTTCAACGATCCGTCTGTTAAAAGAAACTATAAGATAGTGCGTTATCTTAATGCGTTATTAAATAAGAATTGATAAATATTAAAAATGGTAAGATAGACGCGAGTACGGTTCGTTGACTGCAACGAGCGATCGCCACGAACAGTGGTTTACAGAAACACACACGGAAAAGAATTGTCTTTTTGCAATTTCTTTCACCTGTTTCGCCTAATAAGTCTATTCGATATTATCACCGCTTTGCATACGGAAATGTTTAAATATACAGGATGTCTGGGTAATCGTAATACTACCAAAAGGCAGGTGGTTCTTCGTGAGAGACGTGAATAAATCGTGATCGTTCCTGCTGTCACTTTCGCTTATCGATAAGTTAAAGGAATCAAGGACTTACCCGCTTTCGCGGACGCCGAGCTGTCGCCGGATTCTAACAGTCGCTTTTGCAGCTCCAGATAGATCAACGAGTACGAATTAATGACACTAAACAGTACACCGTTGATAACGAAACTACCGATCATGATCATCCATGCTCGTAGACCGCCATCCGGCGGAGTAACGACGTTTCGTTCATCGGTTTCCGTATCCTTTCTTAAGTTATTCATCGATGCGTGATCGTCCTCGTCCTTGTCCGTCCTCTTCAATTTGGCGACTGAAGCGTCGATTATCACCGATGTGAACTTTCGATCGGGTTCCAATAGGGGATTCCCTTCTACGTTTAAATTGGAGTTATCTTCCGGTCGCTGGACCTCGCCTCCGTCCTCGTTCGTCGCGCTGAAAACATCGCTGCAACTTCTTTTCGCCTCCATGTTATCTGCGATTGCCATTGTTGACTAGGTTTTCGATTGGCTTTCGTTTGGCTAACGGATGTCCGAGAACTATGCACAGGAAACAAAAGAAAAAAAACTTCATTCGATACACCTATTTTTTTTTTTTTTTTTCGATAAAAATTTGATTGGGTACGCACGCCCGTATATTCTTCGATGGCAGAATTTTGCAACCCGTTTTGCTTTCTTTTCAAAAACTAATTGGCTCCGGTGGCCTATGCGTGACAGTCGCCGTAGCAAATTTCATGATTTTTGGATTAATTGACACAAGAGTACAAAGCAAAGCAAAGACCGACACACGTGCGAATTGGGCTATTAAGAATTTTATAAACGGTTTGCCAAGCCAACATTTTAACGGCACCGATACCCCATGGATGTGAACGTGATAATGTCCGATTGCATGATTTTGCAATTAACCAACTCGAACGTATAAAGCGAAACCAACGCATATTAATGTGTACTAAATTTTGAAACAAGTTTTCCTTTCTTTTCAAAAACTAATTGGCCCCGGTGTGTGTCCGACATGCGGGTCACCGTAGGAAATTTCATAATTGAGACACAACACGCGCATTCGTGAATTTGCAACAGAATTTTGTAACCTGTTTCGTTTGTTTCATTCGGATATAAATAACGAAGTTACGCTGATTACTGCGAAAGCTATCCTCGAAAACTCGTATTACGAGAACGATTGGAACGTTTTTAATTTGACCGATTTCCAAGCGAAACTTACAGGGTTAATAAACGAAAGTCTACAAGCTTTGAAACGCGTGTAATGACTTTTCAATGAAAGAAGATTTTCTGTCACAAAAAAGTACGCAAAGTTCGCCACTCTCTCGCTATCCTGTGTAGCCCTAAAGGAAAGCGTGCAAGAAGAGGCATCGAGCTAACGAGGAGAGGAAGAGTATGAAAGTACGCAATTGAAGGAGAAAGACAAACGAGTTATATTCATCCAAAACAAACGAAGGTTACGCCTCGATGTAATGTAATGTTCACTGTCCAAACACGTTGCAACAGAAAAGGTATACCGCGCAGATCAGAATTTTTCTATAAGATTACTAAAATTTCGTAGCATTGCTATGATGATGTCATCCAGTTGATTAAAAAATAGCCGTATTCTTTTATAATAAGAAAGTGACAGCAAAGAGAGACAGATAAACAAACAAACATCGAGAGTCGAAAAGTAGTTTGCATTTGAAATTGATATTCTTATCTGTGACGATAAATAACCGCTGTGTTATTTATTGCGAACCGCTAGATCCTGATCGAACCATAAATATGCAAGTCTTGTAAAACGTGAAAATTATACTTTCAGTTAACGGAATAATTATTCTTTATCCTGAACGAACTACTGCGCATAGAAAATAAAAAGTCATGTTCACTGCGTCCAAGGTGCGGAGCACGAAGGGGTTGCGTTCTAACGATTAAATAAACAAGCCTGACTAACTAATCGCGAGCCACAAACAGATTTTGTTTGATGTGATTGTCTTACAAGCGTGTCCCGTTCGCTCTAGCAAGTCGCACACCCGTTCGCTCTAACGATTCGCAACAGACTCTCGCGAATTTCGCGCAGATTCCGCTCGCAGGCTCTCTCTCTCTCCCTCCCTCTCCCTCTTTCTCTCTCTCTTTCTCTCTCTTTCTCACGGGGCGCACTCGTCACCAGCGCTGGGAACTTTGCTCGCGCTAGTTCAGCACATCTATTCGAATTTCTCAATTACCATACAACGAACATTAAAGAGAAGTTGAGAACGCGATAATCGTTCGCGTTGCTCGATAGCAGCTTTCATGTAAGATCGAACAACGAGGGGAAAACAAACGCGCGATATCAAAGCTCAATGTGTCGGTGTATCGTTACGTAGCTGTAAATTGATAGGAAGTTTTAAATGGATTTTCGTTCCACTTAAGGCGTCTGGCCACCCTGTGCGCTCGCCAGATGGGTACTATTCTTAAAAAAAAAAATTAATCAAAAAATTAATCAAGTAATCGCAAAAATCCATTGCTACTCTTCAGATAATGTATCTAAAAGTAGCGTGTACAAATTTCAGAGCAATCGGACCGACAGTTTGTGAGATTTACGTTGTACCATTTCGAAAAATGTAGTTTCGAGATAATCCCAAAAGAAAGTAAACGTGCGGTCCGATCGCTCTGAAATTTGTACACACTACTTTTAGATACATTATCTGAAGAATAGCAATGGATTTTTGCGATTACTTGATTCATTTTTTAATTAATTCTTTTTTTAAGAATCAGTACCCATTTGGCGAGCGTTCAGGGTGGCTAGACGTCTTAGCGAAGACGATGAATTTTCAATTTCTAACCGTTTTCTTCGCTCTGTTGTGTATCACAAGTACGCTGTTAGAGGAAGGGATTATATCGTACAATGTCATGTTGAACAATTCACGTGACAATTCGTACGTGTTGATAAATATGCATAAAGCACGCGTACCTGCATAATACATTACGTGTACTCGACACGATAAAAATCAATGTATAGAAAAACCAGTGACGTGATCGACATTAAACTTAATCGTAATTATTCTAACTTAATCATACTTTCCAAATTGGCTGGAAATCGATGATTCGACTTGTTCAGAAAAAGACGACGAAAAGTCGTAGTTTTGTTTCTCTTTCACGTTATGCCAAAGGTTAATGGGTGATGATCACTCTAATTTGTTTGAATACCATTTATCTTGATAACGTCATTCTCAACACCGCAAGACCCGACAAAGTGACGATTGCTGATTGGAGCAGAAATAAAAGTGCAAGCGTAGCAACGTACAGCGTTGAAAACGTTGCAAATTTTGTCCGTCATGCGAGCGAAGAGATCGAAAGTAAGTAATGATGGTTCAATGCAACCTTCTAATATGAACAGTAAACGGTCGGGCCTAATTCAAGCTAAGCCCCGAAGAAGCTAATAATAATATAATGGAGCAAGTAAATTATAATATAATAGGATTGGTGCTCGAGAAAAGGAAAGAATATACGTGCATCTAGCAGAGGGAAGGGACGTTCTCCGCGAATTCTTCGAAAGTTGTAACGAGTTCGATTTCCTTATAAGGAAGATTAATAAAGGCCAATTGCAATGTCAAATAAAAGATAATAAGGAAGGTCTGATATTCTTTCTTTCCGCATACAGACCTTCTATAAACAATTTCACATAAAGTAACTACCAAAGAACGCTTAATACTCAGGCATTTTCTGTACGCTCTTCATTCGAGATCTCATCTTGTTAGTAGGTAAATCATGGTTAAGAATTTCTAACGTAACATAATGTGACGCGAAGAACCAAGTAGATCCTCCTTTGTGTTACCAGCGCTCGCGGTTACTGAATTTAAGATTACTCCAGCGCCAACTGAAACTTGAAAACTGAATCTGGAGTTGGCGTTTTCTTGCAAATTTTAGTACTCGTACACTATCCATCGGACGTGCATTTTAGAACGAATTGAAAAACGGAGAGAAATTTCTCGGTATTGTACAGCGAAGTTTCTCTACCTAGGAGAACAATTCGAAAATGCATTTGAAATCAAATATTGCTGGATTACCAATCTTCTATTAGACTTGAACCGTTAAAAAACTTGTAGTATCCCACATGATCGTCTATGATTCCAAACATTTATCGATCAGCGATATTGTTATTGATATGATCAGAAGTGATCGATTCAGTACGTTAGGACAGTTACATCAGTTGATGCAATGTTTCTCAGATGACAAACAGATACTCGGGATGAGAGAATAAACTAATCTCCTGGTTAACAAACGAGAAATTACGGAAGACCATTGATTATCTATATATTTATTCGATGTTTCTGCACGCTATGTTACAATGACGTATTAATAAAAAATTATAAATACTATGAACGTGTTACAGCTGACGTAAATCAAACGTTTAACAATGTTTAATGTTCGAGCAAAAGAAAGAAAACAAAATCATAGAGCGAAAAACTGTACGTGATTCATGAAAACTGTCATACGAGAAACGCAGCTCGCGAGACGTGTAGTTATTTGATCAACCATTCACGCGTGCTGTTTGCTCAAAACCATAAGGACTGCATCTTTTAACCTTGACATTAATCTGCATTCAAATTGAGTGGTTCGAAATATATCACACTTGGCTCCCATGTTGATTAATCTCCTCACCCGTTGCGCGCGAACCGTTATTGATAACAAATTCTGTCTCTAGGAAAAAAGAGAGCAACGCATGTTAAATCCAAAAAAAAAAATAATTACTACAGTTGTGATTACGATCTATACCGGTAGTAAGTGTTGCGATTACTTTAAAGTGTTTAGAGAAATATAATTATTAGAATAGATAAATACAGCATTGTATGATTTATGAAATTCATACGATAATGGGTCACAACTGATCACGGTGCAACGTGTAGTCCGCACAGCAATTATCACCGAAACTCACGTTGTACCGACTGTCGTCCTAATCTGACTTATCCTAATCTCTATAACCGCTATCGTTCGTGCGTCGCGTCGTGTGGAAAGGCCGTCGAGTGACACGAGTCATTGCTAAAATTGGAGTAAACAAAGATTGCTTCTTAATTTTTACTTAGGATAACGATAAAAAACTAAAAGGAACAAAAGATGAAGGATAAAGATAAAATATTTTAGATGGTTCTCAAAGAAAAAAAAAAAAAAAAAGAAAAGCTAGTAGAATCGAGGAATTCCGCGATGAAGGCGTGGTTTGAGAGACACTGACCCGGAGTTCCGTCTACATGTGGCCGTCCGCAGTAGCGATTAAAAAGACACAGCTGAAGTCCGCGAGCAAGCGAAAGAGAAAGATGGAGAAAGACGGTTCTAAAAAGAAACTACATAACGGAATGGTAGAGCGCAGATAGAACGAAGCATAGTCGAAAATAGTTGTCGTTCGAGTTTACCAGAGTCGGTTCTTTTTTCGTCGGCGGTGATTCGTGAGTCCATGCGTTTCCACCGAGCCGATCGTCTACTGGGCCGACCGCTGGTCCCTCCACCGATCCCACCGACGACAGGGTCGAGCATAAACTAAGTTTTATTCACCAGCGAATGGAGAGGTCGAAAGTTCCGCGTTAAGAAGAGAACTAACGCGTCTAACGAGCGATAAAGCGAGCTCGAAACCGATAGGCGAAGAGGAAAGGGGTGACGGGCAACGGTCGGAGCGCGCGGGTTGCCCGACTCCCATATAGATACAACATACAGCTATACCGCTAAACGAATTTCGTTGACTGCACGTAGACTTTGGTGTTTCTTGCACTCTAAACGCGCTAACGCAAGCGCCGCGCCATACGTATCGCCGATTAAGATCCACGCCCCTGTTTGACGACGGGGTAACCGAATTAACTTCATGACGGAGATGGACGAAATCGTGCTCGAATAAGAACGACGACGAATAAAAACTAACGCATTACGATTCTTTCACGATCGGACCATTCAACTAGGACACTTTTTTATATTACTAGAACATAAGTAATTTATGAAATATTTAGCTAAATACATTTTACGTGTTTTCCATATAACCAGTATCGTACCTCGATTATTGCAAGAACACCTAGCACCGATTCCCTGCGGTAATCGAGATACTACTGTACACAATGTTTGGACTTGGATCGAACATTTCCTGATAAAAATAAATCAAATCATAACTTTACAAATTCCCAATTATGTCACTGATAATACTGTACTGCAGGTGTGATAAAAGAAGTAAAAATAAAAATGTTGAGAAATTGAATCCTTATCATTAGTCGCCTGCGATTACCGAACATGTAAATCGGATCATGTTGCGTAAACAATAACAACAGTAGAATGACTCTAAATCAGTTGACAAAGAAATACCGTCTTATGTTGTCTCCTTAGTTGATCTTTAAACGGTTTTGTATCAACGATACTTATCAACTTTTTCATTTATCGATTGTCAGTCAGACATTCCTTCATAACATTAGTCGGTAACCTATGACCCGCGGGTTAAGCAGTGACCTATAATACCAAAACAACTGACTTATCAACTAAAAACAAAGTACAAATTATCAAAAATTAAGAACTTTTATGTTATAAATTAAAAAAATAAATCACACCAAATCAAAAAATAATCACGAATGCGATCATTGGAGAATTGACTCGATAATTTAACCTAAATACACCAAGCTTATATATATATCAATATATACAAATTCTATAAAACAGTTTAAATATAATAATAACAATAATAATTAATATACTAGTAACTAAATGAATGATAAACTGATCATTTCAAAATAATATGAATACATTGTGAAAAAAATATATCATGGTGACAAGAAAAATATGTATGTATAAATATTATTTATTGAATGGTTCTGTTACAAAAAATGTAAACTAATCGTAATAATATATTTTCATGTCAACAATGTTATTGCTTAATTTTCGTGAATATTTTGATTTGTAAAATCTAATATATTATAATATATTTTATAACACTGTTATATTTTCCTTTCTTGCAATACAAGATGATAATTTATTATCAGTCTAAGCATAAAGGATTAATGCATTTGTGTCGATATCAGTAAAGAAAAGTGTGATACGACTATAATGTCACCAATGAGGTCAACCTTATGCGATTCCACATCGAGGTGGCTACAATATTCTTTTACTGTCTCTTTTCTATTAGTATCCAGTTTATGGTAAATTATAATCTAAAATAATAGATAAGAAATCGCACAAGATTTACATAATGATAACAGCTACACTAAAAGCATAATTGATTATATACCTTAGTTACATGTAATAAATTAATAATAACAACAGTATGTTTGTAGAAATCACACTGTTCAGTCCTCCCATTATTATTGAAAATATTTAAACTTCTTATAAGTTTACTGTACTGTTAAACGATAAAGTAATAATAATATATATTTCGTCAGATCGTACAATTAAGTCACTGATGAATCACTTTCACTTTTCACTTTTCATTTAAAAAAACATACAATTAATTTAATTGATCATGCATATTTGAACGCAATATATTTGAGAAAACCGACAATTCAACGATATAGGTGTTATGCACGAAAAAGCTAATCGATAAAGCAACATACACGGTCTAACCTTACATTTTACAATATTTCCATCTTCACAGTATTTTCTTCAGAGACAATATTTTTCACAGAAAAAACTTCGCATTTTGTTATTTATTTTCATTAATTCTACACATCACGCACAAGCAATAGCATGTCCAAAGACACGTGTAAGAACAATTTCATATTGTTCGAAAACATTATTGAACAAAAATCCCTAATTTCATCCTAGTATATACAAAGTCTATTTCATATTTCTGTTGTACTATGTGTATTAACTATTACTTAGCGTGTGTAGCGTGTTTCCTTGTTTTCACAATAAATAAATATTTACTCGTTTCGACCAGTGAAACTGAAGAATTGAGAACAACAAAACTATGAAAGGAATTCGATTGGAGGATCACTTGTTTCGAAGAAATAGGTACTGAAGAAGAACATGCGAGAATTTACTACATTGGTAGCCCTCTACTGGTGAATTCAGCATACATGGTCTCCCAATCGGTATTCACCAGTGTTCACGGTGCATTTGTCTCACCTGATCTTATTCTAAACAATATTGAACAGTATCAAAGTGTTTCAATCGTAGATACATATAGTAGTGAAGTAAAATTTTAAAATGACTTCTATGGATTGGGACGAAGTCAAGAGATTGGCAGCTGATTTTCAAAAAGCACAATTAAGCTCCACCTTACAAAAGTATGAATCTTTTTCATGAATGATTTATATCTATATATGTTTTTGACGATTGTATCTCTTCAATGACATACTGAACGGAATGTAAACAGCTGTAAAATAAAAGTTCAATTTTTATAAAACAATTAATCAAACTCGCAATACATCGAGTGACTTACGATTTGCTCGCAATCGTTTTCTGCATACGTGTTATGACAATTTGTTTCAAAACATATTTCAAACTGGAATATTTTGTTATAATCTTGGTTTCTTTTTTTATCGTATAGGTTATCGGAACGAAATTGTGTGGAAATTGTAACAAAATTAATAGAGAGTAAACTTTTAGATGTAGTATTTACTAATGATGGTAAAGAATATGTTACACCACAGCACCTTGGAAAGGAAATTAAAGATGAATTGTACGTTCATGGAGGAAGAATCAGTTTGGTGGACTTGGCACAGATTCTTAATATCAATTTATCTCAAGTGTCTAAGATAACAAATGAAATAGAAAAGTACAATAAAGGGCTTAAGATAATACTTGGACAACTCATTGACAAAACTTACATGAACAAAATTGCTGAAGAGATCAATGATAAATTAATGCAACATGGTAGTATCAACGTAACAGAGTTAACGATACATTATAATTTACCAGCTGACTTCTTGCAATCGCTTATTGAAAAAGAATTAGGAAAAACAATATCTGGTAAACAAGATGTACAGGACTCCAGAGTCTTTTATACAGAGAGTTTTATAGCTAAAAATAAAACTAAAATAAGGGGGGCCTTGTCTGCAATTACAAAACCTACACCAATATCCGTTGTTTTAGAACAGTGTGGTATTTCTGACAGACTATTTTTCTGTAAGTAAACAATATAAAGTAATTGTATACTCTAGTTATAATGAGATCTTCAGCACTTAAATATATATTTATGATTTACAGCAATTTTAGATAGTTTACAGGGAATGAAACAAATTCCTGGTATTGTAGCAGGAAAACAGGGAACATACAGTCTTTACATACCAACTATATATTCTAAAAGCCAAAATGAATGGGTAGACAATTTTTACAAACAGAATGGTTACTTAGAGTATGATGCACTCACTCGACTTGGAATATCAGATCCACCAAACTTTGTGAAACGTCATTTCCCAAATGAAGACATAATCTTCTTAGACTCTGTTGCTGTAGGTACAATAATTAGCGAACAGGTAGATGCAAATATTGAAGAAGCCATTGCAACTGGATCTTTTGTTGATATAACCCCTCTTCTACCATCTGTATTTACTGAGAAAGATATGGAAATGCTTCTTAAAATGGTAGAAAAAAAATTAAATAATAATACACATGTATTCGCAAATACTGTAGTAATATCTGATGCATTTTTGCAATCTCTATATAAATCCTTTGAGACTATAGCAGAAACAAAAGCTAGGGAAGTAGTGGCCAGCGGTCAATGGTTCCAGACTATAGCAGAAAACAAAATTAAATCTAAATCAGCCAGTTCATTACTTGAAACTAAAGGAGGTAGAAAAGAAGAACGACGTAAAAAAGCAGCAACTGGTAAAGCAGGTGGTGGTAGTCAAGGAAGAGAGACGAAAACAAAATCTACTAAAAAAAAGTACCTACAAGGAAAAGGTCGTGAAAATGATTCCGATGACGAGGATCCAAAAATCATATCAGGAAAAATTGAGCTTCAATTAGTGCCTTTAGAAGACATAAAAAATGAGATTACAAAAGATGATAATTTAACAGTAATTGATGATTTAGTAGAGGAATTGGCGTTATATTTGCAACCGAAAATAAATAATTATGCCCTGTCTGTCGCTGATCAGTTATCACAGAACAATAAAACTACCAATTTAAGTGAAGTTGAAGAACGGCTTAATGTTTTCATAACAAACATTAAAATATTTGATAAAGGCATTAAACATATAAATAAGGCAGATCAACCAACTTTAACAAAATATTTATTAAAATCCCTTGGTACCGAATTTGTCACAGAATTATTTAAGTTAGCTGCACAACAAAATATGCTTCAAGCTCCTAACAATATTACCACAGAAACAAGACAAAAGATGCTGCTTGATTTACCAGATGATGTTAAAGAGCCTTTAAGTAACATACATAAATCTATTGCTGAAACTTCTATAGAAGATTTTTTAAATTTCGCGGATCCTGCAATGGCGGCCTGTTGTTTGGTACTAAAAAAGTATGATAAAAAGAAGGAAAGACCATTTATTTTAGGGCACAGACAAGCTTTATTAGAAAAGCTTAATGCTACACAAGATCCTGCATTAGCATTGCATTTAGTTACAAGTATATTATTTATTGCAGCAACACAAAGTGTTGTGCATATATCTGGAAGACATGTATCTACAATTCTTTCATTTCTTCAAACACATTTACAACCTTCAACAATGACAGTACTGTCTAAATACCATGGTATGAAATATTTAATCATCTTAATGCTTTATTCATTATAATATGGTATTATTTAATATAACTATTATTTTGCAGATATGGTATTGAAAAATTTAACTTGTACAGATGAAACTACAAAACTTGAAGTTACCAAGGAATTAGAGGTTAACTTGGAAGAGATTAAGAATATAGCAAATAACTTTAAACAACATTTAAAAACTGATAAACCACAAGAATAAATATATATAATTGTAAATAAATATAAATATTATTTGTTGTATAAAATTATATACAAGAGTTTTATACTATATTTTACAATAAATCACATCAAGGGGAGGCACTATTTTACACTCAAACACTGGTTTAATAAATAATATTAAAAACCCTAAATTATGTCACTTATGAAAACAAAATTTGAATTGATTTACTAACATTAAAAAATAATAGAAGTCAATAGATTATATTGTTTATCTGATATATTTATATATGTACAAATTTCCATATACAGAATTGTCTATAAGTAATACTAATTAATACAAAGAAAATAGTATTCACTTGTTTTTTCAAAATATTCATCATACATTACTTACAACCCATTCTTAATATTAATATTCCTTGTACATTGTTTGAAAATGACTTTGTATTACAAAGTAGCTAAAATTCTTGTAAATCCAACACATCCTGCTACAACAGTCTGCCCAATACCCCAGAATAATGCATATAATGGTGGCAGTGGATAACGTGATGCTCTATACACAAAAGCAACAGCAGCAGAGCTAAGAACTCCTGATGTTAGTGGTAACGATATACCCATTATTATAATCAGCAATGGAAAGAATCTTTAAACCAAAAGTTACTTGGTTATTTTATATTCATATTCTATGGTATTTTGTATAAAGATAAGATTTCTTCTATATTCTTACATACTTTCCATATTTATGTTGTCGTAATGTAGCAAAACAGATTGCACCAGCTATGGTATGAACAAAAATAGAAGAAAATAGGGCCCATAAAAATATTTGATACCACATTTCTGTAACAATTAGACCAAAGGAAGTCCATAAATCTTCATAATAAATATATAACCATAAACCTAATTGTAAACAATACCTACATACCAGCAAATGAAGTCAAGGGTGTATAAAATACATTGCCTGTATTTCTCATATTAACTGGTGATCGCAAAGTAGAAATATCTGTTTGTAGTTCCATAGTAAATATCTTGTAACTACTTTAAACTATTGGTTCTACATTGATATTTTTATGCACATCCATAGGACATTAGAAAAGTTATAGAGCTATATCAATATTAACTATTTACATCTATAAATATTATTCTATATGCTTTCGCGGAATATAAAACTGTATGCACAGTGGCAATGATGAACAAGATCTAAAACAAGAAATGTAATAATGTACATCGATACAATAAAACTTTGTGATGGTACAAATATCAGTACAACTTTCTCTTATACTTTTAAGTGCATTACATTTAACACAGACTGTAAAAATATTCAAAATACAAATGTTAACTTACCTTTTCATTCTAATTTTGTTGATGTTATGTACGTCGCAGTAATTTATTAATATCCATATTGGTAGGTAGTCTTTAAACATTTAATAGGAAACTCTGCGTGTAACATTTCCTAAACATACTGAAATATTTAAAAAAATCACAAACATAACAGTTTGAACTAATCACTTCTTAGAAAGCCAAGTTATCACAAAACTGCACAAAACGGAAATGATTTACCCGTACCGTACTACTGTAAACCCGCGGAAAGCTTTAGGTGCGTTCTGACTTTCCATTGGTGAAATGACTATCGTCCATCTTATTAGTGATTTGCAATTGCTATGCAAAATTATGATGGTAAATTTCTTCAATACAGATTCGTTGATTTTTATATGTTACAATTAAAAATTCAAGTCTTTTGCTCTACATATGACGTAAAAAATGTACACATGTGCTCATGTACACAACGAATTATCTCTATAGATACAAATTGAAGTAAAGTTATACAAGTTACAATGTACATAATAATTATAGCTTTGCACTGAAAGGGTCATTAACGAAAAATGTATAATAAAATCAAATAAAAATATATTTATCAATCTATTATGCGTGAACGACACATTCCTAGTTAAAAACATGGCGCTGAACATGTAGGGAATTTAGGGTTATACCAAACTAGATACAAGTAAAAATTGACATATTGTACTCGAAAAAGCGCGCGTAAACAAAGGTTACCTCTTAAAATACTAGTAAAATAATTGATCGATCATGGATGACAAAATATCGACATCTACACTGGCTTTACCAAAACATCGTTTCACATATCAAAAGGGACAAAATATGCAGTATTACCAAAACATAAAATTGGTTAGAGGTTATGTTTATGTAGCAAAGTATTCTATACTATATATATATATATACATGTGTGTATCGTATCCACATTTCTAGTATGTAAATTATCCTGATGAAAATGTTCGCAGAATTTACAAGTCGTATCAAAATACGCAGCAGAACTCGACGAAAATTTAGCAAATTTAGAAGAAGATATTATTAAAACTGGCCAATTGCTCAACGCAATTGAAACTAAAACGGATCGAGTTTAGATGAACTCATCTGAATAATATGCAAGAGTTCAAGATGCAAATTGTTTGTAAAACTTATATACACATGGAAATAAATTTTTTATAATACCTTTCATTCGCATTTTATTTTAATCTTCACTAACAACAATGCAACATTATTTCACCTAACATACCGCGGAACAATCGATTAGGAACAGTGCCAGGTTTACTCAATCATCCTGAAAGATAAAATATCCACTGATTGCAATTCGTGATTTTAGATTATCGCAGCGGGTAATCAAATCGACCGCGAATAAAACTAATGAGAATAATGAATGGAAATTGCGATATGTATATTCCATTCGGCAGCATGTCGAGATATACGACGTATTTTACGTATGAAAAAGTTAATTTCGAAAATACAACATACTGAAAGTATATTATAGGCGATATATATTGTTTTAATAAGTATTAACGTTTACACTTTTATCTTATGACGGTACTGCAGTTCTATCGTAAGTCGTAAAATTTTCAATTAAAACGCCCTAGTAAAGACATAGGAGTCCAGCTCTTAGTTTCTTCGAGAGACTCTAAAAGACTGAAATAACTGTAAAGTATGTAAATTTTTAAAACTCAGTTCGTATTCCGTAAGGAGGGAAACGCTTGAACGCGTAGCTTCACAGGTAGAAATTTACGAACTTGAAGAAGAAATTTTAGTGACGTTGAAAAGGATTCACGAAGAAATTGCGCCAAACACCGGTTTAACAAGTATGAATCAACAATATTTCTCGGTACTGAGCAAATTGGATTTACGCTATTCGTCCAATTAATTATCCATTATAGAATTGCGTTTCACCCATTCCCAGCGTTTCGGGTGTCAAAAATACACCCTAACAAATTGGGCAGTTTGGCCAGTCGAATATCGTTCGGATCCAACCGAGATGATGCTCGTTGGGGGTAATTGCGGTCGTCTCCTTCCTGGTATGATATCAGTTTCAATAAAAGTAATTATCGTAACAGTCCTTTCGAAGTAAAAATCGATGGGCATAGATGAGGGTGGAAGTAAATTGGGTACGACTATTACGTGTGCACAAACGAGACGCGCGTATAATGAATTCAATTGTTTGGTGTGTGCTTTTTATTGCTCCTACTCCTCGTTGTGTCGTCCAATCGGGGATAAGCGAGGGCGCCCGTCGCTACATTCGAAATATATAAACGTGTCAATAACTGTTCCTCGACGCTCAGTCAGTATTTTTGTTCGCCGCTGTCAAACTGACGATTAATAGTGAACCAGCCCAGATCTCATTTCCAAGTCCAAGAGAAAGTATCAGAAGAAACGGTAAGTTCGATTTGTAACGGGGGATCCTGGAACATCGACTTTCCGCTCGTCAACGTTTTCCCTCCTCCACCGTTATAGTTGATATCACGTGCAACAGACAAACCATAAAAACGAAATGTTTGCTAACTTTCTGGAAACGATAGTAAGTCACGGTTTACACCGCCTATTTCTCGCGAAATCGTAGAAAATTCGTCATCAGCAATCGTTCGATTTGATTCCTTTCAGATAGATAAAGTTATCGTAGTTTTTCGAACTTCGTAATTTCGAACAACGAAACTTTGATAATCATCGTTGGTTAACATACGGATGAGGTTTTTTCGAAGTAGAAAAATATTAATTTTTCTAAGAAAACAGAAATTATTTGAAAAAAAAAAAAAAAAGAAGGCCAATTTTCACCCTTGTCGGCGTTTTCGTTTGACGCTGCATATTTTCTTATCGCGGTATGCGGTTTACTCTCATATCACCACTAGATTAAGATACTGTTAAAGGGCTTTGTGGAAAGAGGGCGCAAGATCGTAGGGAAGATGCGAAGATTGTATAAGAAGTTGCATCATTCGGTTTGAAACCTCCTCCCGTGATGTGCGCTCCTAGAAAGCATCTCCGGCGCGAGTATCTTTATCGAAAATTATATCTGACTGCGGTACCGGGATTTGATATTTCTGCGAGCCTTTTATCAGCGTGTGACAATTATCCGTCGTGATTTAACGATACAAAGGTAAGGCGATCGAATTCTTATTTAAGAACGTGCACGAATTATCGTTCGTAACGACATTCTCGCGCCAGGCCACGTGTAAATCGATTTTATAAAATAAGATAGGAACGGCGGGTTCAAAATTTCGTATAACGCGATATAGATACGACTTTAAAAATAGCAAGTCAGCAGCGCAAGAATATTCAATTTTTACATTGTTTTAACGTCTTCGAAAGTAGGTAATGTACAGACAACTGCATTCTATTTTTGGCTCACATATTTTAACGAGAGAATTGCAATACATTTTTATTAATGTTCTCATACTCGTACCAGCTTCCAATTGCAACTACGAAAAGTTTACTAAAATATTTATCTCCTGTTATTAATTAATATTCCGCGCGTATCAGTTGTTTCGTAAGAATGTCGAAAGAAAAATCTGGTCTTTTTCTAAAAATAAACAGCGCTATATCCCGGTTTGGTTGCATTCGATTATCCCGTGTTTTTATTGCTTCTTTACCAGACAGGGACAATGCAAAAGAGATACGCCTAAGTACGTTAAAGACACCCATTCAGCTCGTAAGATAATTTTTTCCACGACATTCGCAATCACATTGTAAGTGTTTCGGATAACATTGTGATACCTTCACGCTTCAGATTTATATAATAACGCGATTACTTGTGCTTATGCAACTTATTGTACGTATATGAAGAAACTATCGTTCCCCGTAATTGTTGGTAGTTAAATATAAACATTTCATCGGACTTCATTGAAACATCATTGAAACTTGTCTCCGTCTCTCATTTATGCGACGATAAGTCCGTCCAATATCTCGGAAGTTTAAGTCACTTTTAACTTGTCCCTCGTAGTCGCTGCAGGCGTATTTGCAGCAAAAAAAAACCGACACACGTACACCACACTCCATCGCGTATATATCGTCATCCGATTCTCCCCTATTTTTTGCACCACATGTGTTTCATTAACGCGCGAGAGAATTCGTTTCCAAACATCTTGCCTCGTTAACGAACCGAGTTACTTAATCTCCGTTAAACCCGCGCGCGTGACCTTCCTTCCTTTCGCGAAGAAGAAAGGGGAGCAAACGAAACGAAACGAAAATTGTCGAAAATAAAACGGTGTTAATATTCGTGAAATGTTAAACCTGCGAACAAGTAGGTTTACGTTACGAGCTCTCGATCGAACGTATCGGTAGAGAGGAATCATGCGATACCGATTACATCGAAACACGCACCGTTTGCTTGAAAATGACACATTCTTGGTGGTCTCGCTGCCGTACGTGAAATACCGTTACAAGGATGCGACGAAGGTATCGAAGCACTTTATATTACGACAATAGAATAGATAAAGAAATCACTAATTTGGTGATTTCGATGCCCACTTTAAAGAACAGGCCATGCGGCCGATGAACGTCCCATCCGGCCAGTGCGAGTAGAACATGCATCGATTATGATTTTGCAGAGGAAAGTAAAAGTACTCCTTTCAAACAAATATTGAAAAGATATTGATCCATACATCCTCAAAAGATACAGAAAACAAAGTTTGCGATATCAATGCTCCGCTGGTTTCCAATGGAGAGGACAGTAACGACTTGGATCGCGAGCTTCTCGCTCGATAAGAGCATCAGAAATATTTTTAAACGCGATTGGCTTTTTTTCTAGAAGTGTTTCACTTGAATTCAAATTCAAGCAAATCAATTCTTGCAATCCTAGTTTCGACAACAAGTCTCCGTACGTTTTAAGATTGTTATCGTAAAAACCACTCAGCATTCTCGAAATCCGAATTAATTGTTCCTGGAAAAATCTTGGGTCGAACGACATTGAACGCGAGTTGACGCTGACGTGAATCACGCAAGAAAATGTGTCAAATCAGAGTTCTGGTTAGTTGGGTGATAAAATTAGTCGCGTTCGGATACGTGTGGTCTGAAAACAAACAATCCCCTTCGAATTCAAATTTGCCATTACCATATCTGTATATCTATATCTCGTTGAATGTACAGTTCAAATTGTAACTTTTATTTGACCAGTAACGGATAAGAAATCGTTTTTTTTTTATCTCACATTCGTTGTTCGACGTTTTTATCTGGATAAGAATTTTTTCCACGTCTGATTCGTAACATTGTAACGTTTCCTCATCTTTTCAGTCCGTTACGTACATTCGTAAACGTCACGAGACATTCGTAAACGTATCTTACTTGAACATTATTTAAATAGCCATGAATAATTCTATTCAAATGGATGTGCATAACGTTATTTAAATGCCAAGTTACAATGTTTAAGGTACGAAAAATGCACAGACTATTTGCGAATAAGTTGTCAGGAATTTTTATTGGAAACGACTCGACTACAACATTTTAAGAATGTAATTTCAAGTATGCCAGAACCCTACTTTAATTCTTCTTGGACAATCTTCGGCCAAACGAATTGGATTCGACTCGACTTCATTGAAAATTGCGTTAAATCACAGAGAATCATAATATTTACAGTGGTATTATCGGGAATTGGAAGGCGAAGTTAACTAACAATACGTACTGATAAGAGTGACACTTAAAAGAGAAAGAATGCAGTGTATATGTTATTCGTTATTATTGTAGATATTTAATTATCTTTATTGTTGCCAATTGTGTTCCTTGAGGAAGGTCGAATGAATCGATATTATAAATCGCGCACCTAACCCGACAATTAAATCCTCATCGGTCCGATTTCTGCGAAAAGAACATGACGTTCGATGTCCGTCAACTTCACTCTGATTCAATTATTACACAACGTCCTTTCACATTCATTAAAGCGTTTCGTTTATGTTCTTTTATTAATAATACCGTTACTCGACATCAGTATTTACACGATGCAGCGATACCAACGCATTCGCTATCCGCCATTCAATTGAAAGTCCCGTCGCAGACGGTGCTACAGCATTTCCAGCGATTTTATCAAACATGGTTGTTCTAATTTACAATTTCATATTTTTTTCAGATGCAATCGTCCTCAGCGCTGCTAAAGTTCGTTTACATTATCATAGTGTCGTGTACGGTTTCGGGACATCCCTTCTCGTTCCTACCGCGGTATGCCGTCGAACGTGCTGCTGAACGTAGAAGCATAGGAAAACAAGTAAACAATCACAGATCTAATTTTCTGACACCATTAGCGGAATACGGAGCACGATCGGCCGAACCGAAGGTAAACATAATAAATGAAATAAATAGGATACTCGTAAATATTTGCTTTTCCACGGTTAAATCTGCTTTTGCAGCAGTCGACTAATCTCGACAACGTTTAATCCGTCACGAATTCTTTTGCAAAATCGATGTTTGTTATTTATAAAAATTACACAATACTCAACACGTTTGGTATCAACCGTCGCGTATGCATTTCACGTCCGTGTAAACAAATGAAATGTAAATTATAATACCAATGTTACATTAGGTGTGATTTGTGCAAACAAGACATTGGTACACGATGAAAATGATTCAAGTAACTACATCGAATCTTTGTTTTAATTTCCAGCCCGTGGAACCATGGACCAAAATCACTCAACATCCCGTGAACGGCATCGAGACGACCGTGGGGTAAATATGGAATAAACTCAAACAAGAAATGATTATCGAACAAAGATAACAGTGTTTAATCGTCTGTTTTCATCTGTTCCAGGAGCAGGGTGGAATTAGAATGCAAAGCTAGCGGTAGCCCACCACCAGAAATTCTGTGGTTCACTGGTAGCGGAAGTAACGAAGAGGTGAATATTACGATCGGGCGTCGTTCGATTGTACTACAATTACAGGAAGACATTGATTGTTTAATGTTCGTTTTTCTTCAATGTAGCTCGTCGACTACGTTACAGCCAACACGCATTCCTTGTACGATCCATCCGAGGAGTGGAAAGGAGTGGCCAGAATTAATTCGAAGCTCGTGATAGAATGCGTTACGCCGGATGATGCTGGATTGATCTACTGTGCGTCGGTTTCAGCGAGAGAAGTAAAGGTATCCACTCCTACAGTGCTGCTGGTTAATAGTAAGTGGAATACAATTAACAATTAACCGTGAACGTTGCCAATTATCTAAATCTCCATTAATATAATTACATTTCACGTGACATCTATCACTCGCATAACTTATACGACCCGTATATTTAGTTAAGATTGACTTCCTAATCTTCTGACTCGACTTCTCTTCGTCGTTTCAAAAATGAACTTCGGTAAATGTATTCGTTGATCCCGCTATTCGGAAAATTGGCTTATATCGTTTCATTCCATTCGAATAACGTCATCAATTATCAATGAACTAATTTGTCACAGGTGAGGAAAGTGGCAACAGCAATTGCAGCTCTGAAAGTGACCCGACAATTACGCTGTACTCTCCTACGCGAGTAGCTAACATCGGAGCGACCGTCGTGCTTCCGTGCAGGGCAAGTGGCAAACCAACGCCAGAAATTTCATGGGTGGACAACTTCAATGTACCGTTAACTCTGTCGACGAATCTGCGACACAGAGTATTGGATAGTGGTGATTTGTTGATAGAGGAACTTTTATGGGAAGACATGGGCGGTTACACTTGTAAAGCCAAGTCTGGGCATCGTCAGCAAATCGTCAGCACATTCCTCTATCCATTACGTGTAAGTTTCTCCATCCGCGTTTAAACATCTTATCATCTCGATTAACGCGAAATTGCGTTCGTTGCCGTGAATATTTCTTAATAGTTTAGCACAAGAAGAAGGGAAGTACGTAATTCTATAATAAAAACAATGAAATAGGAAAATTTTTTCGGTATGAACTTTAACATTGAAATTGAACATTTTTTTCTTTATGTCCTCAATAACGTCCATTAAGTTAGTTTGAGACCAACCGTCCTATTTCTATATGTTATTTTTCTTTAAACGATTGAAAGTAACGATGAGTTGTTTCTTTTTCTCCTTGCAGCCTGAAACGGAGGTGGACCGAACGGTTAATTGAAGAATCATCACAGTCACTTTCTTATTGTACAACGTGCGGAACAAACTGGATAAAATACGCTAAGTTTCGGTGTTCGTTAACGTCAAAACGGTATTATGTTAATATAAGCACTATACATATGTAATTCTATTACATACAATAGAATTATATATTAGATGTAATAGAATTATGTATTGGTACTAATAACTCGACAACGCGTGCGAGAATTAGCAACGCTTTATTTAATTATACTATTAATGAAATCTTACTTAAAAATTTTATAAAAGATTTTTGCGTGCCAAAGAATTTTTTATATTCGTACCACTAATTTTAGTGGAAACAGCGATTTCAGACTATTTCAATATTTAATTAATTATGTATTTCGTAATACCTCTTGAATGAGGTATAGTATAGTTTTTTAACGTATTATTTATTTATTATCCGTGTACAGTGGACGCCGATCGCAGAGGCAGATAAAACTGAAAGTTACTTCGTTTAATGTTAAGACTAGTTGTTAAACCAGTGATTCTGTGAAAAAGAGACATGTCGCCCTTCAGCCTTGGATTATTATTTCGCTTATTATTCACTAGTATTAATTATTATTGGTTACACAACTTTAGTATTTCACTCTACCATTTCTTCGAGTCTACCATAATCTAGTGTCTACTGTGAAATGCTATATTCTTTTTTTTATAAATAAATGTATTTCTTTTCGTACAAAGTTTGTGAATTGTTTATGTATTTATTTCCCTCCATTTAACTTTTCGTTAGTCTAATTCTGTAATGAGTTGTACGAGTCATAATAAATTATAAATCTGACACAGACCTTGGAGCCAAGATCATTAGGCCATCATAGGCCATTCGATAGTGCTTTATCATCTTCGTTTAGAACACGTGTTCGGAATAACTAACTATTAAAAATGGGAAAAAAGTTAACGGCAAAAATTGGACCTTCGATTTTAAATGCCGATTTGGCACAACTTTCGGAGGAATCACAAAGATTAATTAAAAATGGTGCCGACTATTTGCATTTAGATGTTATGGATGGACACTTTGTACCTAACCTTACTTTTGGACACCCATTGGTAAAATGCCTTCGCAGTAAAGTGAAAGATGCTTTTCTAGAAACGCACATGATGGTTTCTAAACCAGAACAGGTATACCACGTTGCTCTTTATCACGCAGTATTACTAAGCCTAAATTATGGGATTGTTAAATAATACTACTGTTTCCCTATTTGTCATTTAATTATTTTAGTGGATAGAGCCTATGGCCGATGCTGGTGTCAACCAATATACTTTCCATGTTGAACCTGTGAAGGATGTCCCTCTACTTTGTAGAAAAATAAAAGAAGCAGGAATGACTGTATGTACTTTACAGAATATTCTATGGTTCAACTGTTACAAAATTACAAATTCTTTCCTTTAATTAAAGGTTGGAGTAGCTCTTAAGCCTGGTACACCAGTGGATGTGGTTGTAGATTACATTGATTTAGCAGATATGGTATTAATTATGACAGTAGAGCCAGGATTTGGTGGCCAAAAGTTCATGGAACCAATGATGGAAAAAGTAGCATGGTTGAGAAAAAACTACCCTACGTTAGATATAGAAGTAGATGGTGGTGTTGGGCCAGCTACTATTGATGCATGTGCAAAAGTATGTACAACAATTTAATTAAATAAAAATGTCTAAATTGTATTACAATCAATATATTTCTTTAGGCTGGGGCAAATATGATCGTTTCCGGAACTGCAGTTATAGGTTCTTCTGACCAAGCAAAAGTCATAAACACTTTAAGAGATACAGTGAATTGTGTATTACAAGGCAATTGAAAGTAGGAATAAAAATAACTTTGTATATATTACAAATTTTGTAAATATTTTATAGTATAATATTATACAATGTTTACAAAGAAAAGGAAAAGAATAAAAAAATTGAATTTTTTAAAGTAGCACATTTACTTCCTTACTCCTTTCCCATATAATAATTTTCCAAGCCTGATATCTCTGTTTCCTTCTTACTAGTTTTTAAAGAACTAAGCAATAATGTTGTACTCACTGATGGTTCAATTATCTACACAACCATTAAAGAGAGGATTCGGCAAAAGAGAAAATTTAGGAGTTAGTTTCATTCTTAATGCTGCTAAACTAATCAGTATGGCTTCTTCAGTTCTTATAGTTCTGGACCCTTGCAGAGGACAGGTATTCAAATATTTGTGAAACACCAAAGACGGATCATCCACATTTAAATTAGGATCAACATCTACTGCAGCTTCCAATCCACACAATCCTCCAAACACTACCAAGGTATGATGATATTCCATGCTTCTTGGTTCTATATCATCAACAGATGTTCCTTTATCAGAAGTTCCAATCATTAAGTCATATCCATTTTTATAAGGACACTGTGTTAATGCTTCTGTTAGATTGTTAGCTAATCTCACTGTGTATCCCCAATATGTACCGGTTTCCAATTTAGGAATGTCAGGTGGTACAATGAAACCTCTTAACTTTTTTGGATTCAACTGATCTTGAGGTATTTTTACTGTAACTCTCAGTCCAGTGGTTAATACTTTATCTACCTTGACATCATTTAATAATCCCACATTAACATAGGAACCTTTGCCAGCTTTAACTGGTTTGTTTGTAATTACTCCTTCTCTATATAAAGATACATCTTGCTGACGTAAATGATGTGGGGCATCTAATGGATTTAACACTCCAGCATATTGTAAATCCTTATGAATCGGGAAGAAATATTTTCTTAAATATTGTGGACATTCAAGATATTGCAATATTCTAGCCAATTGCAAGCATGCGACTCTTCTTTCACCAAACGCTTCGTCTTTTCTTACTTTCTTCTTTTCAGTTTCAGTTATTTCGCCTTTGTCATCGAAAACAACAATTTCATCTATTTGATAAATGCACGCCGCACGTGCGATCTGCCCTGCCAAATATGTTCGTAATTCCTGAGATTGTGCATTGTCCAAAATAGAACCAGGAACCGCAATACTAACGGTTGAAATATCTTTTTTCTCAAACTGTTGTTCTTCGATGGATTCCAGCGGCTCTTTTTCTAGTTCTTGATTATCTAGCTTCAACTTTTTTGCTAACCTTTCTTCCCGCCACTTTTTTCGTTGTTCTTTATGTAAACGATTGGTTTCTTTCCAGGTTACAGGTTTGACTGACATTTCTTTAATTTTTCAACAATATTCCGTTATATTCAATATATATTTATCACTTTTCACAGATACATACTTTAGTTTCAATCACATTTTTCTTCAACACGGTAGAAACCTTAAGAAACTACTAGAAACAGTTGGAGCAAATTGGTGTTGATCATTGAAGACTATATCAGCTGATTTCGTTTGGTAGCTTATTTATTTCGTGTTTATTTATATTTTTCAAATTTTTAAGAAATTTGTGAATTCACGTTGAGTTATGGCCGCAGAAGAAGGTTTTGAACAGGTACTTTTGGTGAATTCATCGAACTTTACTATTTCGTGCTATTTTTTATATGAATCAATGAAGTACATAACCTCAATTATCACTTAAAATATATTTACAACTCATCTCATATTAATTCCTGTCTATGACATTTTGTATGAACTGAATTATAACAAAATGACAATTTAAATATCGCAGTTTGAAGATGAAGAAGCAGAAATTCCGATCGGTGGAACTTTACCTGGCGGTAGAAAGCGTTTATTTTCGAAGGAATTGCGCTGCATGATGTACGGTTTTGGAGATGATCAAAATCCTTATACAGAGAGCGTGGATTTATTAGAAGATCTGGTTATTGAATTCATTACTGAAATGACACACAGGGCTATGGAAATTGGACGCACTGGTCGCGTCCAAGTAGAAGATATTGTATTTTTAGGTAGTATCAACAAGTGGTCTCTTTTATATGTTATATACAAAAATGTAATTAAACGATTTGTTTTACAGTTAAAAAAGATCCAAGAAAATATGCAAGAGTAAAGGATCTCTTGACCATGAATGAAGAATTGAAAAAAGCTAGAAAAGCATTTGATGAAGTTAAATATGCAGGTACCGTTAGTCAATAAATATGTTTTGTTACTCTGTCAATATCTGAAGCGTATGAAAGACACTTTTTATTCTACTTGAACTTTTTATTTTATTAAATATTTATGATCGTTTTTTTTATTGTTCTTTTAAATATTTTTTTATGAGTTTTTGTTTTGAGAAGAAGAAGTATTGTGGAATTTCATAAAAGTTCAAGTAGAAATTATTCAAAGAAAAGTAAACTATTTGATGTTTCAAACTGTTTTTTTGAAATCGTGCAATACTACTATTAAAAATAAATATTGTGTTGTAGTAGTTGCACCATTAATTATGATTTATTTACAAATATGGATTGCTATGTGCTTGTATAATGCATCTTTATAGTACTTCTTGCTTGCTTATCTATATCAAATTTAGAAAAATATGAAAGAGTGCAGTATTTAAAATTACTAAATTAACAAAAAAAAGGTTCAGATGGAAACATTATGCGTTACCTATGTAATGTGTAACAACTATCATATAAATGATATCCTATTTTTATTACTTTTTTGTTTTGAAGGATTTGTAGTATGAAATATATGTATATGAAAATAGAATATAGAAACAAATATTTATATTTTCATTGTAATGATTGATTAATTACATATAAGTATATATTTCATTTACGGGTACTTATGTATATGTAATTAATAATTTTATAATTGAAGTAGCTTATTGTATTATTCTATAATGTAAATAAAAGATTATGTACAGGCCTATTTGCCTAATATTACCACTTAAAATACTTTTTTGTGTGTAATTTGGAAGAGAAGTATTGTAGGTTAGGAACTATTTGATTTTGAAAGTGATTCAGAATTATATACATTTCCTTCTACGATTATTATTACATAAAGTAAATAATGCATGTTTTAAATTCAAATTATATTTTAAGAATTATGTCGGTTTCATTGCTTTAATTACATTATTCTTTTGCGTGTGTGTGCGCGCGCGTGTGTTTATTGTTTTCACTTTTTTGAATTATAGAGGACAGCATTGCAACGTTTGCCTGGCTAATCTGCATTTGAATTTTACTAAATTAGTCTTTGCGAATTGATATCAGAAACAGCTTGTTTTGCTGACAGAATAACATCATTCAGTCCTACTCCTTGGTATGAAGAGCCACACAATCCTAGAGGAAGTTTGTGCATGGAGATATAATTATGGATGCGGGTTAAGCGTTGCATGTGACCTACTATGTGCTGCGGAATACAGTCCTTCAAAATGGAAACATTGTATGACATGGGATCTTCCCCGATTTGTAAGATTTCTTTCACTTGATCGACTGCTACATTCAACAAATGCTCTTCTGATGAGCAGTTACCAAAGTATTTCTCAAACCATGCCCCACCCATCATCACTGTTAGTACCTGGAGTTCAAACATTAGAAATGTTCAACATTAAGAAGCTCTTCTAGTCCATAACTTATTTGTAAGCGAATACAGTAAGTTTTCAACTTATATGGGTAATTTGTTTTAAAAATTTGAAATATTATTTAATATCTGAATACATACACAACTGTATTTATATGAATCCATGTATCTTGAGAACTTACTCTACTTAGAAATTAAGAATTATTTTGTGATTGGAAATATTACATTCAGTATGATAAACAACAAACTGGAGCATAATAATTAATGTGAAACATCAAAACTGTGACAGGAAAAATGTCAGGTAATAAAAATGTTTGTTTATACATACCGTTGTTTTGGAGTCTCCAGGAAAAACACATGAATCAAATATCACTCCTAGAATTGGAAGTTCTTCTTTTGGTGGAATAAGAAGTCCAAATGCATTTATAGGTAAGACATCTTCAGGATATTCGAGATTAACTACACCTACTGTCACAGTAGGTATACCTCTTAATTCGTTAGATAATTCTGGATGTTGGTCTTGCACAAGGCTTGCTAAAGTTTTTGCAGGCAAGCTTGAAATAATATGAGAATATTCTTGAACTTCTCCATTTACAGTTAATTTTGCACGACCTTTATCAAACTTAATTTGTTCACATTTATGTTCTGTTTTAATATTTACTCCACGTTTAGTTATATTACTAACTAATGCAAGTGGTAATTGTTCAAGACCTCCTTTAATGCCCCATACAGACCACATTTCTTTTTTAGCTCTTTCTGCTAAATTTGTTAGTGTATTATGTGATTCCACATTTGACTGATTATCATTTGTAGATGATTTAGTTTTTTTATTTCTTCTTATCAATTCTAGCACCAAACCTTTGACTATAGATCCATGTTTTTGTTCCAATTCAAATAAATTTTTCATAATAGAGTTAACACTTATTTTGTGTGCATCTCCTGCCCAGATTCCACAAACCATTGGAGAGATCATTTTATCAGCTACATCTTTGCCTAATCTCCTTTCTATAAAACTATATATACTTTCATCATCCACAGATACTTTTGGAGCTCTTAAATCGTTCCAAACAACACTAAGCATAGAACGATTTAATAATGTATTCTTTTTAATAACACCCTTGAAACTATTAGGTAACAAATGTAACTGATTATCTGAATAAATCAAGCGGTTTTTAGCCACAGGATGACTATTTGGAATTGGAATAACTTTATCTGATAATTCTAATTGTTCTATTAACTCTAATGTATTTTTTCCACTTGCACCCGTGGGTCTAATAGTTCGTGGACCTTGTTCAAAAATTGTTCCATTGGGCTGTTTTAAAGAACGTACCCAACCACCCACTCTATTCGAACCTTCCAGTATTACTATTGGAACTAGTTTTGAATTCTGAAGTGCATAATACGCAGCTGATAAACCTGACATACCAGCACCTAGTATTGCTGTCATGCTGAACTGTACCAATAAATATTTTATATTGAAATAAATAATAAATTACATTAAACAACATGCAAGTTCTTTTTCTTAATATGACTAACCTATAATGAATTCAATAGGTTTATAAAAATCTACATATTTGAAAATGCTCAACAAGCTGTAAGTACACTGTTAATGTTATTTGAATTCTTTTATATTACAAATTAATTGTACCTACTAGCGGTATAAAGAAAGGTTATGTTTTAACAGTTCAGCAGTTGTCAGTCTGAATGGTCTGAATTTCATCCTCTGAAATAGCATAAATCATGTTCATGTGAAATAAACGTGACAATGATTCTTACTTCGAAATAAAGTGATTTGAATTAAAATTTAAATTTGCCGCTCGAGGACTTTTATTTTCAAATATATACTGTACAAAGTTATTATATATTTATTTCTTACAAAATTTGATTAGCAAAACAACGAAGAAATGATAACTTCTTGTAATAGAGTCATTTTCGTGTGAAATGTATTATTTGAATTTAATATCGATAGTAAGTTTAATAGGACGAAAATGGAACTACCTGCTTACGTCAATAGCTAATTATAATACACGTACTATTAATTTAATATTCTAGTACTGTCATTCTGTATACTTCAAGCGATTAAGGTAACGTACAATATAAGTTATTTAATAGATTTTACACGGATTCCCGCCAAAGTAATCTGTATATTCAGTGAAACATTATTTTTGCTACTGTAAAACTCTTTCTTTGATAACCTTTAACATTATAGTTATTAAAATTCCTGACATAAAAATTAAAATGAAAGACGGCAGCAGATTGCTATCAATTCTTTTGAAAGTTTCGGAAAAAGCAGCAAACATTGCAAGAGCCTGTAGACAGAACGATGCTCTGTTTAAATTACTTGTGCAAGAAAAATCAGAGGAGGAGAAGAATCCACGCTTTTTTCAAGATTTCAAGACACTGGCAGATGTTCTTATACAAGAAACAATTAGACATGACTTAGAAATTGAAGTGAGTTAGCAGAACATAAAAAGTATTTAGTTGTCAACAGTTAGAAAATATTAATGTAATTTAGGTGAAACTGAGTAGAGGTAAATTAGATATCATCTATAGAAAATTAGTTTCCAGAATTGGCAAAGGTAGTACAGGGTGAAGAAAATAACACATTTAGCAATGCCATGGGTGAATCTATAGTGGTAGAAGTTTGCTCTACCATTGAAGAAACAACTCAGTTGTTAGCCAAAGTGATGGGCAGTGATACTGCAACTGCTGAATTATTAGCAACCGAAGTTCACAAAGATGTTCAATTCCTAGATGTTCCAGTGGCTGCAGAACTGCCTCTGGATTTTGATATTAATATTTCTGATCTTGGAATATGGATAGATCCAATTGGTAAGGAATGTAATAATAATTTTATTATGGTGGCAAGCTACATACATAGATTTAATTTATTTGCAGCAGGTACGGTATATAATATTAGTGGAATATTATATGTATTGTAATCCTTAGAAACACTTTTTTATTTCCATTATAAATTATTTATAGAAAATAGTTTTTTTCCCTATGGTTACCTTTTGTGGACATTCTTTTTCTGACAAAATATTGTTTTAAGAAAGTTATTATAAATCATTATACAAAATTAGGTAGGCTGTTTGTCAAATCCTCTATTTGTTTTGTAGTTTAATAAAGCATGCCTGAGGAGCAATTCATGGAACTTTTGTAGATTCAACAGCAGATTATATAAATGGAGGTGAAAAGGTGGATGATGTCACTGGCATGCACTTGAGTGGTTTAAGGTGTGTTACTGTCTTGATTGGGGCATATTTGAAGAGCACAGGCATACCAGTTGTTGGGGTAGTTAATCAACCTTTTTATACAAATGAGAATTTATCGTAAGTAAAATGAAGATGTACTATGAGTTTAACATTAGCAATGTTTAAATGTTAAATGTTAAATGTATTTTAATTTGTCTGACAGATGGAAAGGCAACTGTTATTGGGGACTTGTGGAAAATGATACTGGAAAATGTTCCATAAATGAAGAACCTAATGATAAAATGATAGCTGTTATTAGTAGAGTAGAAGATGTTAATATAAAATCTAAACTATTAAATGCTGGGTTCACATTAGTAGAAGCTACAGGAGCTGGTTATAAAATTTTAAGTGTTGCTCTTGGACAAGCTGATGTTTACATTTTATCAAAAAGTTCTACATACAAGTGGGATACTTGTGGTCCTCATGCCCTTTTACGTTCTTTACATGGGGGCATCATTGAATTCCAGACATTTATAGATAATTCTGATTTAAACTATACGGATATAAAATATATATCTACAACTAATAATTCGTCAAATAGCTCTGGTTTGATAGCTTATCGGAAGTTTGAAAGCTTGCAAACTTTAAAATCTATTTTATGCAAATAGATTATAGTAGTATTTTATTTACTTACATATTTTATGTATAGTGATAATAATTCTAAGTGGAATTTTAATGTTTCTAAGAAGAATTTATTTTTGTTGTATTTATTGTTACTTGCAATTTTACTTTTTATGGATATAGGTGGCTTCTTCCATAGTAAATATTATTGTATAAAATCGCATTTATGTTGAGCATATACATGAAAGGATTAATCATGTTAAGAACAAATCATTCCTGTATGAAGTGTACGTGTGTTAAATAATTTACCTCTTTGTAGTCCAATTTATAAAGGGCAAAGGGTTCAAATGAATTATACTTCCATTTTTATTCCAAAGTATTTTAGAAATCAAAATTTATATGTGATATTGTTATGTGATTAATATTTTAACAGAGTATATTAAAAAAATGTATCAATAGTACTTAAGGTAAAATAATTGCGTAAATTATTTTATTCTGTATTTTAATATTTGACGCTTGATATGTGTACGCTTGAATGAATAGTAAACATTGTATAATTATTTAATACCATATTCAAGAATCGTTGTTACGATTTTTATTGAAATTAAATAATTACGAGCATTATTTGAAATCTTCGCGCGGTTGCCGACTAAAAATCAGTGGCGCCATCTATTGGTTTGTCCCCGAAGCTCCGATTTTTAACAGGATCACAGAACAGCCGAGGAAGTGGCACAAATCGCGGATGTTAGTGCGAGAGAGAAAGGAATATGTGCGACTGATTTCTAGTTTGTAACCGCGCGAAGATTTCAAATAATGCTCGTAATTATTTAATTTCAATCATAATCATAATCAGTAAACAATCGAATAATTCAAATATTAAGGAAAACAGGACCGCTGTAAAAACACTTTTGATAAAGGTATATTTAGGAAATGTTTATAAAGAAACTAGGCGATGAATTATGTTCAAACTTTCAGTATGTTTTATTGAGCATATAAATAAACAAAAACTGGTCTTACAATGTCATTAACATGGAGTCATTTGATTTAACAATGTGTACAAGTGAACAAAAAATTGTCTTAAACTAGATACTTATGATACTTACAGATTTCTTATAATTGATTTGTTAATGAACTTTAGGTGAACGTTACGTGAATGTGTCTTTCTAAATGGATTTTACTGTTTTTTTGTACTCTTGTTTCCTTCTTCGAAAATCGCTTTATAGTATTCTCGGTTTGTGCAAAAGAAGAAGGTGTTCAATGTACTTGTACCATACTTTATGTAGGCTATTTTGTATAACAAATATGCGATGCAATATACTTTTCAATATGAACTGTTTCTGTGTTTATACGGAAGATCACTTTCTTGAAATTACTATAGTGTTTACAAATAACATCATAAGCAACTTTAATATAAAGCGTAACAGATCATAACCCCCTAACAAAGAGGATTACAAGTGAATCTTGGTCTTTTCATTGCAAATCGAGTTGGATTACAATTCAAGGAATTTTGTGTTTCTTCCTATTCGTAGAAAGCCTTGGGTAACTCGAAATAAAATTTAAAAATATTTATGAGAAATGTATGCTCCAATCCACATTGTTTACATACTATATATATGTATATGTATATTGTGTATTAATCGTTGAGTCTGGCCTATACGCTTCAGGCGATTTTTATTACAACATAGTACATTTAGCTCTATATCGTTCCTTACAGTTTATTCTTATTTTTACATTTCACCGTTTCTACTTTAACCTTACAGTATCTTAAATTACTCTTTCTTCACTCTTAATCACATGCGCCCTTTCTCCGTATTTAATTTTATTTTCCAACTTTTCCTCTTATTTACTTAGTAAATTAAATACCAATTTCCACAAAGAATCCAGAAATTAATCGCTAGACCAGTCATATTAATTTTCAGATTTTTTCAAATCTTTCACACGATTCTTTCGTTTTTCGTGTCTGAGACCTCCGAGGCGGATTCGAAAGCCTTCTATAATTATACAAAATATTACAATTGTTCCTCCGAGTGAGATTCGAGACTGGTAATTTGTTGCAATTGTTGACTCGCTGGATGGAACGCGTTATTCCGGAAGCTGACACTTCTCACAGGCGCGCTGTGACTTCCGTTTGTCTTACGCCTAACGCTTATGTAGGTCGTGCAGGTATTCATGCGTCGCAAAACAGAGTAACTCGAACCATCGAGACCTGGAAATTAATTAAGAGTAGCGATGCGTCATCCTGTAGGAAAATTAGCATTCCGCCTATTTGTTATCCTAATCAAAGGTGGCTTTTAAAAATCAATATTTGAAAATCTCGTCTGCGTGTTTGGAAAAGAAAGTATAGACTACTTAATTTGTTATCTAATTGTAATAAAAGTATTACAGTGATATGATTACCAGTTAAGGGAATTCCAATCATACTGGCGTTGTGGTTGCTGCTACGTCGTCTCTCGTTACGAAGAATTCGATGGACTCCAGGTAAACAACCAATCGCTGTTATAAAGCCACTTCGAAATCTTGCGTTCATCCAACAATAAATTACCGGATTGTAACACGAATGCGACATCGCCAACCAATGAAGGACCGTCCATATGAAGGGAAGCCCTGACCAATTCGCAGTTGCTTCGTTGTTATCCATTATTAACTGGAACAATAATAATTTACCTTAATTGTAAGTCAAGGATCGGATAGTTCAAATGCGCCCGAACTCTGTAGTATAACTCTCTTCTTTATTTATTGTCGTACGTGAGTCGTCGCGAGTTTTCATTTATGGTTCTCTTAGCTCCAAGAATAGTATGAAACCAGAGATAAATGCAGACACGCGCCATCCATGGAATAAGAAAGCGACATCGAGGGGAATAAAGCTGACACTGACGTTAATAGCTGTTAGTGGCGGATCCTAGAAATGGAGCTACTGGCCGTGAAAATATATTATTCCGGCGGGGTTGGTATATAGTATCGTATTGTACGGAGTTTGATACGAGTCAAAGTTCATAGTAACCGACTTTGTACCACGATACTCCATTGTACGAATTTTATTTTATCGTTGTAAAAAGATTCCCTGGTATTTAAACGGTTCTGAATTCATTAATATTTAGACTAAAAAATAAACGAATCAATCTTACGGAACTATCGAACGTAAGATTCACGGAGAAACGAACTCTGAAATTCACACCACACTGGATATTTTCCTAAAGCATCGCATGTAGTTTTTGTATTTTATGTTTCAAGTATAATTGCGCGTGCTTCTCCTCGAAGCATTCCTGCGCGTGCAGTCAATTTTACTTCCGTGGCTGTTGAATTCAACAGTTTTTTTTTGCATTTCTCCATGTTTCGAAGTACTCCAAGTTCAAAAATAGATTAAAAAAAAAAAAAAGCTGGACAAATAAATGCCGCGTGTACCAATGTATGGACGTTGCCTTCTGTTCAGGTTTATACTTCGGAACGACGATCAAGGAACGACAGCCAACCCGTAAATACGCTCCCAGTACTCGTCGCGCCGAATTCAGCAGCCGCGTTATCGCGTCTGCAGCGCTTGCATTATGTTAATCATTGAACGTGTAAACACGTCGATAGTATTTTAAGGATTAACGGGAGGGATTAAGAGATTACTACCAGTCACGGAGTGCTACGTATACGTGATTTCTCCACGAACCGAGACCACCAATCCATTTTCGATGTCAGAAACCAATAAAGCTGTTTTCGCTGTGATCAATGATGTACTTTCAGCTTATCTTAACGACGGGAAAGGGTTCTAGGAAACGTAACAATCCACGAAGTTGGAAGCGAGCCACTTACCATCAGTATGTTGTACGGGAGCCAGCAGATAGTGAATACTATCACGACTGTCACCATCATCTTCACCATCTGGAACAAGTGGAATATCATGGTTGCAGAAGGCATCCGATAAATTAATAACGCGGGTAGACAATACAAGCATTATTATTTCGAACGATAAATCTTTCGATCCTTCATTTAGGTCTTCAGGTTTTCAAGTACTAACTACCCGCGTTGTTTTGCTTTTTAAGCTCTCGCGAACTAATTGCAATTTTATTCAGAAAAAAAAACAAGTTTGAAAGTCTGTCAGATTTGCGGGCGCTTGATTAATTGTATGTCTCGAGCAGAATTCCGTGTGCAGCGAACGTGGCATTAGTCAACTCCTCTAATAAAATTAATCTTCTTAGGTAACTGCCTTATATGTATTTACAAAGCCAACTCAATCAAACACGGTCTGAGCAGAAATTCGTTACATCGAGACTTAAGATTAATCGAGCGCCAGCATATTTGTTTCTCCTTATTACATTGATCGTGTAAACTCTACGAATAACACGATTGTGGAAGTTAAAATTCTCTGTAAACTTTTGCGAGGAGGATTCGATTCATAGATCAAAACGTAAAGTAAAGACTTTTTGCTCTGTTGTTCTGGAACCCCCGTAAATATTTTTGTCACGAATTTAGAGTGTGGAACGGTGGTTTCGCGCCGATATTTATTATATCCACGTTGGTAGATGTCAAAACGCACGGTAAAGTATGAGAAAACGCGCAGCTGACCAAAATTAGGGTGTAACGTATGCCAACGCGAAAATGCTAATTTCGGTCAGCCTGAATATATATGTCGTCATCGTTAATATTCTGTGGTTTGTTTAGCGTGGGCTTATTTTGTTCTGCGGCTAGCTAACACGTCCAAGTAGTGGGTAGCACGTTGCACGATGCTAGAAAAATTTATAGGTAAAGTAACCATGATGGATTGCTGCGTGTGATTTGCTCGCACTTTTCCGAGAAATTAGTTATTAAAATTAATGGCTTCGTTCGTATCGATTGTTTACGAATTGGATTTGGAATGGATTCAAAAGTGTATGAAAATAAATCATGGCCAGTTGTAAAAGTCTGATACTACTTCCCTCTCGGGGCAAACGTGTCTGTCCATTAGTGGCCATTTTCACTTGTGTCGTTGCTTGCAAACGTCGCGGTACGGTGTCGAATACACTCGAACGTCGATTCCAATTGGTTAGACTAAATTATTATTTATTATCGTCACGTTCGTCTT